ATTCACAGGATTAAGCCCCTTTATAGTGGTAGAAGTCGTAAAATTTGATAGTTGCTCCAATTAGAATGACATCCTACAAATGAACACAAAAATGAAGCACATGATCATCCATTTCAACACTTTATATCCACAGAACTTATACATATACATATAGATTCAGATAGTACTTGTTCAGGCTTCCTAAAGTAGTGATCTAAGCATTTCAATCTACTACAATGGCAGGAGATCTTATCAATCTTCCTTCGGTTGCACTTGATTTGAAGCCACTGTCCTTGAAACAACTCATACCATCAAACCAGTGAATACTATGAATGGAATGATAATAACTAAAGCGAACAACTAATTCAAAAGAAGTTAAAAAAAAAGATATGAAGTGGATTTTAGAAGAAATCAATTTACAAAATCAAGTCAAGATCAATATTAGTTCTTAGATCAAACTGAAAAAGAATCAATAACTAACAACATCAACAAATAAAGGCTCAGCAATCGAAGGCTGACCACCAAATCACAAAAAAGGGGGGGGGGGGTGGGGGTGGGGGGGAGAACGAAATATAAAGTCAAAGCAGAAGGTAAATGATCCCATCTAAAGCTACAAAGATGGAGTTAATACTCGATACTAATAAGAAAAACCAATATCAAGGAAGCTAAAAGCACAACTGCAGAACTTGTGTTATTATTTCTCAGCCTGTATGTCCAGAAGAAAAGCTCAGCTATTCCTGGCTGACTATTTCTTTTGATTCCGAGATTTTCTTAATCAAATGTTCGTGAATTATTTCGGTGAGTTCCCAAGTTCACTAATTTGAAAGCAATCGTTGGCCAATGCTTGCAGGGATGAGGAAAAGAGCAGGAAAGTAAGTGACGAAGAAAGAAACGAAGTAAACCTAAGAAAACATAAATGAAAAGAAATAAACTGCATTTATGGATTCATGCATGCTTAATTATGACTAACGCATGTAATTTAATTTTTTTTTTTAAGTAATGAACAGCTAAGCTGAAGACAATGAAAGCCAAGTTCAAGAGCAAACGAACTCTCAATATATAACATATAGGTAAAATGCAACTCAATAAAATGGAAGTAAAATATTTATTTTTGCATATGAAGATTTATTCTAAACCATGTCAGATGTCCCAATTCTGTCAAAGTTAAAAAGGAAGCAATTAGGTGAAGTCAACATATAGATGTGTTAGAGGAGGGTTACAGATCTTACCTGCCTTTTACATCATATCATAGAAGAGTGTAACGTCTTACCTGGAAGACATCAGTTGATGACAACAATCAGAAGCTGAAGCAGGAAATCAGACACACAACACAAACCTCGAAAGCAACGATGTTGTAGCAAGGGAAGCGAATAGGCTTCAGAGTCCTGACATATATGAATTAGTCGCTGCTATCCTTCCTACTATAGTTTGCCAACAGATGAGAAAGAAAACACCCAAAAGAGGACATCGATCGTTGGAACAGGATGCCTGCCCTAGTGTGTTGCGTTGATGTTGTTGTTGTCCCACACTAATTTGTCAGAAAAATGGCATTCCCCGCGAGAAAAACAAAATTTAAGTCATGTTTCTTCAGCAAACTTTCCAAAACTGGATGAGGTATAACTGAGATGATTTACCTTCTCCGGGGGAAAACGCTATATAGAACTAAGCTAATGAAATAAGACCTATGAAAGAGGGGAACAGATCGACTGAAAAGTACATAAAACAGTTTACCTGTCTGAGATCAGCCTTGCTGATTAGTATTGTATTTTTCTGACAAATTATTAGTATTGTTTTGCTAATTAGTGGTAGTATTTTTTTTTATTTGTAATAGTGATTATTACTTTTAGTAGTGATTCTTACTAAAATTCGACAAATTGATAATCACTACTACTTAAAAATCTGTAAAACACCACCAGTTAAATTAAAATGACAAAATTACATATATATAAAACACTACCCGTAAACCACCAAAACCGCAACAACGTCAAATAGTTGTGGTTGTATATTTTAGTAGTAATTTTTTCCATGTAGAAATTCAATATGAGAGAGAGAAAAAAGATATTTTTAAAATTTAATTAATTTCTTTAAATACCAAATATGTCCCTCATTACTCTCCACCATTAAATATAATAAACCATTATTAGAGTGGTTAGTATGGTACTAATTCTAAGCTCTCACAGTGCCGTCCCTATATAACGGCGTCAGCCATGGCATTTGTTCCCGCCCAAATCCCCAGCCCCAAACTTGGGGAGAAAGAAACCAAGAAACAGAAAGAAAGCCATGGATGCCCTCGGCAATCCGGCTCCCGGTGCTCCAATCGCCGCTACCTCCGCCGTCGACGTCGTTCCCGGTGCTCCAATCGCCGCTACTTCTCCCGGCGCTCCACCCGCCCCTCCCTCCGTTCCAGTAGCGGCTCCTGTTCCCGGAGCTCCCGCCGCTACCGCCGTCGTTCCCGGTTCTCCAATCGCCGCCGCTACTGCTCCCGCCGCCGTGGACGTTGCTCCCGTTGACGTTGACGTTGACGTGGCCCCCGCTCCGGCCGGCTCTGCCGCAAATCCCGTCGTCCTCGACTCTCCGTCACCCTCGCCTCCCGCTGCTGCTCCCGTCGAAACTGGTGCTGCCGCCGCCCCCGCTCCCGCTCCAGTCGGCTCTGCCGCAAACCCCATCCTCCTCGACTCTCCGCCACCGTCTCCGCCCACTGCCGCCTTGAGAACCGTCGCAGTAATTGAAGCGGAGATTGAAGATTTCAAGGATATGCAGCAGGACGCTAGCCCGGGATATTACCAACGATACCTCAGAGGCAAGATCGCACTCCTGCGAAAAGAGAAGAAGGAAGCTGAACGCGAGGGGAGGTATTAGGTCAAAATTCTTTTGCATTGAGTAGGTTGAAGGCCACTTTCATATACTGAGATAGATACGATACGAGGCTAAGCTCTACATGATTTGAGCTTTTGTAACTAGATGCCTCATTGTGACGGGAACATGGAACTTGAGATTCTTGCTAGGACTGTTAGAGAATTCCTTCTAAGCCATAGGAAGACACCCTGGATGTTTTCTTTGATTTTGTTGCTTACCAGCACTGTGCAACTGGTTAGGGATTCGTGATACCAGTACTATGTGTTGCTTCGGCAAATTTTGAGTTGGTTATGGATGTGAAATTTACTAGTGATTGTTGAATTCTAGTAGAGGGTGTGGAAGTGTCAGTTTCCAAATGGGTTCATGTGTACGAGACTGATGAATGGTTTCATCACGATCGGATGCCACATAGCGTGGATCGATTGGATGAGCAGTCTTACTAGATTGAGCACATCAACCCGATACATGTTTTCCCATCCTGCTTCTGGTCTAGAAGCTTTAACGCGCGATATACACTGCATTCAGACAAGGTAGAAGGGAGGATTTTGGAATCATTGTTATCACTTCTATAATTTTGTAGTGACAGTCGTGATGGATCATAGAAGTGAGCTAGATGCTTTTGATAGCCGCAGCTGCTCTTCTGCTGCACTATCAGTTTGTCCTAGAAGAGAGCTCTTTCTTTGGTCCCAGTTTGTCCAACTTCAGATATCCAGTTTGGTTGACAATAGATCAATAGAGTCCTGCAAGGGCTTCATTTTATTTCTGGTCCTGGATGGATTGTAGTCTGTTCCTTGCTTTATCGAAAGTTTAATGCTCATGAGTCACTCCAACGGCATACCTGCCAAAATGTCTGACTACGTTCTTAGTTCTTACTAAACTAGGTATGGATGCTTACTGCTAAAATGTCTAATTCTTTGGTGTTAGGTCTGTGTTGTAACGAACTCTTGTTGCATTTACCGGATGATACTCTCAAGATTTGGGAACTAAACTGTTTTGGTACTAGCACTAGGTGACTGAAGGTGTTATGTCAGTGTCGTATGAAACTCTTGGCGAGTAACATCTTGGTCAGATGGCCTCATCTGCTAACTATGCTGAATATCATGGTAATTTCAGTTGTAGAAGTAAAGAGCATCCAGCTGGTACATTTCAATTTTATGTTGTTAGTAGACTGCTTTTGAATCCCAAAATTACCTGCAGATCGCAAGTGCATTGATCTTTACAATGAAAGGATCCATTTTAAGTTGCTATAAGTATGCAGAATGAAGAGGGGATGTCTGAACCGACTTACATAAGGATGTCTGAAGGTTGTGCATCGACCATAACCAGTAGTTGCAGAGAAAAGCATTGGAAAATTGTCAACAAAAACCAGTTGCTGTTTTATCCAACATTCTTATGATTTATATGAACTTGGCAATGGTTAGTAGTCAGAAGAAAAGGAGCATCTGGTCAGGGTGAACGGAAGCTAAAGCCTGTATGAGAGTCTGCATTAAATTTAAGAGCTCAATAACAAAAATAGAGATATAAACAAGGAGATGATCGAGTAGCCAGCGGGCTTATGCGAATAGTTAGTCCTCGCCTTACCCGATAATCCAACTCGCACAACTATAGCATGGAGATCACAAGGGCTTAAGCAAAAAAAAGGTAGGATTTCAACAACAGGGGTGGTCTCAGTTGTTCTTAGCTATACGTTCTGGATCTGCCGCTCTTGATTGCTGATGGTTTATAAAGTGAGAAGCTATTTCGGAAAACTAAACCTAGGAGGAAAGTTGTCTTCAATTCAGTTCTCAAGCTACTTAGACCATAATACACAATGGTTATGGTGTTATTATAAGCAATCTGCATTCTGGTTGGAGTGAAAACAAGTTCAAATGTTTAACACGACCAACAAGGGAATCATTGCCCTCTTAACTTTTTATACCACATTACAGGACCATGACACCATGTTTGAACCAGAAATCCCATGAACAATTTGGTCTTGTTAGGAAGTCACATTTCATCGCAAATACAATGCACTATTTTTCGCAATCCCAGAAGATAATTCAGCCTATTTGCCTCCCTTCCGTCAGCTGTATAGATATTCTACATATCATATGGTAAGCTGCAAAAACGAGTTACTTGCATCGCAAAGACGAGTTAATACAGAAAGATGTCCTCGATATGATTAAGGTAAGTTACTTGCATCGACTTATGAGATGTACAAGACACAAAAATGGGGTGTAAACCATTGCTATTGATACAGAAATACATATTCGTTTGCTTAAACAATAAATACTTCTACAGAGTTATAAGCAGGAAATCAAAAAAAAAAAACATTGGTATTCGATACAAACTGAACACCCCAAAAATATCATCCACTTCGAAAGGGGCGGGACACATCGAGGTAGGGAGTGTGAGCTGCAAATCAACCCGTGTACCCAATCCATTTGCTGCACCTCTATACACGATAACTTAGAATTCAACTACTTAAAAAACCTGGAGTGCATGAACACCAATCACAGCAGTGGAGCTCCTCCCTTTTCCCTTTCATTGATACATAGTTTCCTTTTAATGCCATCATAGAACGCGAGCCCTATGATGCTAATCAGGTGACCTTCCTCCCATGACCAGATCGGTCAATCAGTTGGCGTTCTTCTGTTGTTTCAGCAATCAAAGCACAAACATGATACAGTTAAAAGTCATCCAGGGCACAGAAAGAAATGGGCAGAATTCAATGTCTATCTGGCTAACTTCATTCAGGTTAAGTTTAGGTTAAAAGAGTTGACTTTCCCATTTTCATTGGTGCAGGAAAAGAAAAGAGGGAACGTTGTGATGACTGATGAGATTAAGCAAGTACCAGCTATTGCGGGAGTCGTTGGTCCAGTTACCGCGCGAATTGTTGGTTTGCTGCTCTGAACCCAACAGTTGTAGCTTCCATCATACATAACTCGCAATTCTTCATACCTTGGAATTGGAATAGGCCAACAAGAAACCCTAGGCTGGAATAGTGCCCAGCGAGGTGAAAGCAGTACTCTAAGTTCAGAGTGGAACTCTAGGTCTCCCTTTCTCAAATCACAGGACAAGATAGCACCCTTTATATCAAGATAATGGAAGAAGGCAATTTCCGGCTTTTCTGGATGCAGATAGGGTAACACAACCTGCTTAAGTGAAGCACTCATTCTCCTTTCTAACTCTAGGTAGAAATCATCAAGTTGAACTCCGGGACTAGACTTGGGACGAGCTGTCTTGAGAACCCCTTCACATACTAAGCTAAAAGATTTATGGTCATCTTCCAATCTCCAAACACTTGAGGGGATAATTGACCAACCAAGTTCAGGTTCACCATCGAATACAGCTACGTGCAGAGCACCCTGGGATACCGAAATGTCCCACCACGGTTTCAGAAGGAGTTGAGGATCGTCGATACAAGCCGGCGGTATATCTGGGCAGAAAGGATTAAACACGGCAATCATAGGATGACGCCGAATAGCACCTCTTCCAGCACGATACACCCAGAACAACTCTCCATTGCAGGAAACTACATTTTTGTGTTCCCCTAAGTAATGCCTATCAAGAACAAGTGTATCCTTGTTCCATTCTCCAGACTCGGAACAAAATATGTCTAGTCTTGTAGAAAAACCAGACTCCGTCATAAGACTATATACACACACAACCCGGAATCGATACTCAGAATAAACAACATCTGCAGCAGGGCCATCTCCCATATCAAGATTGTAAGAATTTCGGGGCTCACAAACTAACCTCGCGACCAATCCCGAATGCTCCACCGGCCTACCAGGCGCCAGAGGAAGGGCGGTCCATTGCTTCGTAAACGGATTGCAGACGAAGTACGACCTGCGGAATTCGTCATCAAGGTCCTCTGGCATCTGAAACCCACATAGAAGCAAGTCCTGGAAGGAATCCAGGACTGCGAAACGCAGTTCATGACCTACACTAGGCGTAGGGACAAAGCTCGCGATGATCGACTGCTGGTCTTCTGAGGAAAGTACCAGAGGTGGTTGCAGTTCGTTGATGCCCTGGCGGCGAGAAACGAAACGGCGATTGAATCGAGGACTGGAGATCAGGGAGCGCCACAGCTTGCAGACGGCTTTGCAGCGGCAGGCGGATCTGGGAGTCGGGAGGCGAATCAGAATTTCTTCGAGGAGATCCTCCCCGAGTTTGCTGATGGAGTTTACTGCTGTTGAACGGATTCCCGGTCGTTTCTTGGAAACGCAGAGCCGTGGATTGGAAGCCGAATCACAGTTCCCCGTCGCCATGGCAGACCGAAGATGACGCCGCCGGAGGAGAAAGGGGGCGGAGGGAAGGAACAGCGGGGGGCGAAGAAATCTCCAATTCTTAAGGGCCTTGACATTTGTTGCGCTATCCTCGTACTACTTGGATTTGATTTTACAAGGCTTTATGCGTCATTAGTCTCTAAAACAAGGCCTACAATCTCTCTCCTAAAAACCGCCCAAGGCTTAAGGCTAGAAGCCTGGAACTCTTTTTTTTTTTTTTTTTTTGTTCTTAGAACTCTCTATTTTTTTTTTTTTTTTTGAAAATCAATCTGCATGCTTTATTTAGGTAGAAGGGCCCAAAGTATTGTCTTTACAAAGGAGGTGGGCCAAAAAGAAGGGTGGGTCAGAAACCCAAATCTCCTCACTGTCCCATAGGCAGAAAGTGTGTGCTAGCATATGGGCTGGTTTATTACATTCTCGGCCCGTAAACAAAAACCTGGTGTCCCCAACCCCATCAGCTTCTTCCCTAATCTCTTCACAGACCTCTTCCACCTCCAAAGCCGAGCGCATTTCCCGCAGCAGCTTCTGCACCAAGAGCATGCAATCTGTCTCCACATCCAATTCTTCAAATCCATACCTCTTAGCCAGCTCCAATGCAAACATTATACCCATTGCTTCGGCTATTTCCGGTCCCCACTTTCTTCTCGACCTCTTCACTGCGGCTAATCGGAATCCCCCATTGTGGTCGCGGACGATGACTCCCCACCCTGTTCCTCCCGATTGAAAGGTAGCAGCATCCACGTTTGCTTTCAGACGGCCTGGGTCAGGTGGATTCCATCGGAGGACTCTTGTATTCGCCAGATGAGTGTTTTGTCTTTGCTTCGATTGGAATTCGCTTAACCACTCCATTGCATGTGGGATAATATCTCCCTCCTCTCTCTTTTTGCCATTCCACAGGTGATTGTTGCGTTCATGCCAAATATACCAGAGGGCCACCAGCAGAGCTGCTAATGCCTCCACCTTCTCACTCGCTTGGATCTCACAGCACCATTCCTCACAGGTTCGTTCCTCCCCCCTACTGAATAGACCCCTCAAATCCGATGGTTGCCAAATCCTCCGAGTCCACCCACAGTCCAGGAACGTGTGGTATTGGGTTTCCTTCAGGCCACAAAATGGACATTCCTCGCATCCCCTTCTCGTTCTGTCAACGAGATTCCCCCCTGTGGGAAGGATATTGTGAATCCATCTCCACGCAAACACCCTAACTTTAGGAGGAATGTTTAATTGCCACACCTGTTTCCAATTGACTGGCACATACAATTCTCCGATTCCAGCATCCTGGCTAACTTTCCATTTCACATAGGCCGACTTAACTGTGTAGGACCCTCTCTTCTCCAATCCCCACACCCTTTTATCTGGGCATGGTTGCCGCGGGATCGGAATCATCTGAATCTGTGCTCTATCATTAGGGTGGAAATGGGTTTGGAGTTGCTCATCTCTCCATAGCCTAGCTTCGAAATTTATCAGTTCATGTACCATGACAGGGCTGTCCACCTCCTGGTGACTTGAGGCGATTTTGTAGTTTTCAGCCTCTGGTAGCCATTTATCCTCCCAAATCTTTATCTGAGTACCGTTACCCACCCTCCAGCGTAGACCTTGAGCCACTAGTTCTCTTGCCGATATAATGCTCCGCCAAATATAGCTCGGGTAGTGTCCCAACCCAGAACTCTCTATTTTTTGTTGTGCCTATTTACGGTGGAAAGAGGAGAGAGAGATTATACGAGGGTTTAATTTTTTTTATAGTTAGTCATAGAAAAAATTATGGGAGAGAGAGATTACGGATTCAAAAAAAAAAATCTTTCATAGTATAGTCATATAAAAACTTGGACAATCCATCATAAAAAAAATTGAATAACCATTTTATTTTTCTCCGATAGTAACATTTTATTATTTTATTGCTCGAATTTATTTTTTTCCTATCTAATACGATTATTCAGTACTTTTTTATTTTTTATCTATATATATTAAAATTTCTTAGCACTTTAGTAACAATTTAAACTGATTTTTACTTATGTGTTTAATTCACATGATAGTATGTATATTGTGTAATTTTACCGTCCCCACTTCTGGATCATTTTTTGGACAGAGTTTGATTGAGTGTCTCTTATTCATCAGAGTAATTAGCTGAAGCATCTATTTTCCTGCTACTGCTGAATCAATGGGTTCTATCTGTCCGTAGTCCGTACTCGGATTGAAGCCATTATTTAGTATGGAGAGAAATACCAAAAAGAGCAATTAAAGGAAAAGAATCGGAATAGGGCAGAATGTTCAATGAAGAACTTTTCAAGTTGCCTTTGCTCGAGGGAATGGTCACCACCAGGGCAGAACTCCATCACCAAGCACGCCCATTTCTCGATCTTGAATTGTGAATACAAACAAAGTGGCCAAAATGGATGATTCAGAGACTGCATAATAAGCTTATTAGCAAAGTGATTTTTAGATTTTGTTCAACATTCTTGACGGTATGTACAAGTAACTTTGCATACTATACTCTTCATATAACTGCCCAAAATATGAGTATGTTGTTGCAACTTAAGTTTCCGCGGCGTAGCAGCGGGCATTTTTTCTAGTACCAATAAACGACAACCAATACCAGTATGAACAATCAACAATCTATACTAGTACATGAAAATCAATATTCAACAACCAATACCATTACAAAAATCATGAAGTAACTTGCATCGACATATGAGATGTACAAGACACAAACATGGTGTGCAAACCATTGCTATTCATACTGAAATTAAAGATTGAGCGTAAACAACAAATACTTCTACAGAGGTAAAAGCAGGAAACAACAGATCATTACTATTAAATAACTAGAGATCTCATCTGAAAAGCGTCTGCTTCAGAAGGGAAGGGACACATGGAGGCTGGGAGTGGGAGCTGCACTTTCAATCCGAGAATCCACCCAGATTATTGTTTCAACCAATCTATCAATACAACCACGAACCAAATTCATCTGTTGCACCTATATGCATGATAACTTAGGAATTCAACTACTTTAAATAGGCTGGTGTGCATGAACACCTACCACACCAGTGGAGAGCTTCACCCTTTGCCCTTTAATTGATACATAAATTCCTTGTAGCAGACGAGCCTTGTGACTTGTGATGCATCAGTGAATTGGCTGACGCTCTTCTGTAGGTTCAACAGTCAAAACACATAACAAGATACTATTAGAAACCAGCCAGGACACAGAAAGAAATGGGCAGAATCCAACGGACTGTCTAGCTCACTTCATTCAGGTGAAGTTCACAGAACAAAATTATTACGAAAACAAGATATGTATCATTTTCATTGGCGCGGGAAAAGAAAAAGAGGGAACAATGTGACAAGATCAAGTAAGTACCAGCTATTGCAGGAGTTGTTGGTCCAGTTATTGCGAGAGTTGTTGGTTTGCTGCTCTGAACCCAACAGCTATAGCTTCCATCATAGATAACTCGCAATTCTTCGTACCGTGGAATTGGAATAGGCCAACAAGAAATGGTAGGATGGAATAATGCCCAACGGGGCGAAAGTAGTACTCTAAGTTCAGAGTGGAACTCTAGGTCTCCCCTTCTCAAATCACAGGACAAGATAGCTCCCTTCAAATCAAGATAATGGAAGAAGACAATTTCCGGCTTCTCTGGATGCAGATAAGGAAGGACAATACTGTGCAGTGAGGCACTCATACTCCTTTCTAACTCTTGGAAGAAATCATCGAGTTGAATGCTAGGGTTGGATCTTGGACGGGCTGTCTTTAACACACCTTCACATACTAGGCTAAAAGATTTATGGTCATCGTCCAATCTCCAAATACTTGAGGCAATTCTTGAATCACCATCTTCGGGTTTGCTGTTGAACGCAGATATGTGCAAAGCACCCTGTGATACCGAAATATCCCACCACGGTTTCAGGAGTTGAGGAGCATCTATACAAGACGGAGGTATATCTGGGCAGAAAGGATTAAACACGGCAATCATCAAATGACGCCCAATATCACCTCGTGTAGCAATATCCACCCAAAATAACTCTCCATTGCAGGATACTACATTCTTTCTGTCGCAGAAAAAATGGGTATCGACAACAACAGGATCCTTGTTCCATTCTCCTGACTCGGAACAAAACACGTCTAGTTTTGTACAAGAGTTAGACTTGTTCATATGTCGATATAAACACACAACCCGGAATCGATACTCAGAATAAACAACAGATCCTGCTCGGCCATCTCCTAGATCAAGATTATATGAACTTCGGGGTTGACAAACTAACCTTGTGACCAATCCCGAACACCTCGTTGGCCGGCAAGGCGCCAGAGGAAGGGCGATCCATTGCTTCGTAAACGGATTGCAGACGAAGTACGACCTGCCGAATTCGTCATCAAGGTCTTCTGGCATCTGAAATCCACATAGAAGCAAGTCCTGGAAGGAATCCAGAACTGCGAAACGCAGTTCATGATCTACACTAGGCATAGGGACAAACCCATGGATGATCGATTGCTGGTCTTCTGAGGAAAGTACCAGAGGTGGTTGCAGTTCGGTGATGCTCTGCCGGCGACAGACAAAACGGCGATTGAATGACGGACTGGAGATCAGGGAGTTCCATCGCTTGCAGACCAGTTTGCTCCGGCAGGCGAATCTAGGGTTCAGAAAGCTGCGAATCAGAATTTCTAGGAGGAGATCCTCCCCGAGTTTGCTGATGGAGTTTACTACTGTTGAACGGATTCCCGGTCGTTTCTTGGAAACGCAGAGCTGTGGATCGGAAGCCGAATCACAGTTCCCCGTCGCCATGGCAGACCGAAGATGACGCCGCCGGAGGAGAAAGGGGCGGACGGATGGAACAGCGGGGGGCGAAGAAATCTCCAATTCTTAACGGCATTGACATTTGTTGCGGTATCCTCGTACTGGTCGGACTTGGATTTGATTTTACAAGGCTTTATGCGTACAGTAAAGCCCAAGAGAAGATGAGCCGGATATTGGCACCTGTGATCCATGATCCGTGATCCGATACCATCATGCATACTCTTTATACTATGGCCAATACTATGGTGCCGCTATAAAAAGTGCGGCACCGATGCCGCAGTTTCCTATTGGTCCACGTGTTATATGATGTGGCACTTGCTGGTTTGATTAAACCCCAATCCAAATCCGTGGCCCATGAAAACTGACCCAAACCGGAGCAGTCACCCAACTGAATGTCAAAAGCATTTCCGTTAATTCTTGTGGTAAAACGTTTTGTTACTTTATAGTTTAATTCCTCGGTTGGATTTGCTTTTTATTTTCAATTAATTTATTTAGACAGTCAATTAAGAATTATTAACTATTAATTTAATTTGTTTTTGAACAGAAAATGGAAAAATGGAAAACAAGACTCGAGCACCTCGTCATCTTCCTCGCTCTCCATTCCTACAGATTATCAAAAACACAACCAATGACTTCACCATCGCGGATCCAATCTAATCTCTACCATACCCTGCACTAGACTCCTTCATCATTTTCCTCAGCCGACATTTATTCTATAAAACAAAAATGATCGAATTTCTCTTCCCGACAGACCCTTTGTCGCCGTTGAACTCTCCGCCAACCAAGTACCAGACGATCCCAAACAAAAGAAATGTTCCGGGAAAGTTCAACATAAGGCCACCAGTCGGCGAACAGTTCAGTAGCTAAAAGATAAAGAGAAACAACCACAAACAGGTAATCAGGTAATGCATCCAACAATAATGCACCTAAATGACAGTCAGCACGCGGCACTAGATAAATCTAAACCGCACTCCCAAATTAAAATAAGGACATGCTCTCCATTCAGCAACCTAGAAGCCCAGCAGAAAACATTTCTTTGTGAATACAAATCCAAGGAAAGTACCAGACCCTTGCTATTGTTAAATGGTTCCATCACTCATTTAATAATTGTCCAACTGATGAGAAGGTCTTCATGAACTTCTCATAAAAAAGTCTAAGTTAGCATACCATAAAACATTCTACCTGGAACATCTGATAACAAGATGGCAAAGTTCCCGAAAGACTTCCCAATAAAAGAATGGACAGACTGAAAACAAAGAACTCACTAGAAGGGATGAGAAAAGGGTTTCAATTCAGAAAACTGTTTCCATTGACAGAAAATAATGATCTCCACAAACGGAGTCTAATTTCTCAAGCATGAAAGGGTCAAACATGTCATGATCACAATATGAGATTGTCTCTCGGCAGTGGTTCATGTAAATCAGGATATTACTACAGACTGCCAACAATATAACGGGCAAGCTATTGCAATAAACAGTCGATAAAGGCTAACCTGCCCAGTAAATCAGCCACTTCCTTTGCTGGGTTTCATCATCCGCTTCAAACGCTATGTACGTAAATTGGCAAAACAATCCCAACATAGCTACTACAGAAAGCACCAAGGAGCCTCCAGCAAGTTAATACTTTATTAACAAACATATTAAAATGTACATTCTTGTGAGAAGAGTTAAAGAACACAAGCAATCAACATCAAAATTGGAATTTGAGAAACAGAGCCCCATACTGAAACCCACGATGTTGTTTGCGTCACAATGTTGGAAGTTGGAACCAATTGGAGAAAGAAGCAAATGTAAGCCTTGCATTAAAATCGCAGAACAACCGTCTCATTCTAAAAAATAAATTTTTGCTCCACTGTAACCCAGAGGCAAAGGAGAACCTTAAACATGAATTGAGCCCTACTATTAAGTGATCGACCCAGAGATGTTGAATTCACCTGAACTTAATGTGATAACCAAAAGGGAAATAGAACCTTGTTCTGGGAAATACGACCCCATCAAGCCTACAGAACCAAACGAACAGACAAATCGTCACAGAATCGAAATTCATACTGTGGACATCGATTGGGGAAAATCATGGGAAGAAGAGATATCGAGGACGAAGGCGGTGGAGGAGTTTATCGGAGGTGAATTGGAGAGGTGGCATGGGAGATTGCATTGGCGGCGGAGAAGTTCGCCGGAAGTTCTTATTTCTTTCACACTCAGCCGGAGGGGAGAGCGCAGAAGACGACGATGGACTTCTATTTGCGTTTTCCTTTTGTTCTTGTTCCTAGAGAAAATTAAATGCAGTGAAAATTTGAATTATATAATGGGGAAAAACTTGTAGAAGACGGAGAGGTTTTTTTCCCTTCTGTATGGGCAGGAGGAGGTTTGGGCCAGTTTTATGGCCAACAGGATTTGGATCTGGGTTTAACCAGCCACATCATAGTACACGTGGACCAATAGGAAACAGAGGCATCGGTGCCGCACTTTTTATAGCGGCACCATAGTATTGGCCTTATACTATAAGCAAGTTGGGACGGACGGGACGGGACGGGTATCTTAATGTTCAATTATTCATATATGTCACGTAGTAAACACAAATTAGAGTGAATAATATCTTTGTAGGTAGTGGAAAGGCCGATTCAATCTTATATGTTATTTGAAAAAAGATTGTCCATACTTAATGTTCAATTATTCATATATGTCACGTAGTAAACACAAATCAGAGTGTATAATATCTTTGTAGGTAGTAGAAAGGCCGATTCAATCTTATATTTTATTTGAAAAAAGATTGTCCATATTTAATTTTTTTCTAAGAGCATATATAAAGACACACTTCATAAATAAATGAAATCAGCGCGTCAGCCATTATATGATAAAGTGCACAAACATATTCTATGGTAAAGTCGATGTCTATCCTTAAGTAATCAATTTCTATACCGAACAAACTGCTTTGGTGAACCAATTGTTTCCTCTTCTTTTTGTCTAGGGTTCAAACTCTAGTCACCTCCATTCTTCATATATAAATGAAGTCAACGCATCGACCATTACATGCTAAAGTGCACAAACATATTCACACGTGGTCGCCTCAACTATTCTATGGTAAAGTCAGTGCATGTCCTTAAGTAATCAATTTCTATACCGAACGAACCACTTTGGTGAACCAATTGTGTTCCTCTTCTTTTTGTCTAGGGGTCAAACACTAACCACTTCCATTCTTGTGCTTCATCGCCCGCCGCCATATGTAGTTCTTCTGGATGCCTAACTAAAATCAATACCAACTAGTGTGTCCCCCGGCCAGTTGGCTGGAGGAAGGTGAGGTATGAAATTTGATAATGTAATGGGGTGTATAGCTTATTGTTGTATAGTTTTTTTTGGAAACACGTGATAAAAATAGTGAATTTTAGTAGGAAAGAGACATGAATGATGCAACGAATAAAAAATCGGTCTTATGAACCAAAATCAAGTACATGTTACCTTGTGAAATAATATTGTTTCTGATAATATGATGAGGGGGAGTAAGTTTTATAGAAACCGAATTCCAGAAAATCGATTAAAAAAATCGTCTATCCCGTCGGTTTTCGGGAAATGAGCATCTCACAATCGTTGCAAGCTTTTACTCGGCCCGTTGGCCGAATAATTTGCTTCATAAAACTTTCATCTTGTCGTCATTGTGCTTTCTGGTTTTTGTCAGGCCATGATAAAATCTAAGGAAATCAAGAACGAACAACACGATTTGGGATAGGAACCGCTGTTGTCGTATCCCTAGAAAAATGGTGGTAAACACGGACTCACCTGCCAAACTGGTTTGGATTGAGATTTTTATCGGGTATCAGGGAACCATGTGATTATAAATTAGAATTGATCAAAACGGGCCAAAACTTGAAACTCAGCCTGTTTGACCGACCCATGCCAAACTCTAATTATTCTTTACTTTTAAACTTTCTATTTTAAAATAAAAAATAGTGAAAGAAAAGAGATGACTGCAATTCGCCATTTTCACATCACTTATTCGGGAATAAAACCATAGAAATTCAAAAAGAACTGAAAATATTTAGGATCATTTTAATGTTTAAAATAACCAAATTGATCTTTCTGTTTAGTTTTTTACTAACAAATATCAAACGATTCCCTATAAAATACACTATAATTTGATCATTATGATATCAAATAATTATATAATATATATTTGAAATGATAAAAATTGGAATAATTGGGTTGGTCGAGGTTGAACCATTGAATAACTTTAAAATACATTATATTTTGGCCACTAAGATATAAAATAATCGCATAATATATATTATGCCAGAGAAAATAGTTTGTTTTAGAATGTCAAACCAATGATGTTCATTTGTTTTACTTGATGGTCAAATCCCGTGTAGGTCAGACCCATTCAACTCTTTTATTTTATGGTTAGCGGTTAGCCTGTTAGATACCATGCATTAGTTTATTGTTAAATTTTTTATGTTTAGCAATAAAAAGAAGTATTATTTTTGCCTTTTCATATATATTTTATCACCACGGAGAAATAAAAGGGCTTAAAGAAAAAAAAAATTGACACTCCTGGACCCGTTCAAATCCGCATGTGTACGGTAAGTTGGCCCGTTCCGCAAATGAAAGAGAAAAAAATTGACACTCCCTATTCTACCCTTCCTACAAACGCTCATGGAGCAGGGAATTTGAAATGTGAACGCTCCTGTTGTAGGGAATTTGAAATGGGGGAAGGGTTTTTCCTCTCTGCTATTATATGTTTTTAATTTAAAAAGATATAACAAATGTACTTAGTGTGACTGGTTGTGATCCTTGTTTTTCTTTAAAATGGTCATGATTTGAATCCCAGTACGTGTCAATGAATAAAAAAAAGTAACTGTGAAGACCAAAATGTCCTTCCTACTTTCACTCTCGTTGCAGGAAATTTGAAATGGGGCTCCCGTTTTTCCCTTCGGTGTATTATATTATGTGTAGATACAAAGAAAAGCAATACTATACCAGTACACGACAACCAATATTAGTACACAAAATTTATACCAACAAACGACAACCAATACCACTACGAACCATCTATACTAGTATATGAAAATCAATACTCAACAACCAATACCATTAGAAAAAGAAAAACAGGAAAATCAATATTACCATAACATGACAACCAATATAAGTACAAGAAATTAATACCAATAAACGACAACCAATACCAGTATGAACAATCTATACTAGTACATGAAAATCAATACTCAACAACCAATACCATGGCGTGCAAACCATTGCTATTCATACTGAAATTAAAGATTGAGCGTAAACAATAAATACTTCTACAGAGGTAAAAGCAGGAAACAACAGATCATTACTATCAAATAACTAGAGATCTCATCTGAAAAGCGTCTGCTTCGGAAGGGAAGGGACACATGGAGGCTGGGAGTGGGAGCTGCACTTTCAATCCGAGAATCCACCCAGATTATTGTTTCAACCAATCTATCAATACAACCACGAACCAAATTCATCTGTTGCACCTATATGCATGATAACTTAGGAATTCAACTACTTTAAATAGGCTGGTGTGCATGAACACCTATCACACCAGTGGAGAGCTTTACCCTTTGCCCTTTAATTGATACATAAATTCCTTGTAGCACCATCACCCGGCTTAGGACACGAGCCTTGTGATGCATCCGTGAATTGGTTGACGTTCTTCTGTTGGTTCGACAATCAAAACACAAAACAAGATACTATTAGACAACGGCCAGGACACAAAGAAAAGGGCAGAATCCAACGGCTAATCTAGCTAACTTCATTCAGGTGAAGTTCACAGAACAAAATTATTACGAAGTCAAGATATGTATTGCCGGAAAAGAAAAAGAGGGAACATTGTGACAAGATCAAGTAAGTACCAGCTATTGCAGGAGTTGTTGGTCCAGTTATTGCGGGAGTTGTTGGTTTGCTGCTCTGAACCCAACAGCTATAGCTGCCATCATAGATAACTCGCAATTCTTCGTACCGTGGAATTGGAATAGGCCAACAAGAAAAGCTAGGATGGAATAATGCCCAACGGGGCGAAAGTAGTACTCTAAGTTCAGAGTGGAACTCTAGGTCTCCCCTTCTCAAATCACAGGACAAGATAGCTCCCTTCACATCAAGATAATGGAAGAAGACAATCTCCGGCTTGTCTGGATGCAGATAAGGAAGGACAATACTGTGCAGTGAGGCACTCATACTCTTTAACACACCTTCACATACTAGGCTAAAAGATTTATGGTCATCGTCTAATCTCCAAATACTTGAGGCAATTCTTGAATCACCACCTTCAGGTTTGCTGTTGAACACAGATATGTGCAAAGCACCCTGTGACACCGAAATATCCCACCACGGTTTCAGGAGTTGAGGAGCATTGATATAAGAAGGAGGTATCTCTGGGCAGAAAGGATTAAACACGGCAATCATATAATGACGGCGAATAGACACCCAAAATAACTCTCCATTGCAGGAAACTACATTCATTCTGTCGCTGTAAAAATGGGTATCAACAACAAGAGGATCCTTGTTCCATTCTCCTGACTCGGAACAAAACATGTCTAGTCTTGTACAACAATTTGACTTTCTCATATGTTGATATAAACACACAACCCGGAATCGATACTCAGAATAAACAACAGATCCTGCTCGGCCATCTCCTAGATCAAGATTATATGAACTTCGGGGTTCACAAACTAACCTTGCGACCAATCCCCAACACCTCGTCGGCCGGCAAGGCGCCAGAGGAAGGGCGATCCATTGCTTCGTAAACGGATTGCAGAGGAAGTACGACCTGCGGAATTCGTCATCAAGGTCTTCTGGCATCTGAAACCCGCATAGAAGCAAGTCCTGGAAGGAATCCAGAACTGCGAAACGCAGCTCATGATCTACACTAGGCATAGGGACAAACCCCTGGATGATCGATTGCTGGTCTTCTGAGGAAAGTACCAGAGGTGGTTGCAGTTCGTTGATGCTCTCGCGGTGAGAAACGAAACTGCGATTGAATCGAGGACTCGAGATCAGGGAACTCCATCGCTTGCAGACGGTACTGATTCGGCAGGCGAATTTAGGGCTGGGGAGGCGAATCAGAATTTCTATTAGGAGATCGTCCCCGAGTGTGCTTATTTCTGAAAGGATCCGTCGTTTCATGAAGACGCCTACCGGCACATCCGAAGCCGAGGAGTTGTTCTCGGTCGCCATGGCGGTCAGAAAGATAACGCCGCCGGAGAGTAGTAATATACTAGCTTGGGACGCCGGAGATGCAGGGAGTGAAGAGGCCGAAATCCCTAATCTCCTCCTTTTTTGGTGGGAAAATCCCTAAATCCCTCGAATTTTCAGCGAGCGCGGTAAGTAATTATTTGGGACTGAGCCGATTAAACAATGTAAATACGGCAGTAAGTTTGGGCTGGGCTTTGTTCACTGGGCCGTGTTGATAAGCACTGAGGAGTAATGGATGAACAAATGTAATGGAATTGAATTACGTGAAAGACAACTTGCGAGACCAAAATATCCCACGCCCACACATAAGAGGATTCATGCCTTGCCGTGCAATACAAGCAACCAGATACTATGTTCTATTTCCCTAATTATCTTACACCAGGATACTTAATTACTTATCTCAATTACATCCATTGAATCAAGTTACACCACATCAACCAAAAAGGAAAAAACAACCCAAAAATCAACCCAAACAAACAGGAAGAGAGAGCATACACATATGTTCAACAACAGAAGTATACAGATGAGGGGGTCAACTCAAAACAAACTCACACAAACCTGTTAAATGGCCTTCTGCCAACAGCAGCAGGCATGGAAACTGTGGAATCCACACTCAAATTCCCAATGGAGTGAATTGGCTGGTGCTTGTCAATCACCCTTGGTGATCCTGAGCCCTTGTTGTTGTTGTTGGAAGAGAACAAACTGCCAGCATTCCACTTGAATGATTGCCCACCTCCAAATGGGAAAGAGACCCTCCTCTTCTCGCTGCTCGGCGTCCCAGGGAGAGGGAACCTCTCCCTGGGGTTACTGTTGGCACGGGTCTTTGCCTTGGCGGAGACCGTTGGAGTCATGTAGTTAGGCCTCGAGAATGGCGGGCAGCTTGTAAGGCTGTCGTCGTCCTTGGATGGGAAGTTGAATGGCGATGGGGAGGAGTGATCGCCCCCTCCTCCTCCTCCTCCTCCTCGTGCTCTCGAGTACTTCGACAGGCCTGATGAGCTGTTTGCTGCATTGTTGTTTGGGGTCATCTTGTGGACCGGCGTTCGAACCTGTCTGGCAGTGGACCTTGTAGACCGTGGTGTGGGGGTGTCCATGCCGTCATAGGCGAAATGTTGTTGATGTACAGGGCTAGGCTTCACTTGGGATGAAGGTCTTGTTGGAGTGAGTTGGAAATTCTTTGTCAGCTGGCTTTCCTGTTTGTTGTTTGATGATGAGGCTGGGAGCTGACGCTCGAGCCAGTTCCACCACCATGGGAATCCATTCGACCGAATGTCTGTTAGAGATAGTTGTGTAGCCCTCGGAGTGCCCTTCCACAGCTGAAATGTGAAGGAGAAGGGAAATTGTATGCATATATGAATATGGTTTTTCTCATTGTGTGTATAGTAAGGTTTTTCTGTGCATACTGGTTGATAATGTACCTGGTGAGAATATGCATATGCCATTGCTCTTTCTCTCTTGATGACCGCGTCCATTTTACTCCGTAATCCTGCCTCAACTTGATCTTTTGTCAGCACACTGTCGTCCCAGTCATCCCCATTCCCTGCTTCCGACTGCAGAATGCACCCAAAAAGACTAGTCTCAACGACATGATGAGAACTCAAAGGAATCACGACAAACTTGACAAATAAGTTACGGATATTTGTGTGTAACGGTGCAAGCCATGAGTCTCTAATTGTAAGCAAACAGACAAAAAAACAACAAGAGCAACAGTGGGCTTACAGTTTGGCTCCGTTTCCCCAAATGAGACTCAACTTCGTTATCGTTCTTCTTATGCTGCCGTGCCTGGTTTTCTAACATCTGAATCCTCCGTGACTGAATCTGAGACTGGACGCGAACCAAGAGCTGCATGCATTTCATCGCGTTCATCGTCTGGCGCTTCACATTCTGTCCTCTGATCACTCCCTGGAGCCTCATTAGACCCTTCAAGGCTCTAAAGCTCCTCCTTGCCTGCATAGGATTTGAGTGATGAATTTCATGCTAATTGCCAACTTCAAGAGATTGTTTTAAGAGAAAAAAAGGATAAACCATCATTAGATTATGTTTCTATATTATCATTATGCTTGCCATCAAATGCTACCTGCATATTTCTAATGGGAATCCAATCAAAATTCACACTACAGGGCTGTTTGTGAAAAATCATAAGATAGTGATATATAAAGTTTGTGAAAATAACTTAGTATACAAGGACTAGAACTGTCATGAATCAGGCATTCACTCCCATATGGAGAACAGCCACTGCTAGCCTATTGCTACTGGTATATATGGTCATGCCATCTAATAATCAATAAGGAAAAAGTGAGAAAATTTGGGAAAGAAACTTACCATATAGCCTCTGTAAGCTGCTTGGATCTTGGTAGCACAAGCATTCTGGTTTCTCAATGTTGGCTCAATCCTCCTATATACTTGCCTCTCACGCTCCACATTCTTCGGAGAAGTTGCTCTAGCAGAAATTGAAGGAGCAGCAGCCTTTGGAGATGGAGGCCTAGGGGAAGCAGCAGGCCTTGGAGATGGGGCTCTTGGCGAAGTAGCAGCCCTTGGAGAGCTACTAACTCGTAGGGAGGGAACCCGTGGAGAAGAAGAAACTACTCTGGAAGGTGGAGGCACAAAATTTGGAGTTCTGGGTTGTTCAGCAGGAGGAGTTGGTGGCCTGAATGTTAGTTTGTGTTCCCTTTCTGCCTCACCCAAGATCTTCTCAATGCTGCTCGGTTCTCTGAACAATGGAATGAATGAGCTGCTGCTCTCACCCTGCCTGAACTTTCCTATGCCTTTACTCTTTTTCTCTTTACTACTACTTTTCTTATCTGGTTCCTGCATTGAGGTTAAAACAATGTGCCATTATATGTTCATCTGCTCTCTTCACTTATCAGCAAATTGGGAAACAGTCAGGACACTATACCTAAGGGATCACTTTGGATGAAGGAATGAACAAAATCATCCATTTGAAAGGAATTGAGGGTGCATAATGCATTTGAAATGTCTAGTCGTGCACTTTTAACAATCAAATGATCGTTCATCCAAACGACCTCTAAGTTCTATAATGTATTGTTTAGGTCTTGATTAGCATAAACAAATGTAGAACTCCTACCTATGCCTAGTACCGACCATTGAAAGCAAGCAGATAAAGATCATCCAACGGACCTCTACATTCTATGAGAGGTATCATTCAAAGTCTTGCTAAGGATGCACAAGTGTGGAACTTCTGCCTCATCATACAGCCTATCATCAAAAGCAAGCCCACAATAAATAAATAAAAATTAGTCCTCAATTCAGTCCTCAAGCTACTTAGACAATAATACACAATGGTTATGGTGTTATTACAAGCAATCTGCATTCTGGTTGGAGTGAAAACAAGTTCAAATGTTAAACACGACCAACAAGGGAATCATTGCCCTCTTAACTTTTTATACCACATTTCAGGACCATGACACCATGTTTGAACCAGAAATCCCATGAACAATTTGGTCTTGTTAGGAAGTCACATTTCATCGCAAATACAATGCACTATTTTTCGCAATCCCAGAAGATAATTCAGCCTATTTGCCTCCCTCCCGTCAACTGTATAGATATTCTACATATCATATGGTAGGCTGCAAATAGAGCGTGCTCAATCAATAGAGTATTTTGGTCACAGTTCAGTATAGTACAATCGCTAAGCATGATTAAGCAACTCGAAATAAGACGAGTTAATACAGAAAGATGTCCTCGATATGATTAAGGTAAGTTACTTGCATCGACTTATGAGATGTACAAGACACAAAAATGGGGTGTAAACCATTTCTATTGATACAGAAATATATATTCGTTTGCTTAAACAATAAATACTTCTACAGAGTTATAAGCAGGAAATAAAAATAAAAAAAATTCATTGGTATTCGATACATAACTGAACACCCAAAATATATCATCCACTTCGAAAGGGAAGGGACACAACGAGGTAGGGAGTGTGAGCTGCAATTCAACCCGTGTACCCAACCCAATCCATTTGCTGCACCTCTATACACGATAACTTAGAATTCAACTACTTAAAAAAACCTGGAGTGCATGAACACCAATCACAGCAGTGGAGCTCCTCCCTTTTCCCTTTAATTGATACATAGTTTCCTTTTAATGCCATCACCCTTCATAGAATGCGAGCCCTATGATGCTAATCAGGTGACCTTCCTCCCATGACCAGATCGGTCAATCAGTTGGCGTTCTTCTGTTGTTTCAGCAATCAAAGCACAAACATGATACAGTTAGAAGTCATCCAGGGCACAGAAAGAAATGGGCAGAATTCAATGTCTATCTGGCTAACTTCATTCAGGTTAAGTTTAGGTTAAAAGAGTTGACTTTCCCATTTTCATTGGTGCGGGAAAAGAAAAGAAGGAACAATGTGACAAGATCAAGTAAGTACCAGCAATTGCAGGAGTTGTTGGTCCAGTTATTGCGGGAGTTGTTGGTTTGCTGCTCTGAACCCAACAGCTATAGCTTCCATCATAGATAACTCGCAATTCTTCGTACCGTGGAATTGGAATAGGCCAACAAGAAAAGCTAGGATGGAATAATGCCCAACGGGGCGAAAGTAGTACTCTAAGTTCAGAGTGGAACTCTAGGTCTCCCCTTCTCAAATCACAGGACAAGATAGCTCCCTTCACATGAAGATAATGGAAGAAGACAATCTCCGGCTTCTCTGGATGCAGATAAGGAAGGACAATACTGTGCAGTGAGGCACTCATACTCCTTTCTAACTCTAGGAAGAAATCATCGAGTTGAATGCTAGGGTTAGATCTTGGACGGGCTGTCTTTAACACACCTTCACATACTAGGCTAAAAGATTTATGGTCATCGCCTAATCTCCAAATACTTGAGGCAATTCTTGAATCACCACCTTCAGGTTTGCTGTTGAACACAGATATGTGCAAAGCACCCTGTGACACCGAAATATCCCACCACGGTTTCAGGAGTTGAGGAGCATTGATATAAGAAGGAGGTATCTCTGGGCAGAAAGGATTAAACACGGCAATCATATAATGACGCCGAATAGACACCCAAAATAACTCTCCATTGCAGGAAACCACATTCATTCTGTCGCAGTAAAAATGGGTATCAACAACAAGAGGATCCTTGTTCCATTCTCCTGACTCGGAACAAAACATGTCTAGTCTTGTATAACAATTTGACTTTCTAATATGTTGATATAAACACACAACCCGGAATCGATTCTCAGAATAAACAACAGATCCTGCTCGGCCATCTCCTAGATCAAGATTATAAGAATTTCGGGGCTCACAAACTAACCTTGCCACCAATCCCCAACACCTCGTCGGCCGGCAAGGCGCCAGAGGAAGGGCGATCCATTGCTTCGTAAACGGATTGCAGAGGAAGTACGACCTGCGGAATTCGTCATCAAGGTCTTCTGGCATCTGAAACCCACATAGAAGCAAGTCCTGGAAGGAATCCAGAACTGAGAAACGCAGCTCATGATCTACAGTAGGCATAGGGACAAAGCCCGGGATGATCGATTGCTGGTCTTCTGAGGAAAGTACCAGAGGTGGTTGCAGTTCGTTGATGCTCTCGCGGTGAGAAACGAAACTGCGATTGAATCGAGGACTCGAGATCAGGGAACTCCATCGCTTGCAGACGGTACTGATTCGGCAGGCGAATTTAGGGCTGGGGAGGCGAATCAGAATTTCTATTAGGAGATCGTCCCCGAGTGTGCTTATTTCTGAAAGGATCCGTCGTTTCATGAAGACGCCTACCGGCACATCCGAAGCCGAGGAGTTGTTCTCGGTCGCCATGGCGGTCAGAAAGATAACGCCGCCGGAGAGTAGTAATATACTAGCTTGGGACGCCGGAGATGCAGGGAGTGAAGAGGCCGAAATCCCTAATCTCCTCCTTTTTTGGTGGGAAAATCCCTAAATCCCTCGAATTTTCAGCGAGCGCGGTAAGTAATTATTTGGGACTGAGCCGATTAAACAATGTAAATACGGCAGTAAGTTTGGGCTGGGCTTTGTTCACTGGGCCGTGTTGATAAGCACTGAGGAGTGCTGGTCTTTCTTATCATCTAGCCCAAGGTACGGGCACATTTTATGCACAATGTATGAACAAATGTAATTGAATTGAATTATGTGGAAGACAACTTGTGAGACCAAAATATCCCATTCCCACACCTAAGAGGATTCATGCCTTGCCGTGCAATACAAGCAACCAGATACTATGTTCTATTTCCCTAATTATCTTACACCAGGATACTTAATTACTTATCTCAATCACATCCATTGAATCAAGTTACACCACATCAACCAAAAAGGAAAAAACAACCCAAAAATTAACCCAAACAAACAGGAAGAGAGAGCATACACATATATATGTTCAACAACAGAAGTATACAGATGAGGGGGTCAACTCAAAACAAACTCACACAAACCTGTTAAATGGCCTTCTGCCAACAGCAGCAGGCATGGAAACTGTGGAATCAACACTCAAATTCCCAATGGAGTGAATTGGCTGGTGCTTGTCAATCACCCTTGGTGATCCTGAGCCCTTGTTGTTGTTGTTGGAAGAGAACAAACTGCCAGCATTCCACTTGAATGATTGCCCACCTCCAAATGGGAAAGAGACCCTCCTCTTCTCGCTGCTCGGCGTCCCAGGGAGAGGGAACCTCTCCCTGGGGTTACTGTTGGCACGGGTCTTTGCCTTGGCGGAGACCGTTGGAGTCATGTAGTTAGGCCTCGAGAATGGCGGGCAGCTTGTCAGGCTGTCGTCGTCCTTGGATGGGAAGTTGAATGGCGATGGGGAGGAGTGATCGCCCCCTCCTCCTCCTCGTGCTCTCGAGTACTTCGATAGGCCTGCTGAGCTGTTTGCTGCATTGTTGTTTGGGGTCATCTTGTGGACCGGCGTTCGAACCTGTCTGGCAGTGGACCTTGTAGACCGTGGTGTGGGGGTGTCCATGCCGTCATAGGCGAAATGTTGTTGATGTACAGGGCTAGGCTTCACTTGGGATGAAGGTCTCGTTGGAGTGAGTTGAAAACTCTTTGTCGGCTGGCTTTCTTGTTTGTTGTTTGATGATGAGGCTGGGAGCTGACGCTCGAGCCAGTTCCACCACCATGGGAATCCATTCGACCGAATGTCTGTTAGAGATAGTTGTGTAGCCCTCGGAGTGCCCTTCCATAGCTGAAATGTGAAGGAGAGGGGAAATTGTATGCATATATATGAATATGGTTTTTTTCATTGTGTGTATAGTAAGGTTTTTCTGTGCATACTGGTTGATAATGTACCTGGTGAGAATATGCATATGCCATTGCTCTTTCTCTCTTGATGACCGCGTCCATTTTACTCCGTAATCCTGCCTCAACTTGATCTTTTGTCAGCACACTGTCGTCCCAGTCATCCCCATTCCCTGCTTCCGACTGCAGAATGCACCCAAAAAGACTAGTCTCAACGACATGATAAGAACTCAAAGGAATCACGACAAACTTGACAAATAAGTTACGGATATTTGTGTGTAACGGTGCAAGCCATGAGTCTCTAATTGTAAGCAAAACAACAAGAGCAACAGTGGACTTACAGCTTGGCTCCGTTTCCCCAAATGAGACTCAACTTCGTTATCGTTCTTCTTATGCTGACGTGCCTGGTTTTCTAACATCTGAATCCTCCGTGACTGAATCTGAGACTGAACGCGAACCAAGAGCTGCATGCATTTCATCGCGTTCATCGTCTGGCGCTTCACATTCTGTCCTCTGATCACTCCCTGGAGCCTCACTAGACCCTTCAATGCTCTAAAGCTCCTCCTTGCCTGCATAGGATTTGAGTGATGAATTTCATGCTAATTGCCAACTTCAAGAGATTGTTTTAAGAGAAAAAAGGATAAACCATTATTAGATTATGTTTCTATATTATCATTATGCTTGCCATCAAATGCTACCTGCATACTTCTAATGGAAATCCAATCAAAATTCATACTACAGGGCGGTTTGTGAAAAATCATAATATAGTGATAAATAAGTTTGTTAAGATAACTTAGTATATAAGGACTAGAACTGTCAGGAATCAGGCTTCCACTCCCAAATGGAGAACAGCCATTGCTAGCCTATTGCTACTGGTATACATGGTCATGCCATCTAATAATCAATAAGGAAACTTACCATATAGCCTCTGTAAGCTGCTTGGATCTTGGTAGCACAAGCATTCTGGTTTCTCAATGTTGGCTCAATCCTCCTATATACTTGCCTCTCATGCTCCACATTCTTCGGAGAAGCTGCTCTAGCAGAAGTTGAAGGAGCAGCAGCCTTTGGAGATGGAGGCCTAGGGGAAGCAGCAGCCCTTGGAGATGGGGCTCTTGGCGAAGTAGCAGCCCTTGGAGAGCTACTAACTCGTAGGGAGGGAACCCGTGGAGAAGAAGAAACTACTCTGGAAGGTGGAGGCACAAAATTTGGAGTTCTGGGTTGTTCAGCAGGAGGCGTTGGTGGCCTGAATGTTAGTTTGTGTTCCCTTTCTGCCTCACCCAAGATCTTCTCGATGCTGCTCGGTTCTCTGAACAATGGAATGAATGAGCTGCTGCTCTCACCCTGCCTGAACTTTCCTATGCCTTTACTCTTTTTCTCTTTACTACTACTTTTCTTATCTGGTTCCTGCATTGAGGTTAAACAATGTGCCATTATATGTTCATCTGCTGTCTTCACTTATCAGCAAATTGGGAAACAGTCAGGACACTATACCTAAGGGATCACTTTGGATGAAGGAATGAACAAAATCATCCATTTGAAAAGTATTGAGGGTGCATTAATGCATTTGAAATGTCTAGTGCACTTTTAACAATCAAACGATCGTTCATCCAAACGACCTCTAAGTTCTATAATGTATTGTTTAGGTCTTGATTAGCATAAACAAATGAAGAACTCCTACCTATGCCTAGTACCGACCATTGAAAGCAAGCAGATAAAGATCATCCAAGGGACCTCTACATTCTATGAGAGGTATCATTCAAAGTCTTGCTAAGGAACTTCTGCCTCATCATACAGCCTATCATCAAAAGCAAGCCCACAATAAATAAATAAAAACTAGTTTCATTTGGTCTAAAAATTGATTCACCCTCGCGCAACAGAAGACACCTACTCTCAAGTGGACATTCAAATATCTTATAAGCACTAGATTTCAGAAGTGCAAATGCAGATAATTACTGGGAGATAGATTTTCACTCTTCAGAACTTACATTAGTTAATTTATCCTTGGAATGGGGCAAAAAGACCCTCTTGATTGCTGAAAACCAACTTCCTTTCTTCCCCATTTTCCCCGCATTTGTGTTTTCAACCCGAGGGGGAAGTGAGCAGCACAACTAGTTCTGCAAGTCCAGAACAAACCTTGATCAGTTCATAGCATCTTCCAGCTTCTGATGAAAGAATGCCAGAGCTCTTAAGAGTAAAGGGTACTCAACTAACAGACTTTCAGTATAAAGGAACATGTCAAATCAAGCTGTAATAACAATCATTTGACAATTCCATTAACTTGTAAGTGGGGAACAAGCAAAAGTACTTGGTAGGTTTAAAGAAAACAAACAAAAACAAGTCAAGAGAGAGGAAACCAAAATAATTTAAACCCCCTACCCAAGAACAACTCCAGAAACCTGCCTAATCCATTGGACATCTTTACTAACATTTTGCAGGGTATTTAACATGCAATCTTCACAATTTCATGAGTTTTTGAAGTGGGAAGCCGGCCAAAGTACATATTAATAGCTTGAAGTACGCAAACAAAAGCACAAGTCAATAGCAAAACCAGAAGAATCAAAGGAATCCAAAACCTCTCAAGTAAGAGCCAAGTCCAGAGATTTCTTTCTTCTGTGATCAAACAAGTGGAACCAGTTTTTGCCAAGACAAAGGAGAAAGGACTATCTACAAACTAGCAAGTCATATGTAACCAAGCAAGCATATAGAGACAAGCAACAACATGCCAAAAACAGAAATTAAGAATAAAAAATCCATCTTTCCCTCCTCCCCAGATAGAGAGATATTAGACAAGTCAGCTGTTTGCTTGCAGTCTCCATGACAAGACTGTCATAAGAATTTGCAGAAACCAAAATACAGACAAGGGAAAGGAAGGCAACAGATCCAAGAGACAGAGGAAACGAACACCCCAGGGGAAAAAATAATACAAATATCTCTCCTTGATGCAGATCCCAATGAAACAGAAACAAGAGAAACAAAGTTCCCAGATGAAGAGAAGTGAGGAAATTATTATTATTCAAATACTCTTCCCACCTTTTACCCATATATTCCCAGATGATGATCATAGACAGGAACAGCATAATTCCCAATAGAAAACAGCTAAAGGAAGGAACTTTGAGAAGGGGGAGCAAAAACAGAACAAGCACAAACAAAGGGGAGAGGCAATTGAGTACCTGGTTGAAGACCCAGTTGAGGAATCACCATGGCAGCAGAAAGCTGGTTCAAGAAGCAAAGAAAGTTGGGAAAAGGAGGCAAAGGAAAGAGAAGAGAGGCAAAAACTAAAGAGAGACCCAGCCAGCCAGCCAGCCAGAGGAGAAGAACCCTTTACCAGCCAGCCAGGGCAAAAGAAGAGAAGACCCTTTCAATTCTCTCTCCCTGTCTCTCTTTTGCTTTTTTTTTTTTTTTTTTGGTTCTTCTTTCTCTACCTGCCTTTCCAATAGAAGGATGGTGTTGGTGGAAGTGGAGAGGTGGTGGGTTCTTTCTGGGGGGGATATCTTTTTCAGCAAATATAAATGGTTTTTTTCTCCATTTGTTGGTGTTGGTGGTGGTGGTGGTGTTATCTGTCCCTCTCTTCCTTCCTCTATCTGTCAAAGCTCAAAGACTGGACTGCTTCTTCACTTCCATTTTGTATCTCTCTCCAAACCTTTCCTACTAACTTGCAAATATTTTTTTCTCTCTTGATGATAATTTCCACTTAATCCTTTTGTTTAACTTGTATCAATATGTGTAATCTAACTCTAACCCATCTTTTTCTTTCCCGTATCCCTTTTGCAATTGGGGTTGCTAGAAATCATTAATCAAGATGGTGATGATGATTCCATCCATGGGAGGAAACTACAGAAAAAAATGGTGATGATTATGGTGGAGAGAAAGAGAGAGGAAGGAGGGAATGAGTGGAAAGAGAAAGGAATTGAGGTGTCCACTTTCTCACTCAAGCTGAGGCTCTCTCTGCCTAACTTCAACCAAAACTTTGCTTCAAGGAGAAGACTATTTCTTGTTAAGCTCCCCACATCAAAGAAATATGCTTTCCTTAACCGTTATGTTTGGTAATTGGTATCCTCTTAAAAACTTCTACCCAACTCCACTCCTTTCTCTATTCTCTTGAAAATTGCTACAATTGCCTCATTTATACCTTCTAGTTACTAGCTTTCTTACGTGGATCATTAACCCAATATAGTTGTTTTCGATACAATAGCGGGTAAAGTCTTATTGTTTTCTCCATTAGAGTTAGTTTCTTTCAATTTTGTAACCTGATTTTATTAGTGTATTACTTTGGAAGGCTTTATTAGTCGATAATGTATACTTTTTCTAACTTTTTCTCTTATTATCTCTTGAAAAAAATATAATTGTTTGGCAAACAAGAAAACAATCACAAAAAAGAAATAAGAAATACGAGAAAGAGTGGTTTATTTAGAGTCATCTCAAAGTTTATTGATGAAAAAGTCGATACGAGAACCAACTTATTTTAAAGCAACTTGTTTTTATAATTGGTAGTGTGTTCAGTCGACCAAACAATCAGCTAGTGGATTTGAAATTCTTACTGTTGGGTCGTATTATGATGTTTACCCTCCCGATTGATAGAGTGTGAAATGTGAAACAAGAGAGTGTCATGCAAATTGTCGAACGTGAATTATAGGAAACGATTATTCGACCTATTAAAATCATATATTTCATTGGATGAATTTCTTTACCTTTGCTATCAAAAAATTTCACAACCCGCTCGGGTCGTACATAGATATGGTATTCGGGCTGCTGGCCATTCATCAGTCCAGCCCATTTCACGATTGGTCCATTTCTAGTTAAAACAATTCGATAACACACCGAGTAAGCCCACATCCTTCTCTGGCCCAACCCAAAAACTCAAACAAAGTCAGTCAGTTCTCGCTCATTTCCGATCTAACGATACACATTTTTCTCCGCTCTTCGGTCGCCGGACGTTCTCTGGGAAATCCAACTCCGAAGCAACTTTTCCCAGGGTATCGTACTTCTTTCCCGCTTTCTCTTCTCTGTGAATCACTGTCGTTTGCTGGCTTGGTTTGCGCACTTCAATAGGGATTCGCTTGATTATGCCGTCTCTGGATTCTCTTGTGAAATGAGGCATTGCATTCCAATGCCAGATCATAGGTCTTTTGCTATTTTGATCGAGCTTTCTCTGGAATTATTTTGGGAGTTCTATGGCTCTCCCTGGAGAGCTGAGGGTTTCAATTTTCGGGTCCAATGCTTATGATTGATACAGGAAACGTTCTATGCTCTGAATGGCTTCTTTGATGCTCCACGAGTTCGTTAATGTTGCACATTGCATTACCTTTGGTTTCTATTAGGGTTCCTGATTGATTTTACCTCTGGAGACTGTCCTTACTGCCTCAGTTTCAACAGGTGTAACTATGTATGGCTGCTAATACTGGTGGGAGGGGTTGTTAGATTAAGATTATTGAGTGTGGTTGTGGTGTAACAATGGGTGCAGGAAATGGGTTTGTGGACTTTGCTAGAGGGGTGTCTGCTTCTTGCAAATGCATTAGCCATACTGAACGAAGACCGTTTCCTTGGACCTAGAGGATGGAGCTTCTCTGAATTCTCGGGAGGAAGAACAAAGTCTTTCAAGGGGCAGCTTATAGGTCTTATTTACGCAACGCAGTATATGAGAGTTCCCCTCATCATACTCAACTCGATATGCATTGTTGTAAAGCTTGTTTCTGGGTGAAAGCTGCTGCTGCTGCTGCTAAGGTAAGTCAGACTACCAGAAAGATGGACGAAAAGTTGCATGTCTATATGTCATTAGAACAACTCCCTGTAGCTGTGTTACTGCATCAGAAACTTAGTTTCTCCCAACTAGATTTATACTAGCTAACCTGGGCTGCTTTTGTGATGTATGTCTGATCGACTAGTAGCAGTTTGTCCGCCACTGTAAAACCAGCAGTTGCCATTATTCTGGCTTGTATAGTGAGCTATACATGGCTATTGGAATCTAGCAAATACACTGATCTTTGTCTGCATTCTAGCATAGAGAGTGTTCTGCATGCAGTATTATGAAAAGTATCACTTTAACAGAAGGAGGGATATCCTTGCTTAACTGATTTTAATTTTTTTCTCTCCTTTCTCTGCGTTTAATAAGGTTTTCCCTCAATTTCGTGCAGGATTGTGATGTGCAGCAAGGCTAGCAGAGAGAGAGAGTTTAGAAGAACAAGTTTTTTTGCCACAGGGGCTGAAGCACACACGGTTGGTGAGGTTGATTACAGTGTTCGTTGTATGATTAGTGTGTTAGGTCGGTTTTGTCTTGCTTTTCTTTTTACGAACAACCATTAGTTGTAGAAATGTGGATGTACTGGAGTTTGAGATTCTATACTTGTGGTGTTTAGATGAAAGAGTTTTGGAAATGTTGTCAACCTTCTACCTGGTATATTTTCAGTTAAGGGTAACCTGAAATTATATATCTCCCCTTGAAGACAACTTGAGGCGTCGCGTTTAGTTCGTTTTAAGTATTTGCCAATGTACATTGCACTATGAGTATGGAGGAGAGCAGGAATTCGGTGCCATAACATATTGATCTCTTCTTTCGGCCCTCTCGTGTTTTCACTTTTGGTTGCTGTTTCATCTACTAGGCAGTTGAGGCTACAAAGAACGTTGAACTTGATAACGAGGAACTATCACAGGCCATACAAAGGAATAGCAGTAGCAGGACATTTCTTGGGCTCTTTCTATTTGTGCTTACATTTTCAATCCCTTTTCTTCATTGGTATAGTTGAATCAATGCAATACCCTGCCATTGCTGTTTCACACTGTACATTCTTAGTGCTACACATTCTTGTTCTCGCCGGTATAAAATTAGTGACATGTAGGAAGAAGGTTGTAAATGCTGAAGCAAACTCTATTATATATCTTACGTGTAGTGTAAGTAAAGATGATGTAACTTGACTTGTGTTGGAAGGAAATAAACTCATGCTTTGCTTGTAGATGAAGAGTCTACTATATGAGAGTACATGGACAATTTTTATTGATAATGTCTCTAGTTTGCACTCCAATTGTAGATCTTCCCTTCGGAAATTTGAGATAATCCACCAAAACAATGCCCTAAACCCTAAACAATTGCAACATTTTATTGCAAAATTGCCAATAGAATTTACAATCATGTTATAATCAAACTTAATCCATCTAAAAAATAAAGTTATAATCAAACTCAATATTCAACGATTTCATGATCCACCTCAGCAATCACCATTTGGCTAAGACGGCTAGGCCCGAGGTTCTTCCTCCTCATCATCACACTACTCCTCTTCCTAATAATCTCCATTTGATTCATCTTTCTCCTAACCTCCATCATCGCTTCTTCTTCAAGCACGAATCTCCTCATAAGCACGTCCTCGTTCAATGATTGTCCTCGAAAAAAAGACCTCCTACCTTCGATGCTAAGCCTCGCAGGGTTCGTCGGCGGTACTATTCTTTCTTGCGGGACGAGAAACGCTTTTGACGATCTGGGGTAACTGTTGCTTCTCCTTGGTGGGAAATCGGTCCGAAACACTTCGTTATAAGACGAGATGGGTGCACAGAGACAAACCCTAGTGAATGAGGTTGCAACCCTCATGGATGTGCACTTTCTTAGCCTGGCATTTCCCTTGGTAGGGTTGTTGGTGGTGGTAGGGAAAAGCTCTTTAGATGATTTTGTAGTGGGAGACCTCCACAATCTTGGAGTGGAAGTAATCTCTTGGGACCTTGGAATGACTCTCCAATAAGAAGCCATGTTTAGGGCTTTTTTGTACCAGCTGGGTTTCCTAGCATTCAAGAAATGCAAGTCATTCATATTGACACAAGTTTAAAGGATGATGATTGAACTTTTAATCTTCTTCCAAGGAATCAAATTAAGATTGATGAATCCATCTAGAACACTTAATTATTATATATATGGGATGGAAATAACTGAAAACTAAGTTTGAACTTCTTCAGTTGACTAAAAAATTTCTTTACCTTTCTAAATTAGGAGAACCGTTCAAGTTCAATAATCTCTCATCAAAAGCCATGAACTTGAAAACCAATTACACGGTTTTAGTTATTTATAAAAAAATAACATAATGTTAAATAAGGAATATTGTATCAGTGATTGATTTTTGAAACAACAATTTTTGTTGGTTGGGCTTCATTCAGAATGCTGAAGTGGCTAAAAGTAGTTTGAATTCCAAAACCATGAAATCCTATTGTACTCCAAGTCCGATCAACTTAATCCGTGAGAAATCCAACTCAAATTACTTTTAGAACAACAATGTACGCTTGTTTTTCTCGTTCACAAATATTTACTTATTCGAAAATGAATCTTCGAAATTCATATACGAAATCATAGTTGAGAAAACGATCACAAACACAAGATCACCAAAGTTCATACATCAAGCATCGAATCCACTCGAGGAAACACATCACTTCAAGTTCAAAATCGCGGGACCAACATCGATCATCGACTCATGACGAAATCGAGCGAACACTTCAATTGGACAACCTACACTTTTTCAAACTTACATTCCATGCACATAATCCATCCCATCCCTCAACCTTTGAACTGATGAAAACAGAGACAAAGTTACCTTGAGCTCTGCAAGGAGGAGGTGTCAGCTGGATCTTGCATATGAACATAAGAAAGAAGTAGAAGAATTGAGAGAAAGAACATGAAGAAGAAACATCAATGGAGGAGGAATGTGGAGGGAATAGAAATGCTTATGAGTTGTGAAAGGGATGTATGGGGGAAGAAGAGAAGAGGAAAGGAGACAGTTAAAAAGTTGGGTTTTCAAACAAAGTTTTTGGGGGAGATATGATTATGGTGGTGGTGATATGATGAGCATGATGGCTTGATGGGTTGCCAGGGTTGGCAAAACTCATTCACATATATTCTTTTGCTTTCTCTTCCCCTTTTTCTTCTAGATCAAGAGTTTATATATTTGTGTTGCTGCTTTATTGCTCTGCTCATGGCCATGGCTGGCCAAACTGCCCAGTACCTCTCTTCCCCACTCCTGCTAGCTTTTTCTTTTTGTTTTGGTTCCCTTTTGCTTTGCTTTTGTCAGTGATCCACATATCAATCCATCATCTACCTCTCTTCTCTTTCACTTTCTTTCTTCCTTATATTGTACTCTCTGTTTAATGCAAGTTGAAACTAGTGAGCATAAACTTCGGTCGATCAAAAGTTGATGTTTGAATCGGATCAAATCGTATATCAAAGTGCATGTTCACTTGATTTTGATTCTCAATTTTCTTAAGTTATAACATAACTTAATCAATAAGCTAGATTGAAATTAGTCAAAATCGAATTGGACAATTTTTTTGATCGATTTTATCTCTATCTTAATTTCTATCTTTTCCTATTACCTAGATCAATAAGCCAATATATGGGCCAAATTGTTGTTCATCATTATGGGTAGGGCTGGAAGTTTGGTACCGGTATTTGGGATATACCGAATACCGTACCAAATTTGTTTATATTTGGTATTACCGAATACACGTATTATTTTGTGGGATTGGGATTGAATTTCAATTGTTATTCGGTATTAGGGATTACGGGATTGGGATCAGGATATACCGAAATACCGATCAATACCGAAATATAAGCTAGTGCGTAATTTATCCTTTGAACTAGACTCTCTCATTCACTACTAGGCGACTCTCAACTACCAAGAGTATCATTTAATTATACATAGATCATTCCATCACTATTTCACACTAGTATTAGTCGTCTCTCAACCTCAAATTCGTCAAATTAAAGATTACCAATTACAAGAACTTGAGATATTAGCTCTAGGCAACTCAAGACTCTTTGCTTAGTCTCTTTGCCCTAAATTAAACAATAAAATCTAATTTATATATTTAATTATTAATTACAAAGGTAATTAATTTTGTATTTGAGAATACCGATTGGGATACCGAGGTACCGATTGGGATACCGAAATTATTTAGGGATTGAGATTGGGATTGATTTTAGGGTGTAATTCGATATTCGGAATTTCGGTATTTGGTATTGGGATACCGATACCGTACCGATTTCCACCTCTAATTATGGGTTTTATTTCTCATTGCTGTGATTGATTGTCAGTCCTCTTTAGTGAGGCTAGTAGTAATGCCCATTGATACCAAGTGGCAAAGCCCATTTAGTTAATAGGTAGGCTAATGAAATCATAGTTTGGGCCAAGCTATTGAAATCATAGTATGGGCTGGGCTTTAATTACCTCTGGAAAGTTGGTGCACAATATAAACGTGCCCAAGTCCCCAATGCCCTTTTCGCGCAAAACAAAAAAAAAAACGCGTTTCTTTTTCAGCGGCTTCACTAACCAGTAGCAACTAGCAACCACACCGCCATTTTCCCACTTGCGAAAATAAACTGACCCCCGCCGTTCACTGGAGCTCCGAAGAAAGATCTGCATGCGCGCTCTAATGGCGACCATTTCTCCAATCGCCTCCGCGTCACTTCCTTCCCTATCTCTCTCACCCTCTTCTTCACCTTCACCAGCTTTCCTGGTCTTCAAACCTGCTTACCCGGTCCTCTCATTCAACAGCAACAACTCCGTCCCTCGCCGGAACAATTTCCTAGCCGCCGCAGCCGCAAACGCCGATTCCGCCGCTCTATCCTCCTCCAGCTCCCCGCCTCCGAATCCGCCTCCGAGATCCAAGTAATTGCTAATTCATTGTTTGTAGTTCGTTGTTTGATTGGAAGAAGTAGCGTTTCGCTCTGTTCTGAAATGTGTATTTGGTCATTTGCTGTAGGGTGCGGCGGCACACGATCTCCGTCTTCGTCGGCGATGAGAGCGGGATGATTAACAGAATTGCCGGCGTTTTCGCCAGGAGAGGTTACAACATCGAGTCGCTGGCCGTTGGTCTGAACAAGGACAAGGCGCTCTTCACCATTGTCGTCTCCGGAACGGAGAGGGTGCTGCAGCAAGTCGTCGAGCAGCTTCAGAAGCTCGTCAATGTCTTGAAGGTTGTTTTTCGAAAACCTCTCTCTCGTTTCCAATTTTAGGTGGGAGTTGGTTTGAACTGATTTGGGAAGGCTTTGTTGGGTTCTTCGTTTCATATGTAATGTGGTTGCCATTTGAATAGGTTGAAGATCTCTCCAGTGAGGCTCAGGTAGAGCGCGAATTGATGCTTATAAAAGTGAATGCTGAAACTGAGCACCGTGCTGAGGTTAGTTGGTTTATGCTTTTGCTGTTTGTTCAGTGGCTCGAAATGTATGTTTTCCATCTCCAGTGAGGAAGTTGTTTTCTTTCTTGATGTCTTGTTTACTTACTGATTCTAGTATGGGTTTGAATTTCAGATCAAGTGGTTGGTCGACATCTTTAGGGCGAAAATTGTTGATATCTCAGAGCATTCAGTCACAATTGAGGTTATGATTCTTGAACTTGAGTATCACTGAGAATTCTGCGGCCAGAATGATTCATAGATCATGTAGGATTCATTGGTCTATTTTGCTTGCAGTTTTCGGTTTATTGCATTTTTTGAATTATTGAATTTAGTTGATGACTGATAGTGGCCTATGGTCCTTAAAAGAGTGCAGCGGAAGTACATCTCACGTGATTCAAATTGCAATGGAATCGTTAAATTCTTCCTTGAAAAGTGACTAGTAGCATCGATATGTTTAAAAAGTTTAATCTTTGTATGCATTCAACTATTGCACTCTTTGAAAAGTAGGGTTTGCATCATGGGAGTATATTGCTTATTAATTCTGTTTTGGATTATTAGGTTACTGGAGACCCTGGGAAAATGGTTGCTGTGCAGAGAAACCTAAGCAAGTTTGGTATCAAAGAAATTGCTAGAACTGGCAAGGTTACTTTTTAGCTCTGTTCTCATCATTGTGGCCCTTGGCACCGTTACATCTGTGCTAATGTATGAACTTCTTCCTTGCATTAGATTGCATTGAGAAGAGAAAAAATGGGTGCCACTGCTCCCTTTTGGCGATTCTCTGCCTCTTCATATCCTGATCTTGGAGAGAATGGGGCTGAAAATGGACTATCAGCGGTTAAAAGTAGAGCAGTCATCACTGAAGCTGATACGAGTGCAGGGGTATGCAGTTTCTTAATCCATGAGCTTATACTCTCTCTGATTTGAGGGCAATTAGATTAGTAAGAAGTTGATGCCATAATTTACCATGAGTGTTGATTGTTACTTTCCATATTGCTTGCTGAGAAGTGGTTCAATTTAAATTTTCAACGATGATTATCCACACTCAACTCACCAAATGACTTCTTGGCTGACACATTCTGTGAATGTTTCTGTTTCCCTTTTGTCTCCCCATTTATGTATTGCTTGCTTCTAGAAATGAAGTTTGTTATTTGTCATTTTGCCTTCAAGTGGTTTTCTTGATTCTGATTTGCTGGAATTTCAAATTCATTTATCCAGGGAGATGTTTATCCTGTGGAGCAGTCTGATGGGTTTCCTTTTCATCAAGTTCTTGATGCACACTGGGGTGTTCTAAATGAGGAAGATGTAAGAAAGCTCTCTTCTGTTTATAGTTCAGTTCATCAAACAGATTAATGATAAGTGTTGATTATTTTATTCAGAAAAGTGGTCTTCGATCACATACTTTGTCCATGCTTGTAAATGATGTCCCTGGAGTTCTCAACCTTGTTACTGGGGTTTTTTCTCGACGGGGTTATAATATTCAGGTATGTTCATTCTTACTGCGTTTTGTTATTCTTTGCGACATTAATATGGTTGCACTTTTATTTTACTATATTTTCTTCTGGGTTGCCAGAGTTTAGCCGTTGGGCATTCTGAGAAGGAGGGCCTCTCGCGTATTACAACTGTCGTACCTGCTACAGATGAATCAGTTAGTAAGTTGGTGAAGCAACTGTATAAGCTAGTTGACCTTCATGAGGTAATTGACAAAATTGCACTGTCAACAAACTTTTTTTTTTCCTTACAAATTGCATTACCTTGGTAGAGATGAGTATTAGTAACCTGTTCTAGGTACTCTACATAACGTATCTGTCTAGGACGTGTTTGACTTGTTAATCATCATGCTCTTCAGTGCTGCTGATCATTCTTCGGGTTTAATATTCAATTTGGAAGTATTATCGGCAGAGTACTTTCCATCCTTGTTAACAGTCTGCTGCCCTTTCAGGTTCGTGATCTTACCTCCTCCCCATTCGCTGAACGTGAACTAATGTTGATCAAGATCGCGGTGAATGCTGCTGCTCGCCGCGACGTCCTTGATATTGCCACCATTTTCAGGGCAAAAGCAGTTGATGTCTCTGACCACACCATAACCCTCGAGGTTTGTAACTTGCTGTCCCAGTCATAATACGACTGCAACCTTCACTTCATGGCATCTCAAAATCGCAAAAATTTGACTTTGATGAATTCACTATTGAACAACACTTCGCTTGGCGCAGCTTACGGGAGATCTGGACAAGATGGTTGCTCTGCAGAGATTGCTGGAACCCTTTGGCATCTGCGAGGTTATTTCCTCTCTTTCCTTCATTTTCTGATGCACCAATAACAACCTGCTTTTTGTGACTCGAAATGCCTTCCTCCTCTTACTATAGGTTGCACGAACTGGACGAATAGCTCTGGTTCGCGAATCAGGCGTGGATTCCAAATATCTCCGCGGATACTCTTATCCTATATAGTTAATTCACAGGCACCCGTTCTTCGCAGCAACGACGAAGAAAGCAGTCTAACAGCATGCTTCAGTGAGGTAAGAATGAGGCCCCTGCTGGGAGACAGTTCGGTTACCGAATGTTGTGCCATTGCTCTGCTGTATGCCGTAGTTTGGGACCAGCTACATACTGGGTAGAACTTCCATGTACTATAAAACGAAATTTTGTTCGCTTCCCTGTCTTCGAAAATATTGGTTTCTGTTTTGGTACGAGTTCTTGGCATAAGCAGAAATATGACCTGTTGCTATCTTAGTGGTGAACCGACTGATTCGTAGGATAGATATTGGCCCTGTTCTCGCTATGCTGCGAGTCGAATGGATGATGTTCTCGACGTATACAAAACGTTACGACGAAGTGGTAAGATATGATAGTTGCCAATAAGTGCTCTCAGGTTTAGTTTTCACAACCTATAATTCACAAAAATACAAATTTTAACGGCCGTCAATGAACCTAAAAGTTCGAATCGGGCGTATTTGCTCTTATGAATTCATCTAGCTAGTATCTATGTATCGACCGCATCTTTAAATCGAACCATGAGATCTATCAACAGTGTGAAAGAGTAAAATAGACCTAAACCATACTGAGAATAGCTCATAATTCATTCCCGGTGGGCAACAAAAACCTGAATATAAGTCATGTCCCACTGCCCAACCTCATGATTTCACCCCACAGTGACCAAGCTTTCTTTGTTAACATAAACCCTGCGAGCTCCACGAACACCATCTGCCACAACTTTAGTGGCCTGAGTAGCAGGGTCGAACAACACCAACTCATGGGTTTCAGATGTGCCATAACCCCTAACAAGAATAAGCTCGTCGTCCCTCCACCACCCAACCACAGACATATAAGGGTAATTACCTGGCATCCAATCCTCACCAGCAGCAACCTCCGCCGGCGCCGGCAGCATCACAGAAGGTGGAATAAAGGGAGCAACAGTCTGGTGCTTGACCCAACACCATTCTTCACTTAATAACCACAGGTCACAACCACCGCTACTCTCCTGGAAAAGAAACAAAGCAAGCGCATCCTTGTACACAAGAAGCTGTTTCATACCAGCCTCATCATAAATGCAATCATATAGGTTGGGCACCGGATCGTCAACCACACGGAAAACCTCGTTCTCGAGGTCGAACGCCAGTGCTGCAAGAGGAGATAAGCATGCCCAGAAAAAGAACCCATTCAAGTAATTGTAAGATCGGACGGAGTCGAATATATCAACTTCAAGCCGCAACTCTTCTAGCTCCCTCCAAGTATCAGTGCCAGGTGTGTACACCACCACTTGTGAAGGGAATTTGGGAGAGGAGCTGGCTACAAGAACGCACCAGGGGCTAACGGCTGTATCATCATTCCAGAAGTGCCTAATCATAACTATCTTGAAATCCTTAGCCACTGGATCTAGCCCGAACCCGTAGCTGTCGAAATAGTGTGTTGCGGCAGTGCTTTTCCTGACCGGTGGCATCGTGATTTCCCTAGATTTGCCGGTTGCTGGGTTCCATATACGCACTTCCGACTTGCCATCGCCCATCAGAAATATGCCGTTGCAGGGTCCGGCGATTATAAGCGTATCAAACTTCAGGTACTGAACTTGTGGTGATACATGATCACCGTGACAAAGAGGAGAGAATAGCCTAACCGGTGTGCAGCCATCATATCTTACATCAAAGTTTGGACGCTCGCACGCCATCAGGGTCTGAGAAGCAGAGCCAGCCGGGCCGTTGGTGTAGTTTCTGAGGTGCATGGAAACCAGGAAGGGGCTTGAAATTGCGGCATCCCAGCTTCTGCAGACGGACTTGAGCTGTAACAGATCTCTAGCGGGGAGCCGAACCAGGATCTCCACCAGCAAATCTAACGGCAACTCATCCACCTTATTAACCACCGCAGGTTTGAACAAGGTCAGATCTTTCTCCTCCCCCTGTGAAAAAAAAAGCATCGAGGACAGAAACCATTTCACAAGCAAGCAGAGCCAACAAAGAACAGGGGAGAAAAACAGAGAAGCAAATAGGCAAAGGAAGGCTGCAAAACTAAAACAGAAGCCAGAGAACCAGCAGCCACAAAGAACACCAACACAAGCAGTCAGCCGGACGGATATGATCAATCAGTGATTAGGGTTTTTTCAGATACGGAATCAGTGATTAGGGTTTTATAAAGATCAAGCTGAAGATGCAGATATCAACTACTTCAATCAGCTCAGGGCACAAACAATTCATCAAGAATGAGAGATGCCGATACCTCTATTTTGATCTGGCTACTGCGTCTCGACGACGAGAAAGCAGAGATTACACTGACAACTTGTCGAATCATCGACACCGGAGAGCTGAGAGCTGTGAGGAGAAACAGAAACACTGCCAGGACATGAGTCGCCCAATTCGTCTTTTCATCCATCGCCGATCCTCAACGGTATCTGTAACGCCGTGGTTGCTCGATGATTAACGAGGAAGAGAAAGAAGGACTGGGACAACAAAAAAAAAATTGAGAATGCGGGTAGTTTTGAATACCACCGGGAAAAAAGGAAAGCGCGAAACTTTTCCGGCAAGGAAAAGGGCGCCAAATGAAGGAACAGAATCCGATCGCCGCCGCTTCCTCCTGCTTAATCCTCACCCACCGCCGAAACCCCTATCTGATATCTCCGCTTAACAAGTTCCGCGATCATTCATTCCTCAATCCTCCCTGCCTTCTAAAATATTGGCCTCTGTTTTGGTACGAGTTCTTGGCGTAGGCAGAAATATGACATGTTGATATGATATTGGCCCTGTTCTCGCTACGCTGCGAGTCGAATTGGAACTGTCATGGCTGTCCAATTTGGCTTGGCCAAGATCTGGCTGTGAGGACCGTAGCCGAATTGTTTCACATGGAACATACACAAAACATCTCGGTCATGTTCGTAGCATATACAAAACGTTACAACGAAGAAAGTATAGCAAAAATACCAATTTAGTTTAACATTACTTTCCTTCAAGCAAACAGGAAAGTTTTAAGGGAGGAAGTGGCAGAGGGACGGGAAAGCGAACTTAGGTTACAAAGGAAATGTGCCTCGTTTGTTTATCATTACACAATCAGAACAAATAGTCTGGAACTTGAAGGGGAAACCGCGCCACATCTACATCGAACGGACCTCCTTTCGCCTTTGCCACACTGTACGACGAAAAATAAAGCACTTGAAACGAACACCCGACTGACTTGGGACACGAACCAGCTTCAAGAAACTTATAGCTACGATTCCCATGAGATAATCTCTCTACTAAAATGTGAATGAACTACAACGGTTGATATAGATGGCAAAAGCAATGATGACGAAGATCATCTTGATCTGAACTGAGAAATGCGAGGACATCGAACACCAACAGTCGAAACTCGAAAGCAATGATAATAGAGATCATCATGATCTGAACTGAGAGATACGAGGACATCAAACACGAACATCAAATTTATAGATTTATCCTAGATGAGACTAAATGCCTACCTGCCAGGGACAAATGTGAAATAGCCTTCAACGGATCCGGAAGTAGTAGGAAGAGGAGTGCAACTCTCATAAACATATTCTTTCTCGCCTGGGCGCAACAGTGGCAACTGCAAACATAGTTGGGAAGAAGAGTGATTCCGAGTACTTCATGGTGGGTAAAGAAATTAGAGCCAAAGACTCTAAATACATAGACCAGTGAAATGAATTTGCTCAAGCAGCTGCCAGTGCAGTGATCAGAAGAAAGTCGGAAGCCTAGCATTTTGCAGTTGACCCACAAGAATAGTAGCTTCCGTTAAAATAGCAACCCATGTGTCAATCCTATATGGATTCCCATTGAAAGAGAAACTAAACATAGAACAGCTTTGCAAACCACGAAAGGCAACAAGTTCGACATATTCATCAGTAGAATCACTCGAATCGAAAGCAAGACTCGAGAGAAATTTGGGGAACTTCACAGGTAACATAATTAATGAACAATCATAAATTCAATGCACAAATTTCTTGCAAAGAAGATCAGGGAGTCTCAAGCACTGAAAGAAGTAGCAGTACTAATAAGAATCCTACCTTGCCAATCACACCTTCTCCATTGACGTCGGATATGATCCTATCATTTGCACGGATAATCCAGTGTCTCCAATGCAGCTGGCAACTGCTGAAGTAAACACCACTAACGAAGCATCCTTCTGGCACAAGGGAGATGCGTATCGAATATGAAAACCAGAACTTCTCAGAATCATCTTCGAGGTCGGCCAGCTCGGGAATAAAAACAGCAGAAGCACGGACCTGACCAGCATAAATGCAAATCCTCGTAACATCATTTCTCATGCAAATCTAAAATTCCAACAGGTATCAACCTGACTAACAAGAAAAATAGATGAGGAGATAAATGAGAAGAAGCCAAGTAAACAACCAGATTTGCCTACCTTAACACCATTAGTCACAGAAGTGGTACAGAAAGGTTCTGCCTCAGGAAATTGACAAATGCTTCTAACATTTCCCTGTTCGCGAAGTTGAATAACACCTTGTTCTAAGCGACGAGCATGCTCTTCCAACCATAGTAGCATTGCATCCTGTTTATTCAATCCTTCAGGTACACATGGCATCATTTCTCCATCAGTCACAAGATTCCTTGAACCAACATATAGCTGACCGTTGTTGCAGTTTAGGAAAAAAAGCTTCTCTATGAAAGTGGATGAAGCAGCAACTAGAACAAACTTGGATTGCTTTGAAAACCCCATATCCCTTATGATGTGCTGGGTTTTCATTATTACTTCGTGTAATGGCAACAAGTAGACGTTAACAAGGTGACTGTAGAACAGGTAACCACCAATCAGACCCAACTGACTACCATTTTGAGTTCTAGGAAACCCCTTGCCTTGTAAGTCCTGACCATCACAAAACCGATAGAGTATCCTGGTAGATACGGGCAGTTTCACTTTCAAAATTTTCTCGGCCTCATCAATCTGAGCTTCCGAGACACCATTTCTTAATGTAGTAGCAGCTTCGGGAAAATTGGTCATCAACCAATTCTTCAGTCTATCCAAGCATCTTTTGACTCGCTGAACAAGGTGCCAAGGATACATTCCAAAAGCTCCATACCACAGCTTATAAGCTGCCTGCATTCATCGAACCAGTTGTTTACTTAACCGTTTTGCTTCAAGGAGCAAAAAGAAACAGACTTTAAATGATTTCAGTCCCTTTTAACATTCGAATGAAACAAACTTGAAATGCCAACTTACGAAGGAAACAAAACAAATCATCTTCAAAGAAACCATAAGTAATTGACCTTGAAAGATGGAGCAGTGTTCCCATGCGAATCAACAGGGGCAGAGAGATCGAGATCTTCAAGACAGAATTTTGACCAGAGAGCATCCTCGGAAGCCCAAACGTTGAAACTCTTGCTCACGCAAGCCACTTTAGCGGTGTCTTTGGCTCCCAACTTGGTGAAGATCACATTAAGGATTAGATCTCCCACTGATTCCAACCCCATTTTTCTACAACTGATATGAATGAAAGATAGCTTTACTCCTTTAACTTCCCACTTCTTCAAGCTCTCTCTGAGTTCACAACAACGCGCTCACTCAAGTCAGTTGTAGCTTCAGAAACAACAAAACAGAAAAACTACCTGATCAAAACAACCATATAATTCCACTAACATAAGGTGTTCAAAATTACTCTTCTAATGCTGACAATGATATCCAGCAGCTAAACACCAATCAGATTACCACACTAGCATCGATTCATCCGATGAGTTCAGAGTTCGAAGTAGCATCAATAGAATTTATACAATATTTTCAAGCCAATTGCAAAACTTCACTGAGAAATCGTTCGTCATGCGTCACTTCCAACTAAGCTCGAAATCAGGCAAGAATGAAGCGAAGGTAAAGAACACTTACACTGTCCGATTACTTCCGATGTACCGTCGCTCCGATTTCCCGATGGCTGAAGAAGGCAGATATGAAAATCAGAGAGAGAGAGAGCGTGGGGTGAATAAATTGAGCTGAAAAGGATCTTACTTTCGTGATCCACCGCCAATAAGACGCCGGCCGGCGAGAAGGAAGAGAAAAGCGTGGGCTTTTCCTGTTTATCGCGGTTGGAAGCACTCAGACTTCTGGTGAAAGTCCGAAAGATGAGAAATTGAGAACTGAAAACTGCAAGTCGGTCGGCAGATAGCGGCGGGATATGATACGGCGTCGGCGAGGAGGGATTAATGTTACTTTTGGTCCTCATACTATCCACTTTGTGCGAGATAGTACTTTTACATTTTACAACATTGTTAAATATTTAAATATCTTCAAATTGGATGAATAATTAATATTTAGATGTTAAAATTTCTCGTAATAAATTTGCATTAATCTTTTGATCTTTTTACAAAATAAAGCGACTTAAACATCTTCCCTCTTATTTTACCCTCATTTTTTTCTTTTTTGTTATGTATATGTTAACAAAAGAAAAGGTTGAGTGATAAGAAGAAAATCAAAGGAGAAATGGAGATGGAGGTTCCCATATGGAATTCTCAAAACTCTAGATCTTGCGTTGTGCTCGGAGGTCAGGGCTTTGTAGGAAGATCTCTGGTCTTAAGACTTCTCAAGGTTGGAAATTGGATTGTTCGAATAGCGGATTACGCACAATCGTTTCATCTTGATCCCGTGGATCGTAATGACTCTCTCATTTGTGATGCCATCTCGTCCGGTCGTGCTTCTTATCACCACATTGATGTTCGTGATACTTCTCTCATTTATAAAGGTAACGAATTTCAGTTGACGCAACCAAGAGATCAATCATATTTGTCCCTAAAAATGGTCGTTCTGATGCTTGTCATACATGAAAAAAAGTTAGAGATGAATTTTTATGCACTAAGAACATGCCTTTTCATATTTTCTTTCTTCAATTGTTTTTTTTTTTTTTTTACTTTTCCCCTTCAATGGATTTTTGCTCTTTTGGCCACAAAAGTTTACTTTCATTGTTAACCATTATTCTATTGGCTAGCAATATTGAGAAACTAATCATACTTTCAACATAATTTTGCAGTAATCAATGGCTCTTCTACTGTATTTTACCTAGAAAGAAGTGACATACAACAATGTGATGTTTCTCTATGTCACGCAATCATAGTACAAGGTAATATATAAGTCATCTCGTGATTGTTCGCAGCATCTTTCTTATTTAGATGAAATACAACTTATGATATATGATGTCTTTTAGGTGCAAGAAATGTAACCAAGGCATGTAGAGAGTGTAAAGTCAGGAAACTTGTCTACAATAGCACTGCAGATGTGGTATTTGATGGCTCCCATGATATAGTCAATGTAGATGAGTCATTCTTATGCCATGGCAAAGTAAGCTTTCCATTTCATATCTTTTCATTTACATGCTTTTGCCTTCCTCATCAAACATAAAACTAAGGTGTAACTTAGACTTATTCATGATCATAATGTCTCCAATTACACACATGAAACTAAAAAGGTTGAAATTCAAGATTAAAGCATCTTGTATATAATGGATTTGATTGGATTTTAGAAATGTATTTGTCATAAATGTAACTAAATTATGATAACAACTTTCAACTATTACAAAGAGGATATTGAGGGTAGACACAATTATCCTTGATTTTGATCCGGTTATATAGAATGTATATAAAACTCTAAACTCTACTACATATATGTTTATGTAAATATAGGTTGAAGATGCACTAAGTGACCTCAAGGCTCAAGCAGAAGCTATCGTCCTTTCAGCTAACAACATTGATGGTGTTTTGACGTGCGCTCTTCGCCCTAGTAATATCTTTGGTCCACGTGATACAGATCTTGTGTGGTTTTGGACACGTTTAGCTAAATACGGATTAACAAAGGTTAGAATGTTAAGTTTTTTTGCATTATTTTGTTCGTGTACAATCACTAGTTTGATCTCTAATCTATATTTTAGTTGGTGCTCACATGACAAGGAATGTATTCTTCATATTACTTATTTTTCTTTCTTTAAAGAACACTCATGTTTAAATTGTGATTAAAATGTATCACTGCTCTTAGAGGTTGGTTGATCAAAAACATGTTTTATTTTGTAACAACTTTTATTGACAACATATTTTTCATGAGTTATTTAAATCTTTAGTTTCAGATTATTGCAGGAAGTGGTGACAAAATATCTGATTTCACTTATGTTGAAAATGTTGCTCATGCCAACATATGTGCATCAGAAGCTTTAGAAACTCAAAGAATTTTTGTGGGAGGAAAGGTAAGTGAAGATTTGGCTAATCTTTCATTATTGTATACTTAACCATTTGGACATAATCATTAACTTATTGATTATCTCTCTATAGGCATTCTTTATCACCAATGAAGAACCCATACAATTTTGGGAATTTGTTTCTATGATATTAGATGGCCTACGTTGTCCACGGTAATATTTTTCCCTTAGATATGTGTGTTGTGTATGAATGTGTCTATTTATAGTTTATTAGGATCAAACATAGACGAGATGATTTATGCATTCTATTTCGGTCTTCATTGACTCATTTCTATTTTAGTCTTGGTTGACTCATTCTATTAAACCTTTAAATTAGCCATAGTATATGAAAAATGATAACATATTAGAGTTATTTGCTATGTTAGTAGGTCCAAATAGACAATCTTATTTACCCCATTATTTTAAAATAATTTGACTTAAGTTTTGTTTTTTTTATCGCAGGCCTTTAATAAAGCTTCCTGTCAAAGTGGCACGATATTTTCTCGCAACAATCAAATGGATATCCATTAAACTTGAATTCAAAAAATTCAACCATTTGCAAATATCTCGAGTTTTCAATCTATCCATACACAACCGAACGTTTAAATGCACTGCTGCACGAGATCATATTGGATATTCTCCCATTGTCACGTTGGATGTAAGTAGCATTATTTATCTCATTTCATTGTCACACGCCTGCACCCATGAGTTTGTCGAATATTGTTAAGAATCGGGTAGTCCTGATCGCATGTATTGGTGTCATGATGATCAAACAAATTTCTCAATGCAGGAAGGGATTTCATTAACCATTAACTCATTGACACACTTGGAATTGGAGTCATATCTCACGCGATGTGGCAATGAAAAAAGGCATTCAAAAGCTCATAAGCTACTCGGCAGTGGAAAAGGTTTGGCTATTCAATTTGACATTTTAAGCATTAGAGCATACTTAATTGCATGGCTAACTCAATTCAACATTTTACAGTGGCCAAAATTCTGCTATGGAGAGACATGAAGATAACCTTAACCTGGTTGCTCGTCATTGCATTCCTCTTTTACTGGTTCCTGCTCTCTGAAAGAACATTAATCTCGTCTCTCGCCAAACTCTTGCAATTGGTCACAGTTATCCTCTATTTTTGTTTCATGGCCCCAATCAAAATGTAAGTTTCACTCTTACCGCGAATGCTAGAATTTACTTCAACCGCTCGAATTGTTGAAAGATCTGGTTCAATTGGAGGGATTTATGTGTACTTGTATGCATATTATAACTTTTTCAGTTTAAACTAATTGAGTTATTGAAAACAATGATTATCTATCATTTGCACCATGTTCATTTAGATTGAGATGTGATCAAGTTCTTACTCTACCCAATTTAACCCTATTTAGTATGCTTCTTTGTTAATCTTAACGTTTTTTTTTTTTTTGTAACAGGTGTCTATTCACTAAGAAAAATCAGCCTGCATCTTGGTTTCAAAATTCAGAGTCAATGGCTAAAGATTTAGTAACATTTATGACCTACATATGGAATCGAGCAATTTTAAGCACGAAGTTATTGGCTCAAGGTCGTGATTGGAGTAGATGTTCAAAGGTATGAATTGCATAAGCACATCACATATGATGAGAGGTTGAACTTGTCTTATTTGATAAACACTTTATGAATAATCCATTTTCATTTGAAATAAATAGGGCATCTTTCCATATTTGGTTCATGTACTAGGGGAAAAAATCACATTTTTTCCCATAAAAAAACACATTTTTTCTGTAAAGAATAGTAAATGGTAAAATCTTTATATATCTAATAATAATAATAATATCTTTTTTGTGTGTGTTTTCAGATTTTACTTTCAGTGTATTTGGGGAAAATACTTATGATGCGATCAGTGACTGGGACACTAGGTGTAGGTAAGTTTATTTCCCCTTGAAATTAACTTGCATATATCATGTTGCAGATTCACCATTTTTACGAATTCATTGGATTGATGTTTTTTTGTGGTCTAATGCAGCTATGATTATTGCCTTCACAATGTTCTATGTTTACGAGCAATATGAATTGCAAATTGACGCACTTACGAGAGTATTACAGCGAAGAGTCAAAAAGCTGATGATCATAGAGAACCAAAATGGTCCTAACGTGAGTAAGACCAGATGACGCAGTGTAATCGAAGGACGACAAGGATTGGTGATTTTGTCTTGTATATTTTCTATATCATTCTCCTATATCTGTACTTAGCATTATATTTCGACTTAGTTTTTGGTACTTGTGTTTTGGCACAATAGATTATGGTACACAACATATTTGGAGTTGGTTAAAGATAATTGTATATGGCTATCATTTATGTTAAAATGGATGATGATGCTCATGTGAATCATGTAGGTTCACCTCATCTATCCAATCATCAAGCATAATGGTTGTCAAATCCCAAACCAAGGAAATCTTTTTATAAGAGTGGACCTAGGTTCTTTTTAATCCATATTTTTAACCTAACTAGACTTGTACCATTATTATGAATGATCACCTATTGAAAAAAAGAAGAAGAACAAGTTGGTTGTATACAATTATGAGAGGAGGCTTTAGTTTAAGTTAGAGATAAGGGACTCCATAAAGTGAAAAGGGATCCATCTACTAAAGAAAATGAGTTTTTAGTTATATTCTTCATCCAAATAATAAGTAAACCCTCAATTCTATATGATCTACAAACTTTGTGAATTGTGTGGTTAAAGGAATTCCAATTACATAATATTAGCATTTGGGGAAGTACAAATCAAGGTTCTCGACATGGAGACAAACTTCGTATTACAAATCAAGAGGTAGAATGAAATGAGGTTATTATGAGCACGTACAGAGGGAAGGTGGTAGTGGTATGGGTTAAGATTAGGCGCAGGAAAGAACGAGTTGAATGGTCTTAATGATATGGTTAATCACATGATTAAAAAAAAAAGAATCCTTAATAATCTGGCTCATATTGCTTGATAGGGTTACTACTTACTAGGCTAGAAGTAGATGTCCCTAGAAAAAAAAAATATAAAAGTAAATAACAAAGCAACAAAAACTCAGGCAGTTATTTGTAAGTATATGAAACTTAAGTGGCTAGTATGAAATCCAGGAGCCTGAACTGGGCCTGGGCTAGGGCCCATGGCTCAGCCCACACCGCATATTCTCATCATTCTTATCGTTAATTTCGGGTGTGACCTCCTCCATTCTATCAAACACGAAATTTTTTGCTTGCTCTCCCTCCATCCTTCTCTTCATCGGCGCGCCTTTATCTCCAATCGGAACCCTAACTCGCCTGGATTTCTCCAACGATGAAGCAAAGCAGGCAATCGCAGCGGGATTCCGACGACGGCGCTTCGGCTCCGTCGAACAATCTCTGGGTGGGGAATCTGGCGCAGGACGTGACGGACGCGGATCTCATGGAGCTCTTCGCCAAGTATGGCGCCCTCGACAGCGTCACTTCTTACTCGTCGAGGAGCTACGCCTTCGTCTTCTTCAAGCGCGTAGAGGACGCCAAGGCCGCCAAGGATGCCCTCCAAGGCGCGGCGATCCACGGCTCGCCGTTGAAGATCGAGTTTGCCAGACCGGTTCGTAGCTCTCTTTTCGTCTCATCTTCTTCTTCTCCCCCCGCCTCCCCCTTGTCGTTAGGTTTTAAGCTCAGAACTCTGTTTTTATCGATTGTTTTCCGATTTCATGGCGCCTGTAATTGTTGTTGTAGTAGTAGCTGTTTATGTTCAGGAATCGTTAAAACATTGATTCAATTTCAACATATCCAGTTTGAAAGAATTCGTGTGTGGTTTCTGCAATCCGTGGTCATTTGAATCTGCCCGATTTAGATCGAATTTCGAATCCGATGATTCATCGTTGTAGAATCAGTCGATCCGAGCTCCCGCACAATCAATTCGATTAGGCCAGACGGCCCCTGGCTATTCATTCAACACGATCGTGAATCCTCTGGACGAGAAAATCAAACGAAACAGCCATCGTCAATCAATTGCGTTACCATCACCAACACAACCACGAGGCTGCTGTTCTGTGGCTCATTGCTGCCGTCCTAAACCCAGATTACCTCAGGCATTGCGCTCGATCAGCCCGAAAATTTCGAGGTTGCTTATTGCCATCGCCGTGCAGCAATCTCCAGTTCTAGTCTACTTATAAGTTACAACCTCTAACAGCTATAAGCCGTACTAGTGTTCATGCAAACATCTGTTTCATCTTCTGCCCATTCACGAATGCTTGCCTTATTACGTACATCCCTGAGATTCTTGGTGCAGTGCGAACTATTTACCTCATGGTACGAAGATTCCTTCGAATACTTGCAGCGATGATGTCACTGCCCTTTTCCCTTGCGAGATCAGAGATGACAGATGCTGAATCTCCGAGGGTTCTTTTGTGGCCATATCATTGAAGTATTGTTCGTCACCCGGCAGTTATTAAATTGCAATCGTCGCTAGTTTCTGCCCAGACTCCATTCGCTCGTGAGCGGGTAGCCTGGATTTCCTTCAAAAGGACACCTCAGGATAGGCTGTGTTGCTCATTAAGAAACAATGCAAAAGAAGTAGAGTTGCCCTATGTTAGGAACTAAAATCTTTACTTTTAAGAAACTTCGATTGTTTCTGGGTATTGTTCACTCAAGTGATAGTTACTCCTTGGTTCCTCCGTGTGTGCTTTTCAATCATTCCTTCGGTATATACAATTGTGCGAGCAAAGCACTCCATTTGCCATGCTGAGATCCTTTCCAGTTTACTTAATCGAGTTTATTGGTTCCAGGCCAAGCCTTCAAAGTCGTTATGGGTTGGCGGAATCAGCCCTACATTATCCAGGCTGCAGTTGGAGGAAGAGTTCCAGAGCTTTGGTAAACTTGAGGATTTCAAGTTTCTCAGAGACCGGAACACTGCATTCGTTGAATTTTGTAAGCTGGAAGATGCCGTAGTAGCCATGAAAAGCATGAATGGGAAGCGAATTGTTGGTGAACAGATTCGTGTGGATTTCCTTCGGTCTCAACCTTCAAGAAGAGTAAGTTTATGCATCCCAAACTCCCAAAGCATGCGCTAAACAAGTGTAAATCTAATTATTATAGTGAGATCTTGACATCAGATTTCTAGCTTCTACTTGGAGGTGTTGGTTGATATCATATACATAAGACCCACCAAGCTGTTCCTCAATTCTGTGTTCATATAATAAGCTGTCTATTTAGTTAGTGAAGTCAGCTTACTGTCTCTCTGTTTCATAGGAACACGTCCACGACTATCGTGATTCAAGAGAGAATCAGTTCTCCGTGGCACAACCCGGACTCAAGCGATCCCAGGTGACTCATCTGCTGCCTGGTCTAATAGGACTGCATGTTCTTTCTCATTTTCTTTCAATTGTTATGTTTAGAATATGCTTGCCGATTCTTCTATTTAACCAGAAATGATAGTCTGGCACTTAAAAAGGCGCATCTGTTGACTTTTGTATCAATCTATTTTGCAGCAACCCATGTCCTCTGGTGGGCGAAGAGAAGGTCAACCTAGTACTATATTGTGGGTAGGTTATCCCCCGGCCCTGCAGATCGATGAACAAATGCTCCACAATGCCATGATTCTATTTGGTGAGATTGAGAGAATCAAGAGTTTCCCTTCAAGGCACTACTCATTTGTGGAATTCAGGAGTGTTGATGAAGCTCGTAGGGCCAAAGAAGGTTTGCAAGGGCGCCTATTTAACGATCCTCGTATAACCATCATGTTTTCAAGCAGCGGGTCGGCTCCAGGGAAAGAGTATTCTACATACTACCCTGGAAATAAAGGAAGGTCAGATGAGTTTGGAACAGGGCAATTGGAGATGCATGATTATCAGCAGCAGTCAATCCGCGGACCTTTTAGCCATCAAGGTGGTGGTTTGGATCAATTAAACTCGAATGGCCAGCTGACTCCAACCTGGCGGAGGCCCTCTCCACCGACAGCTGGCATCCTTCCCTCTCCCGGGTCTAGGATCAGGCCACCGATGAAATCTGGTACTAGTGGGTGGGACGTGCTTGATACGAATCAGTATCAGAGGGAACCGAAAAGATCGAGGATTGGAATTCCAGATGATGACTCTTTCCCACTAAGAAATAACGTTGATGATCGTGGCTTAGGATTAAGCAGATCAAATGCACTTGGTCCTCTAAGTGATAAAATAGCTTTGAATCGCTTTGGAAATGCGCCAGGAAACAACAGTGCAAGGGGTGAAGCAGATTTTATTTGGCGTGGTGTTATTGCCAAGGGCGGGACGCCAGTCTGTCATGCTCGTTGTGTCCCTATCGGGGATCTTATGGAATCTGAATTGTGAGTATTGTATTGAGGTCACACATAAAAGTTATCTAGAAAAACTAAAATTGTTATTGGTGAAACGGGCAACCTTAGTAATCAGATAGATGTATAAGTTCAACACCTGAGACTGCATGTGAACCAGTGTGCGATGTGTTATGCTTTTGTTCAGTCTCTCCTTTACTCCTTAGTAGTCTTTGTCTATGCTCTTATCCTATCCAAATCCATTGATGTGCTGAGTTATGATCCTATGTCTGATTGAATTTGTAGTACCTTCAGTCATTCACCAACATCAAGTCACAAATACTCCAAACTGAGTACAACCTATGCGTTTAGAACAACCAAAATCTTCTGTTAGCCTAATCTTGGACGTTTCTATTTTGCAGTCCTGAAGTTGTCAATTGCTCAGCCAGAACAGGACTGGACATGCTGGCAAAACACTATTCCGAAGCCATAGGATTCGACATTGTCTACTTCTTACCAGACAGCGAAGACGATTTCGCTTCCTACACCGAATTCCTCCGTTACTTGGGCTCCAAAAACCGTGCTGGCGTTGCCAAGTTTGACGACGGCACCACACTTTTCCTGGTCCCACCATCAGATTTCTTGACAGATGTCTTGAAAGTCCATGGACCTGAACGTCTTTATGGCGTAGTTCTGAAGCTGCCACCACAACAGCAGTTGCCCGGTAGCAATTTACAGCTGCAACATCACCCAATGCAGCACCTCTCTCATAATTTTGCTAGGGACCATCAGCTTCCTCCTGAAGCTGACTACAATGCTTACCAACATCATCCAAAAGAAGAACAGCATGGTTTGGCACTAGATTATAATGGGGTGATGCATGATGAGTCATCAAAGCTTCCTTCAAAACAGTTTTATCCATCGGTCGCTGAATCCCCGTCAGCAGCATCTCTTTCACGAGACTATCCTGCCACGAACAATGCAGCTCCAGTATCAACTACTGGAGTTTCCTTGACACCAGAGCTGATAACCTCTCTTACATCCCTACTACCTGCAATAGCCCAAGTGCCTGGGCCTGCAAGTAGTCAGCCTGCACCGGGTGTGTCTACTACGAGGCATTTTTCTTCAGCTGGAACTCCCCCACAGGGATGGAAGCCTGACTATTATGGTGGAAACCCTAATAATAACAATAATCTACAGCAGCTAGGGGCTCAACCCAATTCTCAGCCACAGTTTCAGTCTCAGTATCAGCCATATCCCCAGGTCAACCAGCAGATTATAAATCAATCCAATGCGAACTTATCACATCAGGTGGCAGCTCAATCTAGGCCAATGAACAGTTTTCCTGTGGTGTCTCAGAGTGGGCAGATGGTTTACCCTCCCCAGGTCAGCCAGCAGCAATATCATCAGCTTGATCCCTATGGAACTCAAAATAGTTATGGAATGGTTCATGGGTCATCTGATGCTCCTGTTCCATACAACCCATCTGTTGTACAGCAGCCTCATAACCCTGTTCCAACGCCTAGTCATGCTCCAGTTGCTAATTATTTACCAACGCAGTCTGGAATTCCACAGTCAAGTGTGGATCACCAGAACCAGGCGGCGCAGTTGCAAGCTCAGCAGTCTGGAGCTGGTGTTCAAAGCACGTCGGAGACTGAAGTTGACAAGAACCAACGGTACCAGTCGACATTGCAGTTTGCTGCTAACCTCCTCCTTCAAATACAACAGCAGCAGCAAACGAATGCTTCAGCTGCTCCTGGATCAGGAAATCAGCAATGACATTTCTCTCTTTATCTTGGTAAATACCCCTACTTGGTTACCTGTCTGCTTGATTTCCTGAAGTTACCAGCTTGTTGTCTCTCCTGTCTATGCTGCTATTATTTTTCTGTGCTGCGATTTTGTTCTTTTTGTTTTTCTCCTTGTAGTTCTCAAAGTGTGGTCTTGGATAGGACCTTAATTAGATTCAGTTAATTCTGGCTAGCGTTCTTGTGTGTTTCTTGAGTAAATCACATAAGACTTTGAGAATACTATTTCTTGCACATCAGGGCAATTACAATTGGTCTCTTCGACAAGAGCTTGAACTGTAGTAATGCTTTAGTTACAAAACTACAATACTATTTGAAAGCATGGTAGGAAAAGTTTTACTGATTATGGTATTATACGCTACCTTCTTAATATGGTATCCAACTTCTAGGGATTGATGTCTAACTTGTCTGCTTAAACTTGCTGTGCAAACTGATATGATTCCTTATTTCTGTCTTCTTTCTCTTCCTTCGTCTATTTGTTATGCATGCAAGTTTTGGTCAGCACTTCTGAGATGCATACTATCCCGCTCATGAATTTTGTTTCTTTGGTGCTAGTGTCGTTCATTTTTCTGCCTTTGTGGCTTTGCTGGAGCTTCAGTTTGTAGATAGATCAGTGCTCGTCGTATGTTTAGAGTTTAGGTGGTTAATCCTTTAACTGTAAGCACTCGATGTAGTTGTACTTATTGCTCGAGCTTGTTTTATGAAGAATTAAACATGTATTTGATGAACATTTGTGATGGTTCTCTTGCCTCTATAAACTTGACCCAGTATTGGTACTGCTGCTGAAAGCTGCACTTTTGAATGCCTTTATCCCAATAGTTCAAAACCAGCAGGAGTGTATTGCTTGATAAGAAACTCGGATAATTTTTGATTGTTCGTTGTGTTGTCTTCCCGTTTACTGTCACTGAACTTGTTGGCATCTGCTTCCCATTTATTAGTCACTGACCTTAGCATCTGCCTGCGCTTTTCATCTTCTCATATCCGAATCCATGCTGTGATTTCTGGTCATTCTGTGCCGATTCACCTTTCTATCATCCTCCAGTAGCATGAGTGAACTTTGGGTAGAGAGCTTTCAAGATTTTAGGCGCCGATATCATAAGGTCCAGAATGCCCGCAATAACGTAGTAAGTTGAGAGCATCCATGCTGAATTGCGTATAGCTCTCGATATCTATTGCAACAGAATGTTTTTATCCATGGCTGCCTCCTCTATTTCGTTCTCCTGTATCTCCTTTCGCATTTCCTTACCGTGGCTGCCTCCAGTTACATCGCGAATGCCTGAAACGATTCACTTGCATTCATTTCGTATCTAATCGGTTTAAGCTTGGGGACACATTTTCCCAGTTATTGAAATGCAGAGGGGGGGGGGGGGGGGGGGGGATAAGCCTTGTGCAGACGCTGATGTATTCTCTTTCCGTTCATGGCTTTTGCAGAGCTACTACGAGAAATTTTACCGCGCTTCTTCGAGGCACGAAACAAGGCGATTTCGAGCCACCCCTGCTACCGCCTTGTCATCGCTCTCCCCTGGGGATCTACCATCCCTTCCGGCGAGCAATTTCCCAGTGTACAGATACCAGCACAGCAGAGTATCAGCCAGCAGGAGCTTTTCTGTGCCAGATGGAGTTGGCCGTGCTCTTTTTGTTCTTGCCTTTCGGCTCTCGTTTCTTCCGAAAACCATAAAATTTTAGCACACGGGCCGAAGCTAGTTGGTAGAGTCGAGCTCGTAATGATCTCTCTTGCATAATTTTTTGTATGATTGTATTGTATGTTTAGCAGTGTACTATCTATTGTGACCCGACAAGGTTGAGTTGAGTGAACTATCCTTGCCTTCCTTTTTTTCCTTGATACTCAACAAATCTACACGTAATTGGCTTCATTCACATTAGCTGCCTCATTTGTATCTGCTCTTTCTTAGCACAAAAACTCACTGACCGTGCTTTTTTACTAATTCGACTGAGTTTTTACTACAGGTGTAACGAAAAAAACGATCGAGTCGTGAGCATGGTCCATGAAACCGTACCGGAGACCGTACCGGGAAAGTTAGCGGTATGGTATTTTATGGTAAAACCGTGGTTTAATCGTAGTTCAACCGTTATACCGGTAAATACCGCCTATCGGTTTAGCCTCCAATACTGGTATTTCGTGGTTTAACCGCCGGTACGGTACGGTTTCATGGACACTGGTCGTGAGTGTGATCGATTGTACGAGCCTAATACACCGGTTACTATTTGTGGGCTCGAAAATTATGATGGATAGTTGTAATTAAGGAGGCCCACGAACCTTTGTCATAAGCCCATTTAATATAATACATACCAAATAATACCCAACAGCCCACCCAATCTGCTTTTCATTTTTCTATCGAACCGTGCGGTTATTCGTTGATTCTTACAAAACGTCGTCGTTTCATCACTCTCGTGCCAATCAGCTGCCTGCCCACTTTCCCAGTTTCCCCTCGGCCCTCAGTCTCCGACTGACGTAAGGCAAACATCTCCCTCAGTCCACTCTCCAGAGCTGCAGCAGCTGAGCTCAGCTCCCATCCGTCTCCGTTCAGCGATTCCCGGCCGTCGATCAGCCAGCGACGGCGGATACTCCGCTTCCAACAAGTAAGGCTCTTCTTCTTCTACTACTTTCCTTCCTCCTTGTGTTCTCTGTCTAATTACGGCGCGAATTCCTCTCTTCGCGGGGAAACATCACCACTTCCCTGATTTCGTGGTCTCGTTCGCTGGCGAAAATGCGGTGACTCCGGGCCGTGATCCGATTCGAGTGCGAATTGGAATATGTCATCGCTTCCTTCCTTTTGTTCTCTGTTGGATGGAAATGGCGGTCCCGATTTTCTCCTGAATTGGGGGAGAATTTGGGCTTTGCTTGCTTTCGTAGATTCTTCTGCGAGAGCTGCTTTTTCTTTCCCCTTTCGATGATAGAATTTGAAATACGGTCGTGTTCGCTTCACTTCCCCTATGGTTTAGCTGAGCTTTGTGATGGTGGTTGTGCTTTCCAGAGCAAATGCTGAAACTGTTTTTGTGTGATGTTGGCTATTGTTGTTTCTTTGTCACTATTCCTTCTTGTTGTGCTCTTGCTATCGTGATTGCATTGGACCACATAAAACAAGCTGCCAATGCTTGTAAATGTTCTTCCACGAGTAGAAAAGAAGCAGAAATGTGGCTGGAGAACCAACTATGAAACGATTTTTGTTTGCGCTGGATGCTTCGGGTTAAGCTTTAGTTGCTTGACCAGAATATTATCATGTTGCTTGCAGGTTTAACTTGAACCGTTTAAACCAAAGGAAGCCCAAAGGACGGAGTTAACTCTCCGGTCAAATTTTTCCAATTGAACCCTGATTTCTATGGTTTCGTCCACTATGTCGTCTTCATCCACAGCTACAGTTTGCTCCACCATGTTGTCTTCATCCATGGTGGTTGTCCCCCATTGTTCCTCCAACCTTATGCCTTTTTCTCCCCTGAAGTCTCGAAAGAGGATGCCACTGATAAGGGCTATGAGTTCAGACACAGGACACGACCAGCCTCTTACATCTTCCAGTACTAAAAGCCCACTGTCAGTTGTTTTGGAGGTCCCCAAAACTCTGTGGAGACAAACACTTAAACCGCTAAGTGATTTCGGGTTTGGCAGGAGGAGCATTTGGGAAGGTGGGGTGGGATTGTTTCTTGTATCAGGTGCAGTGCTTCTCGCACTCAGTCTGGCTTGGTTGAGAGGGTTTCAGCTTCGGTCTAAATTCAGGAAGTACCAGGCTGTATTAGAGTTTTCTCAGGCTTACGGTATTTGCACCGGGACACCTGTTAGGATTAGAGGGGTGACTGTTGGCAATGTCGTTAAAGTTAACCCTTCCTTGAGAAGTATCGAAGCAGTAGTGGAGGTGTGTTGGCTCGGAAGTCGCTTCCATGCTGATAAGATTTTACTTTTCTTTATTTGCCTGATTGATTATGTCATCTCCATTTGTGTTGCAGGTTGAAGACTATAAAATAATCATACCGAGGAATTCACTGGTTGAGGTTAATCAGTCTGGTCTCCTTATGGAAACCATGATCGATATTACCCCTCGTGACCCTATTCCAACACCCTTGAAAGGACCTCTTGATTCTGACTGTGTCAAAGAAGGCCTTATTGTTTGTGATAGACAGAGGTTAAAGGGACATCAAGGAGTAAGTTTGGATGCACTGGTCGGGATATACACTCGTATTGGACGTGAGATGGAAGAAATCGGTGTTGCCAATACTTTTTCACTGGCTGAGCGTGTGGCTGCTGTTATTGAAGAGGCACAACCACTGCTTGTAAAGGCATGGACTGCCCTTCTTATCTCTTATCCTACCCTTGGATGTATTTAAAGCTTAGATATATAATAATGCACACTTTTGTTCTGATGTAGTGATGTCTCAGATCAAAGCCATGGCAGAAGATGTCAAGCCTTTGTTGGCTGAAGTCCGTGAAACCGGCCTGGTGAAGGAAGTTGAGGCTTTAACTAGAAGCCTTAATCAAGCTTCTGACGATTTAAGGTGAATTAAGCTGACATGTTTTCATCTCGCTAGTAAGACATCCGATGTGCATGTTTGGGGCGTAGTTTACTATTGGCATAGCAGTCTCTTGCCCTGGCTTGTGCCATACATTATCTTTTCCTAATAAGTGACTGTTAATTACTAGCATATAATCACGCCAGGTAAGGATCAAAGTGTGCTGGTAAACTGTTGCTCTTTTTGATTGCTGAGTAAAAAATGGAGTCGATAGTCACTGATACTCGATATGCATTGGCATAGAGTCAAGTATTCCAGACCAATTGCCACTTTGATGACCTACTGTAAGCTTACAAGCTTCTGTTTCTGCAGAAAGGCGCATACGTCAATTTTAACGCCTGAGAACACCGAGTTAATTCAAAGATCAATTTATAGCCTCATTTTCACTTTGAAGAACGTTGAGGTAAGTTAACCTGAACCCTTTGGTGCGCAATCACCTAGATCCTCGTGTTTAATCTTCTAATCTCTGCTCATGATTTCCCTTCAACTCATCAGAACATAAGCTCTGACATTCTGGGATTCACTGGCGACGAGGCAACTAGGCGAAATTTGAAAGCACTTATCAAGTCCCTCAGTAGGTTGCTGTGAAATCATAAAGTGCCAGTGCAAGAACTGCTGTTCCATAGACCGAATGAATATGAGAGGAATGCAATCTGATTCCGGCCCATATAGGTTCTCTTTCTTTCTTACGATTCTTTCTGGTTTGCGATTCTAGCTAGTGCTAAAGCTGTAACTACTTAATTAATTTTTACTTGTGCTAGTTTTGTTAAGTCATTGATCTTCTTTAAAATCCGAACAAATGGACGTTCTCATAGCTACATTTACATCAGTACTACGTCAAATTGCCAACCCCATAAAGTTATGGTTGAGACAAGCATTTCTCATGATGAAGTAATCTTCGTGTACATTCTCTTTTGGGGTCGAACGAGACGATTAGATCAATTGTCTCATTTCATAGAATGAACCATTTATAACCACCGTATTAAAGATGACGTGAAGAAGACTCATGGGAGCAATAAAAGAAGAGCTCAGTTTTGGTATCTAACACCATTTTTACCAGCTGTGTATTATTTTTTTCAGAGCGGATGAACTGTACAAAAGAGCTGCGAGTCTGTCAATGAACTGGAGAAAAAGGGGGGAATCGATTTGTAAAGTTCCCCAGGAGGGTGGGAGGGTATATCGAATTCATTGAGAAACCTCACCCATAAGAAATAAAATTGGGAACCCTCAGGAGTATGTGAGAGCTGTATAGGTTAGGAAGTTTTGGCCAATCAGGCGCTAGTCGATTCATCGTTTACCTGGACGAGATCTGGCCCTTCGTTCATTCTCTGCAGCTTAGGGCTGGAGATATAGGTAAGCTAGGCAGGGGGCTCTCATTGCCGCTTCTTCTGGTAAAGTGAGTACCCTACAAGGGCAGACATCAGGAAAGTCCATAGGACCTGCCAGCCAAGCAAAGCGGATATCGTTATTAACCGTTATGTTAGTTTCCCTTGGGGTAATTCACGAGTAGATTCGAAATGTGTGCAACTGATGATGAATGTGATTACCGTGTTAATTATGTTCCATCTTTCGAGCCTCTTGATTCTTGACTGCATGTCTTCAATAACGCTTTCGATTGGAGCCGCTGCATCCCTATATGGGGATGACTCTGAAGCTGTACTGGTGCTGCTTCCCTGTCAGGTTACAAGTACAACCGATGGAGCATAGTAAGCAGACAATTTACGACGGAAAGAAAGGAACACCAACACGAGAAATGGAAGGAAAGACTTAATTGACCGGATCTACTCGATTAATGCACAACTTCATGGACAGATAAATAACACAACGCCTTACTACAAACCTGAGACTGTATGAATTCAACTAACTCCTGCAATCTTGAAGCTTGGTGACTGTGGACACCATTGGAACTTTGATCGGCCGGAAGATTTTCTAGCACAATTTGGAGATAACTCTGCAAGTAAAAAGCATATAAGCAAAACAAGGTGAAAGAAAGGCCAATGGCTAAACACGAAGGAGAAGTAGATTTGACAGAGACTAGTGGGAAAACCTTAGTAGTATATGAACCATCGAGCTTAAGGGTTGAGCCGGCAGCAGCGACCACTTCTTTGTTAACCCCTTTTATTTGTAGGTAAGGACTTGGAGCATCTTGTAGGTGATCGACCTCAATAAGAATCTGGAAAAAAACGAGTGGAGAAAGCAAGACATAAATAACCACCATATATTAAGAGGGTGCAAGACACCATCTTGCTGTGTGAGAATGTGGAGAGAATATGTCGGTGTGTGAAAGAAACGAAAGAGACCAGGCAAGAAGAAATGAATGAATAAGTTCATTGAAGTGAGACCTTTCCATCTTGGTAAATAAATGCAGACGCTTCAATATAAGCTACAGCTTGGTACCTGAAGCAAACAAAGTATTTCATTGAACGGCGAAACTTAAGGAAGAACGTTCACACAAGGAAAGCTATTTTTTAAGAATAGTAATAGTAAATGATAGAGAATGCTCCAGGAAGTAGAAGTACTAGGTAATCCTATATCATCCATTCCAGTTGTGTTGGAACCAAATAATGTGTACGACAATCATTAGTTCACAAGCCTATAAACAGGAAAATAACAAAGGAGACCTTATCATAACTTAAGCTTCCTTCGATAGGGAACAAAAATAAGTTTGCAAGGAAAACGAAGCAAGGCAGCGAGGCAAACTCATGCTTACCCAAGATTGAGAAGGCCAGCAACAGTACTAATGCTAATATCAAAATCCACTTTGGGTTGGATGATGAAATTCCCTTCTCTAATGGGCTGTCACAAAGATTAATCAATTAAAACAAGAAATATAGGACATACTTCAGAAATCAGACCGACTGAGCTAGGAAAGACTGCTTCATGTTAGGATGACCACAGAATCGTTTCTAAAAGTGCAAAAAAATCACAAACACACCTCTCTTATCAACAATGCAAATCTTCCTTCGCAAATTCTAACGCGTACACATTCACCCTCAGTCAGCATCCCATTACTTGGAATTCCAGGAAGCCTTAAATATATATCAATGAAATTCTGAATAGAACTGAAGAACTTTGCCGGTTCGAGAATTTTCATTATATCTTGGTAGCTGACCTGTTCCGTTGCAAAGAAGAAACAGATTTCAACTGAAATCCTAATGAGCATATTGTTGACATAACTTAGAGACTTACTTGTTTATTACTCTTCAGAACAAACAATGAGCTCTCTGGTGAAAGCACAGGGTCAAAATCATTCCTTATTTTCAGCTGAAATGAGGACATTATGATGCCAGAGTTAAGCATATGTGAGCTCAGCATTGGAAATGTCTGCAAATAGGAAAAAAGTAGGGAGGATATGTTTTCTGTATACTGACATGTGCATGAACAAGATGAGGTTCGATATACTGCTGGAACATTGGGAACACTGCCATCATGATCTCATTTTGCGACATAAAACACCCGACTTTGCTTTTGTCTCTCTGAACTCGAGAGATGAGATGCGAATTGACACCCCCAATCTGGAAACCAAAGGAAGGTAAAATTCACATGAGCCACTGAAACGCTACACTGTCAGTTTCATGCAGATATGTAAGCAGGGGAAAACAGATACATATAAAGAGCAATTAGCCATCTTACAACAGCAATCCACAAGTCCAACGACTTCCTTATCTCAGGATGCAATGCATAGACCCCTTCAAAGATGACCTGCCAAAGAGCCTGTTAGAAATAATATAAGCAATACTGCAGGTCTAACCATTAGCATCAAAACAGGCCAATTGAACCTGCCAAAAATCATTTCATCAATCACTAGCTTCCACTAACTATTAGCCTTCAGCCCTTCACACTCAGCTATCCTAATTAGTCTACTATGATTTTTGTATCAGTACTAAAAAGAAAACTTTCCACACACTAAATTCAGGTAGCAAATAGCACAAGTCCACACAACAAATGACAGCATACTCGTTCGATAAAACATACAAATCTCAGATAATAACAAGAATAATAATAAATGAAGAAAGAATAAACTCTTATTAATTCCAATCCTAACTTATTTAATTCAACTAAGTTTGATTTCCAGGAATACAAGATGGATGCTTCACCTGATAAAATACACAGAAGGAGATCAGGTTTCTAACTAGTAAGAATTCAAATAAACAGTAAATGCTCTCCATAAAACTAAAGGATTCATCATAAATAAAGTAAAGATTACAGAAGGGAAAACGAAAGATAAAAACAGAATCAATTAGGGGAAGGACAAACCACGCCACAATCTTCAGATACTTCAAGGTCTTTGAATCCACTACGGGCACCAGTCTCCAAATCAAATATGGGTACTGTTGTTTTTTGGCCATTGCTTATGTCATCAATGTTCTGAAAAGAGTTTAGCAACAGTGAATAACCAAACATGCACAAGCATTAATGACACATTTTTGTGAAATATCCAAGCGGGCTAGTGAACATTATATTTTATGACTCATACCTTCAAAAGCAGAGGTAGATCAAGGGAGTTAAAATCATCATACTTAAAATCCTTAACATGTTCAGATATGAAATAGCTTTCAAGCGATACTACTTCACAGCCAACAATATTTGCCATTTTATGAGCCAAGCTAGTTTTCCCAGATCCACTAGGACCACCTGCAGCAAGAAGAATCAATAAAATGAAAAGCGGGAGAAAGTAAAGATGACAAATAACAAACTTTACAGCACTCAAATCAGAAGAGAGGGTGAGAACAGATAGGGGACCGCAGAGAATTATCAAAAGCAGTCAACAACATGAATGTATTACCAATTCCAACAATGACTGGGGTTCCCATATTCTCCATCAAAGCCTGAAACAATGACAAATAATACGTTCAGCTTACATAATCACATGTGTTTAACCTTTTCAAACTGAAGTTGCATAACCTATATCAGGTTCTATGTCTAATTATTGCATTATTTAACACTTTGCACCTGTATTGCTTGAACAGCAAGAAGCAACCCTCTGTCCAGGTCATATGAGTCCGGCATTGGAGCAAGCTTCATCGTTTTCCTGAAAGAGGAGGAATCTGTGGTTGCTTCATGAGAGAAGTCTAAACAAGAAGGTGAGAATTATGGTTCCGCATTTAGCTGTAACAGTTAAGCAAGTAGGGGACATTTGGGAGGAAGACACAAAGAAAGATCAAGAGATTATGGATGAAAGAAGAAGAAGAAAGACTTACCTACTCCTGGTTGACTAGAATGAAGAGGATCACTTGATATGAAGTGCCATGTTGCTATCACAGGTTCCATTTGAGATTTGGTTGGGGACCGTGTCCATGGTTGAGATAGATCCTCAAGACGATTAACGAGGTTTGGAGTGGTACGAATTGGCTTTGGCGCTACAATCGTCCTTTCCTGCCCGCTAGTTGTAGCAGTGGCAGATAATGGCGGCGGAGTATTCAACCGAGGTACACCTGCAAGTTGAGCCAACTAGTTGGAGAGAACAATAATTTATTGTCTAAATTAATGATACAGACACTTGTATCTATGAACATGGACCATAAAAAGATCAATCCACCTTTTCTCTCAAGAATCATTTCAAGATATGACTTAGTGATCCACGGTCCATTAACACCAATTTTCAGCGCTTCTGCTCCAACAGCCTACAGAAAACAAGAGTGAAAAACCCATAAACCAATTTGAACAGTAGTATTCTCAATGCAAGCACGAGGGGCATCTGAAATTCCCCTTAAAAACGGCATCACAAATCCAACGGATGGTGATGATGCCATGATAGAGATAGAATATTGAATACTTCTTGCTGTATATCTAAGGGGGTAATTTTTCCTTAACAAACTAACACATTTCCGAAGTTAAGGACTACTCAATAGATCTTGAAACCACAGGGACTAAACATAGATTTCTCAGGAGTCAGGACTCTGTAGCACTTTCCTAAATAAATGAAATCAACTCAATATTAAATCAGAAAGAAATTGTTCATACCTTCCTAGTAGTTCCTCGCAAGACAAAGAATGTCTCACCAAGAGAATCAATAGTCTCCAGTGATATTGAAAGAAAGCCATTAGTAACAGATGTCGATGCTCGTTTATAACTGACAACAACATTGTACCCCAAATCCAGCAATCCACCAAGGGTCATTCTTCCAACCTGCACGACGATAGGAAATCAGTTATGTAAAAGGTCTAAAACCCAAGGTTACCTGAAGATGAATGGAATTTCCGATCGATGTTCAATAAAAGTTTCCCATGGTGAGAGAGCATGAAACCATCAGAAACAATTTTAAGCAAAGGAATAACGTAGATTCAGTATTCAGCATTGAAGAAAGGTGATTAACTGTTTCGTCCCACATAACAAACAGGTGGGCATTAATTCTTCCAATAATTTTCTGAGAATAAATTTGGAAGTCTCAAGAAAAGGGCAATTGGAAGAAAATTTAAAACCTTATCTAGCATTTTCCTCGTATAACATAAAAATGTGTGAAACATCCAAGGTAAAACTAGTGGTTGAGTGCCATCGAAAATCTATGATAGATTTTCACATCATAACCCAGGGAGACTAACCTCAAACTCAGCTTTAGGCCGGATAATGAAGTTTTTGTCAACAATCCTCTGATCTCCAAGAGACAGATAGTATCTAATACCAGACTGTCGCACTTTAATCCAATCATTTACGTGGGCTTCTTCACTTGCTGCAGGAGGCCTAAGGTACATCTCTATGAAACTACAAGGCACAAAAATACCAAACAGAGTAAGTTTGAAAGAGAATAAGAGTACTCAAATTAATCAACATCTGCAAGTAAGCAAGTGCTATGAATAAACACGTACTTGTCTGTTTGTGTTTCAGTTCCGTGAAATGCATAAGCAGATGCACCTGATGACTGTGACAAGAAATTAAAATTAAATATCTTTGATTGGTGTATTACGCTACAACTGAAAAGTAAAATGATTTTGGCCTCAAGTTTCAGATGAGGAAGCAGTCCACTAGGTCACTAGCACAAAAACTAAAGCTAGATAAAATATGGCAGATGCAATCTGTATAAGTGATGAAAACAACCTCACTTCTACACTTCAGCTTGTAGATTGCTTCTCGAAATGACGAGACAAAACTGTTGTTTATCCGAATCTGCAGAGAACCAGAAACACAATCAGAACATAAGAGAAGTACAAGCAGAGACATGATTAAGTTTTAGTATACAAAGGCACCAACCTGTGCATGATGAAGATCTGGTTCTATATGCTTTCTAAACATTGGGAAAATGCTGTCAATAAGGTAATCCAACGAGCAAGAATCTCCAATATCATAGCGAACCTTGGAAAGAAGACTAAAATGAACTCCACCAACCTGATAAAAAGAAAAGTTAATTCACGTTGACAAAACATTAAAAGGACTAATCCATCGAAATCCCTCTAAATATTCTGGCAGACTAGAGTAATACATACCACAGCCACCCGGATATCCAGTAGAGACCGCAATCTTGCATGTAGAGCATAAGTACCATCAACTATTACCTAGAAACAATATGTTAGCCGGCAAAATCCTGACTTCATCACCCCATTCTTCCAGTTAATCAGAAGGAACTTACCACACCAGATGCAGTACTCTTTATTGCTTTTGAACCAACCCGCTTTTTTCGTTGATAATCAAACAAAGGTATGAAAGTGTCCTTCCCCAGCGTCAAATCCTAATGTTCAACATGTAACACAAGTTAAGCAAACACTGAAAACTCAACAGGCCAGAACAACTCCGGTATGACATGCAATAAAAAAGCAGCACAACATAATTAAAACCGAAGATAGAACGATACAATGCGCACCTCCAGGTTATGAACCAATGCGTCAAAATCGATAGCATCCACACCATTCGCATCATCAACTCCATTCCGGTAATTCTCCATCGATACAACAATACACCCTATGACGGACGCCACCTTTTCAGCTAAGCTTTAGCACCAACAAGCAAACATAACAGAAAGAAAAACAATCAAACTAGCATCAGACCACTTCTCTACGAACTACCTACTATCTCCCGGAGAGAAATCGTAATTTAAACTTACCTCGACTTGCCGGAACCACTAGGACCGCCGATACCGACAGTAACTACACCGCCTTTCTTCTCCCGAAGTTCTTGAACCGATTTCACAAGCAAGTAATATCCATGATCGAAGGACTGCAGCCAAACGAGAGACAATTCAAATAAATCAAACATCAAACGAACTACTCATCTCGCCTTCGAGCTCCCGCAAATGACAGAGAAGAAGAAGCATACCACATGGAGAGGGAGGGATTGAAGTATGGAGGAGGAAGACGAAGAAGTCGTAGGAGACTGTCTGAGAAACTCGCGGCCTCCTTCCTGGAGCACTCGCTGAACCACCTCGTCGTCCATTTCCACGAGAGGAAAACTCCGCGGCAACGATCGCAGAGTCTTCTTCTCCGGACGGTCAGCACAGTTTCTTGTTGAGCAACCAGTTGAAGGAAGCACAAAATGAAAACCGCTTTTCACTGTTTCTCTTTTCTCGATTCGATCAAACAGAGGAAATTATCCCGAGAAAATTGCTGAGATAGTCACTAAAGTTCAAGACTTATTCTGATTAGGCCACTTAATTACTAGATTCTTCTTCTTAGGTCCGACTATTTTCGCTCCAAGTCAAGTACATTTCTTTTTCTGCGGAATTTGTTCCCACCTTTTCTTTTCTTCTCCTTTTGAAATTCAAGTTGAAGTATTTTATGCAAAGAAGTTAATTTTTTCTTACTTTTATGTTTAAATAAACTCTCGTAATAATAAATACATTAAGAGATTTTCTAAAAATTTACACGTATAAATAAATTACATAATAGGAGATGAGAAAGGATGATTAAAGTACAGAGCTCTAGGAATACAATACATCCTCTTAAAATCATATGTTGTCTTCTCCATTAGCATAGTCAAGAATATAATATAGTGTAGTCCAACGTTTACTCAAACGTCGGTGCATATCAATGGTAAAACGTTTGAGATGGGAGGGTATGGTCTATCATTTGAGACTTTCCTTATCAACCCTCCCTGTTTCCGAAGCAGGGGAGGAAAAGGAGGGGAGAGAAGGGAAAATTTGGAGGGGAAGGAAAATTGGAGGGGAAGGGAATTGGAGAGAAAATGTTGTTTTATGGGGGAAAAGTGAAAGGGATAAGTATATAGGAAAGTGTGATAGATATGTTATTATATTGATTTTTTATATGAGTTATTTTATTGATTATGTAATAGTAAGTATATGCAAAATTGCGAAAATGAATATTATGAATAACCTATTTCTACATAACCCTCATCATTTTTATTATTTGTTAACGGAGCATAAATTGTTCATTTAACTCTATTTTATTTTTTCATACAAATTTGATTACCTTTGTAGTACAAGATGATGTTCATTCTATAAAAAATGTAACACCCGAAAAAATTAATTATATGCGTGTGAGCGGGTACCCATGCGGCGGGTTTACCTAAACTCAAACCCAACCCAACTCAATGAACAGTGTAGCGGGTTTAAACCAAAACTCACCCAAAACCCGTCAACACGGGTTTTATCAGCGTTAACCGGGTTGGATTGGATAAGGTACATGTGAGTTCGGGTTTTGTACTTTTGTTGCCATCCCTATCTTCCTTCACACGCCACACGCACAAAAAAATTCCTATCCCGTAACAATGATTAAATAATTTAATTATTTCATCATTCTCCTAATTAATTCGTGTTCATTTATACGCGTATTAAATTATCTCTTTCTAGTATTTGATTAAATTATTAAATTCTCCTTTATCCCTATAGAATTACAACCAATTATTCTATTATCTATTAATTGCTATCCGTTTCTCTCCCCAAGCCAACCATTAACTTCCCAGTTATCATATTTATTAATTAAAAACTAACTTTCCTATTAATTGGCCCACCATTAATCAGTTTCCCTTCAAATCGGAGGGGAGGATGGAACAGTAAAAGTTCATTTCCATTTTCCGTCCCTTGCCACTGTAGCTTGCTTGGAGAACAGCGGAAAACTTCTAGGGAAGCACAATTCCCTCCCATTCTTTCCTTTCCCTCCCCTTTCCCTCCTAAAAGAACAGAGGGTAAGAGTATATGTTTTCTTCATGAATTTGATATCCAAATCCCAACTTTAATGGATTTAATCCAAATATATTATTTGTTAATGAGTGTCAAATCCATCAGTAAGAAAAATCACAAACAATTTATTTACATTTTAAGCATCTCTAAATTTTGTTTGGTAAAGTAGTTACTTTTAACTTCAATCCCCAACGTTATACCATTCATTTCCATTTAGCTTTTGTAGCCTCGTTGGTTAGGAGAGAGCAACTTGTACACGCACAATTCAAACAAACCTTGCACGTAATAGCTTTTATATTGATGCACTATACTCCACTTCCCTCGATATATGAAGTGAAAGATCAGCTTTTCCTATTTCTTTTCATCAAAGCTACAGCCTACACAGTTTCTGCGCCATCAAAATTGCACCTTTCGTTGTACAAAATTTACCCTCTTATAAAAGGGCATCTCTCTCTCTCTCTCTGTTTTTATGAACTTGGATGGGCGTTTGAAACTTGGACTGCAGCTTAAGGGCCGAGCTGGGTCACTGGAGTAATGGGTTGGGCTTGATTGGAGCCCAAAGATCTGCTCCATTGCTATTAGCCACTCCGGCTGTTGAAGAGACTGGAACAAGGCACAGTCCTCTGCTTCTCAGACTGTATTCATCCAAACCCTGTTAAGGAAACCAATGATTGTGTTTAATTGAGCTTCACATTTAAGTCAAAATGGCATCTCATTCATATGTTCAAGTGCAGAAGAGATTCAAAACAAACACGGTGCTAGTCATGCATTTGGACATCAGAAACTTGCTGGACAAACAATTAAAATGGATGTCCCAAGTCAAAAGACAATCTCCTATACTAGCATTCACAAGTCTGGAGAGGTTTGGGTTGGTTCAAGTTGATCGAAATTCAAGCACAAAGGCGGTTACCTGGGTATAAATTGGAGGTGTAGCTTGCAGATATGGAGCACTCAACACATTAACTTGTTCATGGAGGAAATGAATGTATTGCATGGCTTCCAAAAGCACTGATGCTGTATCCGTCTGCATTGGGAAAGACGTGGATGGTGTGTCAGCTATCCTGGCAAGTTCCAAAGGATGCATCCACACATGAAGAACATACGAAACCCGGTTACCAGAGAATCAATGGATGCGTGTACCTTTCCATATGGTGAAACAAGCTGCTGCAGAATTACAATCCTTTCACCGAACTTCTCTTTCTGGTCCTGTATGAGTCATTCAAAAAGAGAAGACAAGCCGTTAGTTGGCCATATATTTCAGAAGCAAAGAGCTTCAGCAATTTGAAAGAGATTACTATGTATTAATTTAAAGGGTACTTCTCAACACCGAAAATGCTTCAGGACTCCATCCAAACAACAGCTAAAACCATCTATTTTCATTTTATACCGTCCATTTTCCATTCGTCAAGTTTGGAAATCCAATATAAGCTAAAATGGGAGAAACAAGGGGAAACCTTGATTGGGGGGCCAGCCTTGTGCCTTTTGCTTGACAGAGAAGTGATGTTCCCTTGGTCAAGAAAGCAAGGACTTCTTTTGTTTTCCATCATCTTTTCTCTGAATGTGTATGCCTTATTCCAACCTGCTTTATACCACGAAAGAGATCATCAATGGAAAAAGGGTCATGTAAGGTTAAACAAAGCCATTTACAGAGAGATAAGTGTGCAAGTTCAACCTACTAGTTTCAACAAGTAATCTACTTATTAGGATAAGATCATTAATGCAAGCCAAACGTATTGTACTCTTATTCTTACCACCAAAGGAAAACAGTCATTTTCCTGCTGCAAAGGATGAGAATGAACGACATTCCCTTCACAGCATGAAGGTCACTTTCAGAGGAAAGAATAGCTTACTTGCATATGTTGATACCAAACCCGATATATAAACCACATTCTTCTTCACTACTTTCTAGTTTAGACAATATGTCATACCATCTTCAAAGTATAACACAAGTCGCCATTCATTAATAATTACTTTCATTTCTCTTTTCATCATTAATAAGACATGCAAACTTCCAAAATAGAGTGGTACGAGTTAGGTGATCCTTTGGACTCAAGGAAATGAAGCATCAATCCAACGCGGATAACAGGTGGTAGGAAAACTACTCCTAAGACACTATTAGCCGTGTGGGAAAACAATGGCGACGTTCAAAAGGAAACAGACAATTGGTGGTTGACCAATCAATCCTATTGGGAATCGATTTTTGATCTCACCAGAAACAAGCCAAGAAAAGGGAAAGCAAGCAAGCAACCACCCTGACCTACTAATTGCCAGACCCATATGTCATCATCATATAATATTGACATGCTTTTACTAAAGGGTGTCCTTTTCTACTCTTAAGTTTTGACAATATAGCACATACAGCTGTAAATGTGTGAAACCTGCCTAATCAAATTATGAGAAAGGGGGGAAAACAACTACGTTCACATATCTCAATCTGGCCACATATATGATGGTATACAACCCTACTGCTGAAGACATGGCCAAACAGTAAAGTAATTGACTTTCGAGTTATTTCGACCCCGGTTTCGAATCCCAGCCATGGATGTCCATGTTGTTGTTGTTGTTTTTGGTTATGTGGGTATTTGTTTGGATTATAACTTGTAACAACCCTTTCAACATATAAGAACAACATGTCACAATTATGGCCACAGTACTATACTAGGAGACAAGAGTAGTTGTTTGATGTTAATAATAGTTTAATAGCAAGCCCACCACGAGAAAACGTTGGTATTCGACTGAAATGTAGTCTAAATTCTCTGTAGGGAAGAAAAACAACAAGGCCAAAGGGGCAGAAATTTCTTGTGAAAGAATCAAAGGCAGAGACAATTTGATGGGTCGTGTACCCACCGTTCACATTGGAATTCAATAAACACACCCATATTGGTTGAGTGATTATAAATTCATAACATCGGATTTTGAACTCGAAAATCCCGATTTAAAGATTCGTAACACGCATTAATATACGATTGCTAGCATATAGCATTTTAAAATTTTAATATAAACTAGTTAATCCGTTAACAAAAAAAATTAATGAATAAAACTAAAATTATTAAACTAATCGTGACAATTTAAAAATAGCGATGATTTTTCTTGGCCTTGGTCGTGTTTGGGTCCCTGCGGCGGGAAACCATGCAACTAAAGTATAATCATGAAAAAGAAAGCTACTAATTAATCTAAGCCGATTTCGCATTAATTAACTTAAAAGTAATTAAGCGGGAACGATATCAGATGAGTGAGGGGAAGACTCACCGGAGATTTCAGCATTCACCGCGCAGAAAGATCCCGCCGGGGAAGATTGTATCGGATGATCGCCGTCGCTCGATTTCTCTCCAGTGAATAGTCTTTACTTTAGCACGCCGCGGCCAAACGCGAAGCAGACCGACTTTACTTTACTTCACTTTACTTCCTCCTTCGTCAGCTGCTGCTTCGGCTGAATGCTTCTTCCTCTGCTGGTCTATCGGAGGCACGAATCTTTCTCCGGTGATGTCCAACGGAAGAAATTACAGAGCAGAAGAAAACGCACGCGCGCGCGCGAAATGAAGAGACGGAGGAGAGTGAGGGTTTTTGAGGTGGTGCGGAGGGGTTTTTGTGTATTTATGGAGAAAGGAAAGGGAAGAAATTATGTAAGAATAAGCTGTTTTGTTTTTTTTCTTCAGGGGGGATAATTTTGTATTTTGTTGTGTTTGGATTTGATTGGTTTCATGGAAGAAAAAAAGAAATTGGGAGCTTTGACAGCTAATTTCCAGCGGGAGAAGTGGATGTCTAAGTGACGTTGGATCATTTGGAAGCATTTTCAGGGTTGTTTTGTTTGGCATGGGGGCAATTTGGATATGTAGTTCAGCATCGTGTTACGCATCGATCGAGCTTAGTTATTAGACGTACGCGATGATATCTTTAATTAGACTATGCTAACCAACAGCTTCATAGCGCATTTTAATTAGAGATCAACTCTTGGTTAATCCCGCAACCACGAAGGGTGGTTTGCTAGTAAGTTATATAGTCAATTGTAAGGATCGAGTCGAAACGATAATATCCAATCCATATGATCGAGAGTTCAGCTTCCTTCAAGCCACAATGGTACTTTGCATACATATTGCGACATAGATGTTGCCCACGACACTTATCTAAACTACAAATGAAAACGAGATTTTCTTCGTAGTGCCTCTATGGAATGACTATCATTTCCCTCCGTAGAGAAAAAGAACAATGATCATCAAAACGATTGTAAGAAGAAAAAATCGATGTCAATCTCTCATCGGGGCATCCCGCCCTTCGTGGTCTATTTGGAGGATTGAGACTTGCACTTAATCAAAAGTAAATTAGTATTAGAAGAAGAAGAAAACATGCCCAGAACACAAGAGGGATATGACGTGGTGTCAAGAAAGGAAGTCTCGTGCCTTGCTCTACGATATGTACGGAGGTAATCCAGCAAGTCGAGTCGAAATTACATTTCTTCTAGTACACTAAAGGAGCAATGAGAATAGTTAGCATCCTAATTAACAAACTCCAGCTATTCGATGGATGAGAAATCATGCATTATTTACCAAACTACAACGATGCTTATTCGAAGTTGCTGCACTGGTTCTTTCTTATGTTCTGGCAATTTCACATTACATGAACCACTTCCCCAACATTCATACAATGCACTAAACACAAGGACAAGGGAGATCAATCTGGGATCGAAATTCATGGATTTTTTTTGTGATGTTGGCCTCATTCAAACTCAGGGCGTGACAGATATTTTCATCAAATATCACCACTAAAATGAATCGACTCCAGAGAGAGTATATGATATAAACAACAATTACCTTTAATCAAGAGCGAAAAGACGCTCTCAACCTGTAGATACAAAAGAGGAGAAGAGAAAACAGAGAGCGAAGGAAGTCTTTTGAGATCCAAAACCAAAAACAGACACACACCACCTACTTTCCTCTTCAGGAAGACAAGGGTGCAGTGACATTTTTTCTTCTGTTACAACATCCGGGCTACATGAACCATCCACCGTCAGGAAAAAGACGGTGTTGGAATATGAAGCGGGAAAGCCCTTGTACAACATAGCACCCCAGGCATTTAAAAAAACAAAAGGTAAAAAGCTTACTTACAATGCTTGGAGCAGAAAGGAGCAATGGGATGTGATGTGAGAGTGTAAGAACCAAAATCAGTTTCCTTCTTGTGTTGCAGTGGGCACAGCAGACGACGGATGCAGATCACTGGTATCCGAGTCTTTGCACGTGTGCGAAGCGATGTACGAACGAGCCACCGTCAACATAACATCCACCTCTTTCTTGTACTGCATGTCATCATCATAGTTGAAAATCAGACGGATCATTTGAAACAGGTTCAAGATGTGATTGTGAAGCAAACTAACAATTCAGCCACATAGTCGTGGTACTTAAAACTTGTCACAATAGCAATGGGCAGGAAGAAGCTAGAGAGCTCAATCAAGATCAAAGCCAACCTCGTTTATGGCTCCTGCCTTTATTTTAGACTGCATAACGCACCATTTCTTGAAATGTGCTCCTGCAAGAGAAAGGGCATTTCAGAGTTATAAGCCTTCATTCTCACAAAAGAAAAAGAATCACACGGTAGACTGCACATAGCCAACAGTTTAGAGGAGATCAAATGCTATTGGTTTGTGCCAAGAAAAAAATGTGGAAATTGAAACTTAGGATGGAAGACACATTTACTAAAGTAAATGGTGAAAGATCAAAATGCATTTAATTCATGCTACAGACCAAGAGAACAGGAAAGGAAACAGGATTTATGCGGACAAATATATAAATGCGTACTAAGTAAGACCTAATAATTGCATCTTCTCGAGACGGCTACAAACTAGACAAGGAGAAACTGACACCTACCAACTTTAATATCAATAGTGGAGGAACTTTCGGCATTGGACTCAATTTTCCAGCAGCAATGAACCTGAAGAACCATCACCATAAGAATTTACATACGTGCACGAGAAATACTTGCAAGAGATAATGTTTGGTGAGTTTTGAACGAATGGAATCTGCTTTCCTTCCTTGACTTCACATGTTCTAAGTTCACATATAAATATCAAGAGAAAGAAAGCAAAGGGAAAAGCCTGAACTAGTGAAATTTTGATTCATCGAACGAGCTACTGTCGGATATGCAATTAATCATACTCTTTGTAACATACAATAGGCTAGTGATTCTGCTGCTTCTGAAGTAAAATATCCATGCAGTATGTACCTCAAAATAAGATCCGAAAGGTACATCGTGTGCCTGTTGCACTGTTTCAAACACCTGAATGCCAACAACATATAAAAAGTCAACACAAAAATGAAGACAGAGAATGTTGCACAAAGATCATTTTATTTAATATTTTCCAACAAGTGAACACAACCCGAAACAACAGCCGAGAAGAAAAACAAAGCAGTTAGCAAGGACTAAAATAAGAAAAAGGAAATGAAGTCGAACCAGGATTTTCTTGTCTGGTGATAAAACAAAATGCTGATATTCCGTCATGGCTGTATCTGGTGGGCACATAGGACTATTACATACGGATCTGAATGTTAATTCTCGCACTTGACCATCATATTCATCAGCTGGATGCCATGGTCCAATCTACAGAACATTCATCAGAAAAAGATACAATAAGTTGGTGAATATATCTCCAGGGTGTAGGATCTAACTGGACAAAGACATAAACCATGAAAGCAGACAAAAAGAAAAATAATACTTGACAAGGACCTATAATACCGTAGAACACTAGCAGCAAAGTCTACAAACCTAAACAGAACAGACAGATGAATGGTATAACATGGATATAGCAATGCATAAGCGTGAACCAATATCATTGTAAAATACAAATAGCAATAGTTTATCCTTGACTCTTGTGTTCCAATACACAACCAGTATTCAGAAAATATATCCAGCATTTTTTCAATATTTACATTTTCTACGCGAAACATGCTTTGTTGACAAGAAATTCATGGTTTCCAAAGGACATAATGCTTTTGAAGTTGCAAGCTATATTTCCATATTTTTTCACAACAAAACATTTCTTACAATCAACTAATTTGTAGAATCTATCTACTTCAAACAGACACCTAAGAATAATGGGTTCAAAGCGGCCCTATACCATTTTTGCCATGTTTAGACATGCTATCATCCCCTCGTAATCCACTAAAGGGGTTACACCAGTGTTTAAAAGCCAGACCAAGCAGAATAGAAACAAATAGAAAACGAGAGGAACGGCATTTGAACACTGATGTAACCCCTTTGGCGAGGAACAAATGGCAGACCAAGCAGAATACAAACACATACGTCACTAACAGCATACTGAGAGGAACGGCATCTACAAATATAAAATATGGGGAAAGATGTTCAACTTACAACTAAATTTGTATCCTTTCTAGCTGATCGGTACTCGTTTATAAATTTAGAATCATCACTCAATAATAAATTTAGGAACTGCTCTGCTGAGCAAGGAAAAATATCCTGCAAGGGGAACAGTTAAATTGCATTAATCAAATCATACAATGTACTATCTGCAACTAAATTTATTCATGGGAAAGTTAGATGAAGATATTCCTTACATTATGTATACCAACAAGAACCTCGTATTTGATAAAGGGTTGAACCTTCTCAGCTTTCGGCACAATGCTTTCCAGCGACAATGGTTCACCTTTTCTAACTCTGACAGAGCTACTGTGCGCCCGTAATGCAGATTCTGCATTTTCCTATGCAAAAAAAGATAGAGGTACAAAATGATTAATTGGGGGGAAGTATAGTAATAAAGTTGGTATATTAAACATACAATACAAGAACAGACAGCAGAGTCCGAAAAACTGGCATTTTGCCTTTGATGTAGTTGCTGGATCAATATGATCACTACCCAGTATATTTGGTATTCCATCAATCACATATTACGACATAACTAATTAACATGCTTTAGACTGATAAAGCAACAAGAGCACTACTGACTAAGATTCTGGCGATTGTGTTCCCATTATAGCTGTAGAGAAATAGAGCTCTTTAAGCCAGAAAACAAGTACTCGTGAATAAGGTTTCACGGGCGCAACCTCGGTTGACAAAGACTAAAAGCTTTTCACGAAATAGATAATAATATTTTCTTTCCCATGTCAAATAGAAAATTCATAGAATTAGAAAAGAAGCATACAGTATGAGTCGTAATAGTACCTTTTTCTCAGCTTCTACAAGTGTATGGTAATTCTTTGCTGTACGGTGCAGTATTCGTATAGCATGATTCCTGTTCCAAAATGATGCAAACTTATATCTGACTCTACCTGAAAATGACACCATAGATATGCCCAATTTGAGAAGTAAATCTCTGTCAACAAGAGTTTTGAGTATTCTTTTCAGCGACTCCAAACAATACGCACAAGGAAAATGGATAATTGCCAGCGTCCACATTTTAAGAAAAGAAACGACTGAATACTAACCATCTGGGCTTCCTAGAGGAGGCACACCATGCCCACCAGCACCCATCCGAAGGATAATGGTTATGGCGGGATTTATAAAAGCATGCTGACTCCGACGTATCTACAAAAGAACCAACCAGGATAAGCCACATGAGCTATTATCTAGTATAATTTGCGAAATATAACTTGAGTACTACCTCATCAATATCTCCAAATGGTATGATCACCTGCAAACACAAACACACAAAAAAAGTATCAATGAATGCATCAAAAGGTTCACTCAAACATTTTCTTTTTACAAGTCAAAAAGGTTCACACGCATATTACCTCAACCAGTGCTTCTGGAAGTATTTTCAACAAAGTATTTACAAGTCAATTACCAAAAAAAAACCATTTCATTTTCAACCACATAACAGGCTAATAAAGATTGGAACTTTTCTTGAAGAAACAAAGCAGGGAACAAGAAAACTATTAACCATGTGGAAAGAAATAACCAAACAATGAAGAGGCTAACCTTCATTTGCTTAGAGAATACGTTAGAGTGGAAGCAGATGTGCCATGCAGAGACATACATGCGTCCATGGTACAGGAAAGACCGTTCAAGTGCACATGAGTAGCTATGTTCTGCCACCTGAAAAAAATGACATTATTTGTCAAAATGAATGAAACAGAAATTATAAAAGCATCTTATTACAAAATCCAGTACATCAGTTGAGTTGAACTTTGTTCGACCCACCTCGTCCGGAAGGAGATTGAATATTGTCTGCATAGGCCCAGGTTTCTGATGAACCACAGTAGGCCCTTGTTTGTCTAAAGAAGCTCTCCTTCGATTAGTAGCTCCAGCAATTCTGGCATTTGAATGAAAAAAACAACAAATATCATGTATTGGCCACAAAAAAAAATGGATATCAACAGCGAGAATATTACCTTGAAGCATTTCCAGCAATCTTTATAGTCTTTATGTGAAGACAAACCTGAGAATATATCAACATTAAGGTACAAGTACAATGATTTCCTCGCAGATGGCAGATAAATTCCAAAGTACATACAGCTAGAGAAACTTACTTGCCCAGATGCGCTGTCCAAAGAATACCATAAGGCACCAGTTTGACCTTCGCTCTCAACTGGAACAGTGACAGATCCAAGAATGGTACTTTTCCAAATGATATCCCAGTCATATATTGTGACATTGATCTGCATGGAAGATGGGGGAAATATATCAGTAAAAACTGAAAAGAAATTGAGAATTCATCCCCAGGTCGTTTCATGACAAAAACTCCACAGAGCTTCTTAATTGGTAGGGCATACGGATACTAAAAAAAGCTACAAACTCTATTATGATAAATGTATCTACTAACAAGCTTTAATTGTCAAGAAAAATACTACCCAGCTATAAAGTGAGATGCATGAACAGTGATGCGTAAGCTTGGTGAATACACGGAACACTGCCTTTGGTAACAAACAGAAAAGGAATTAAAAAAACATTGTCATTACCTTAACAGGTAGCTCATCCACAGAAAAGTTGAATTCTTCGCCCCACATAGGGTTTCTTGAACCAGGAACCATAGAGCTGTGACAGTAATAGTGAGAATTTTAGAGAGCATGAAAACAGGAGAAATTTTTTATGCATCATGGAGATGAGAGCTTACATCCATTTCTTGCTTCGAAGCATCTAGTATACATGTCTTCCATTTTAAGATAAAGAACTCTTTTCAGGTGCTAAAGGCTCAGGGTTACAGCCCTTCTAGTCCAATTTGACACAGAACTATTTTTGGCAATTCCATAACAAAAATGGTAAAAGCTAAGCCAGGTGATCTAACCTATGAGCTAACAACTCAGCTTTCATATTTACTATATCATCAGCTAGATCATAACCACTTAAAAGGATTTACTGGATAACTTAACCTACACCTCCAAGCCTCCCAGCCAATAATAACCCAGATCAATATCTATAGTGACTAATTAATGAATTCAATGACCAAATCATCAAATGGGACAAGTCAGCTGCAAGAATGGTGCTTCAAGTTCAGAACAAACTGTGTATAGAAAAATCTAGTGATGCTACCTGAAGTCAAGTTGCGCTGAAGATTCAAACATAAAATGAGAAATTTTTAAACAAAGATTTTTCAGTCATAGAACGTCTAGAACAAAGCCAAAGACATAAAGAAAGACCTGAATCGCTTCTCAGAACCACAAGCAATAAGAGCATAAGGATCTGATGTGCCATTCAGATTGGCACCAATCAGATTCTTAGCAGCCAACAATTCCACCTGAAATAGAGAAGAACAACAGCAACCTCATCGCGTCAATTCACTGGGAACATGGAAATTGCGGAAAAATCCAAACAGCCAAAGCATTCTCCGTATATTTAAGACGGATCATCTCGAAAGTCAAGCCTGCTAAGAAAATCGACTAAAATAAAGACGAAAGATACCTTGATTATATATCCAGAACTTGCTTGTGCGTCTGCTTTCAGAGGGCCAATCTACAAAAAAAAATGCAACAACTGCACGTTAAAGAAGTGGAAATTATTCGAATAAACTAGCAGATAATACTAGAATCCACAATCATTCATATGTTCAAAGCACAGATCATGAACTAAGATACAATCGTGAAACAAGACATGGGCAAGTGGAGAATCATGAGAAACAATGCTGCACAGAGAATAAAGTCTCATTCAAGCTGTATTTCTGGCACTAATAAACCAGGAACGGAATTCAGGTACCACCATTTCCTCTATGTCTGACCAACAGAAGAAAGAAACCCAGCCCGAATGACGTCTCTCATCCGGTAGGGAACAATAGCACAGAGAAACAAACAAGATCACCCCGCGGAAATGACAGACAGCAATTCAAACTGCTTCCTACGTCCTATGCAGACGATCACACTCATAATTTCAATCAGCAAAACAACAAATCGAATTATCAAATGATGGCAAGTTCAGGGAACAGAAACCTTGTCGCTGCTCTCGAATCCATCTCCACCATTCCCCAAATTCTCCACACTCCCACCACGAGGACCATCGCCACCGCCGCCGCCGCTGTGAGCAAAGAACCAGTACGCGAAGATCAGGAACATGGCGGCAGCCAAGGTGACTTGGATCTCCCACCACGACGGGACCAGAAACACCAACGCCGCCTCCATAGCCATCACCATCGTCATTCGCTTCCTCCAATCCGATCCTCTTTTTTTTTCCCACTCTCAATCTCTCTCAAGCTATTCCTATATCCGTCCCAGTCGCCGGCGAGTTTGTTCCTCCGGTGGCGAATCACGCGATCCCGACGAAATTGAGAGGTATCAGGGTTGGTGCGACGAAGACGAGAGGGAGGGTTGAAGAAGAGTAAACAAAGGGGACGCGGAGGCCAGGCACGACGAACAGGAAGAAGAGGTCGTCCATTTCTTGAGAGAGAGACTTAGCGGGGTCGCACTCGGACGGAGAAATCAAAAGTGAGAAAAAGTGTGCCGACGACCTATTTTCTTTGTTAAAAAAAAAAAAAAAGCGTCACTAGCTAGACTATAACAACTTTCACAAAATCCACTCTTGAAGTAGGACACGTGATTCGCTGTTTTGTTGTCGATTTTGACATGTATTTGAAACTATTATCGACATCGTTCTGCAGATCATAAGAAATATGCACATAATTCATGAGAATTTATTTACCACTTACTCCATTACATATCACTAATTAGGTTGACCGTATGTAACAAAAGAATACTAGTAGCAATTCGTTATTTTGGCCTTTTATGTTTAATAATGGTTATAATCACTACATTAAAGAGATTATTTCATCAATATTGTTGATCTTATCTTCGAAAAAATATTGATAGTGTCGTTGACAAATTGGTAAGTACCTTCACAAATTAGTGGTCTTTTATGTCATTTTTCTTTGCTGGTGAACTTGTAAGGACCTCAACAAATGAGAGATAATTTTCTGAAAAAACCTAAGGACACTCACGAATTCGCATCTCCTAAAAATACGTCAATTACCAAGTGTATGAAACAAAAAGTTATCTCGATATCCGACTTAACCAAGAAAAAAGAAATTTATTATCTGCGTAAATTGTACATTAAAAATGAGGTGTTACTAGATTTTAAAGCTGGCAACAACTTTGGAGATGTTCTGTCACATACCAGATGATGATCACGAGATGGCCTTGAAATGAAAGATTTATAGATTCACTCTAGGATTAAACTCTTTGATGAACAAGATCAATGCCTAAATTATATTGTTTGAAAACCGCAAGACAAACATAGCGGATGATCTTACTTCTATTTTCGAGAATTTGTGCATCATTTACTTTATTCCTATGAAGGATGTTCAAAAGTAATTTGTATAGGAGTCAAGGTGAAGCGATCATATTCAATTATTCATAACTCAACCATGACTGTGGTTGTCTGGCACCTCCCACTAGTGTTTGTTGTGAGCTTAACATTCTAGGGGTTTGCTGTGAATTTGACTCAGGAATCCACAATGAATTATCTCACCCAACATGCTAAAAGTTTTTCATGTATTTTCACCTTGGCTCTCATGTATCTCACTCGTTAAGTACCCCGCTCAAGTTCAAATCTAGCTACACCACTAGATACAAGCTATAAAAAATAACAGCACAAGATGGAAAACTACAGAACAGGTGATCACGAGTCTCGCTCCCCTAACTACAAAATACACATAGGCTAGAGTCAGCACACCCCAGTCAACCACTTTATCTCTAGTTATTGTATGATTAGGTATAAAAACCATGTCAAAATTTTGTATATTGAGACAAAAAAAAAACAAAAAAAACTCATCCCCATAACACTTTGTACAAATCTACCTTTTCTCCTAGAGGTCTTATGGATTTCAAGGTCAACTTGACAAAGAACTTTGGCAAAATGTTATGTTCCCAAGTCACCTAAAAATTATGGTCCACTTCTAATCTGTATTGAAACAAAGGCCTATGTTTTAATAGTTTCCTCCAAATCACCTAATTATACTTCAAATCCCATGTATTCTTCCCTTTTAGCATGTACTTCCTTATCCATGCTACCCAAAAGGATCCACCTCTCACCAGTACTATCCAATATAAACTTGCAGCATATGCAACACTCCAAGTGTACAAGTCCTCAATGATCAAGATCAACATCTATATTATATTGTTTGAAAATCTCAAAGACAACATAGTGGATGGTCTTGCTTGCATTTACAATGATTTGTGCATCAAATTACATGATTCATGTGAAGGATGTTCAATAGTAATTTGTTTAGGAGTTGAGGTGAAGCAATCAAAACTCAACTGTAATTGTACGTGGTTGTTTGGCACCTCCTATCACCGAGTGTATTGGGGTAGCCAATTACACCTTCCAACTTTCTCAGTCTCCTCCCTATATCACAACAAATATGAATATATTTTATGGATTTGATTGATAAATTTATTAAGCAATATGAAAACGGTCATCCAATATTAAATACTAACATTTCTTATAAAAAAATATATTGAATAGTAACATAAAACACATATGATATCAATTGGGTTCTTACCAGCACATGAGCGCTTTCTTGCTTGCCAATATATCAACCTACTAGTAAGTTTGTTAACTATTGCACTACATGTACTATTCGAGAGCTTTCAAAACTGTAAAGATAGTCCCAAATATCGAACACGTAATTTATCTTCCTTGAAACCAGAATCAGATAGAGCCGAATGCTTCTCTAGTATGGTAACACCACCAAAGAACACCTCACATCTCAAGGGACTGCATTTCAATCCAGCGATCATGTAAAATATATTCAAAACCCTTATGACACTTTCCAGAGCATAAACTAACTCCTCGATGAAAATTGGTAGGTCATCATTAAAACATAAATGAGTCAACCCTATTTATTTGCAATGCGGATGATATAGAAGCATTCTTTCTCTTGTTGCTTTATGCAACAACCGTGTCAAGACTTTCATTGCCATGGTAAACAGGGGGAAATAAAAGATCTTTATGTCTCACCCTTTCTTAGCTGAGAAAACACCAAAATTAGCACCATGAATCACGATACTGAAGCTAGCTGTTGTCGAGCAAGCTTTAATCCAATATATAAATTGCTTATGAAACATTAATACCAGTATAACACACAAAAGGAATCTTCAATGAATTTAGTCAAAGGCTTTCATTAGATTCACTTTTACTGCACTCCTATAGACAATCCTTTTCTTATGATAGTTTTGAGCCATTTACTGGCTTTTTCTGCCCTTAAAAAATGTTGTCTCGTTTCTGCTTACTACAATCATAGGGGTCGTTTGGAAGTTGCGATTGTTAGTGTTGTATTTGTTAAATACATGCATTGTCCACAACATAACGTTTGGAAGTGTCAAGTTGCAAAACAATGCATGTATTGTTTTGTGTGGGTCCCACCAACAATCAACAAAAATGAGGGATTGTACAATCTCAACTAAGGGGTCGTTTGGAAGTTGCGATTGTTAGTGTTGTATTTGTTAAATACATGCATTGTCCACAACATAACGTTTGGAAGTGTCAAGTTGCAAAACAATGCATGTATTGTTTTGTGTGGGTCCCACCAACAATCAACAAAAATGAGGGATTGTACAATCTCAACTAAAAGTTGAGATTGTTGTGATTGTTGGTTTAATAATTGAGCACCTCTACTTTTTCCAATTATGTCCATAGTTCTCTTTGTTTTATATTAAAAGTGGAGGACAAATATGACATTTCCTTATAAAGTAACTTTATAACAATCAATTCATAAATTATAATCTCAACAACCAAACAATGTAATTTCAAAATGCATCTATTGTATCAATACATGCATTTATATCATAGTGATTCATAACAATACAACGATATAACATACGCAATTTCCAAACGACCCCATAATATTTTGTCGATATGAGATTTGAAAGTGTTATAAAAAGTTTTTTTTTTTCGGGTTTTGTTTTCAACCTCCCTCACTCAAGGACTTAGAAAACGCTGCGTTTCAACGCGGCCCCGTGTCTTGTTCTTCTTCGTTTGAGATAAATTTGAGTGATCCTCCTCTTCTCCTTTCCCTTTTCTTCTTCGTCGTTCATGTCCAACGACAAACTAAAGAAACATTTCCGAATCCGATAGATCGTTGTTCCGGCGCGCCATAAGCTCCGATTGCAAATAATGGCGCTAAAATCACAGACGATTGCTGGATTAGCTGCGCCGTTACCATCTCCCGCTTCAACCTCATCGACTTCTTCGAGCAACACACTCTGCATGGTGAAGCGCCCGCCTCTGAGCTCGTCTTTCTTAAATGGCGGTGGTACTGCATCACGAGCCTTCCTCTTCCCTAACATCTCCTTCCTGGCCTTGAATTTTCCTATTTTTTTTTCGCGGATTTTCATGTTCCATTGAAGTTCACTTAGTTTGAGCTAGAGATGAGTTGATTAGGGCACGGGCATGTGTTGAATTGATTATGTATTGCCGACCTGTGTAATTTGAGAGTATGATAGTCTGATTTCAATTGTATTTCAACTAAATTCCCTCTGTGGTAGTATGAACTTTAGTTGTTTCTCTAATGTTTTTGCTGATTTGGGGATTGTTCTGAGAAACCTGAATAGTTTGATGGTTGACTTCTGTGATTGATTTGGACTTCTCTGCAATGAGCATGGATCCTTCACCTCGGGATGATGGAAAACTTGTTTGGTTTCCTGTTCGTGGGTCATTATATGCATCACTAAAAGCTTGAGAGTTGGGTTCAAATTGCTAAAATTTGATTTGGCTCATAATTGAAGCTCTAAAGATCACCAGGACACGGAGTCCAGTTGGTCGTTCGAACTGTTTGAGGCAAGCTGGAGGCGGGCTTACCATTCGTTCAAATCTTTTTGATCGGTTTGCAAGGGTCGTGAAGGTGAATTTTGTAGAGCTATTCCTTGCATTTATGTATGCGAAGAACTTTTTGCACTTTGTCATCTAATTTTAACATTATAATAATGATCCATCCCTGGTTACAGTCATATGCCAATTCAATCTTAAGTTCATTTGAAGACCCAGAGAAAATTTTGGATCAAGCTGTGCTTGAAATGAATGATGACTTGACAAAGATGCGCCAAGCCACAGCACAAGTAAGCATCATCATCTTGTACCATGCTGTCATGCTGTTTTGCATCATCATATCCTTATTTCTCAGTTCTTCCCCCAATATTTTATTTTTCCTTCTTTTTTGTTTTTGTTGTGGTGTGCTCCTTGAACTCCTTCATCTGGATTGTATTTTAAATTGTCCTTTGTGCTTAATTTCCTCGTTGAGTTCTTAATTTTCTTCTCGTTATAGGCTCCATTAAATCAAATGATCCTTGTGTCATGTATTCTGTGATTTATGAAGTAGACCTTGCAGTGTGTTATACCTTCACTTTTTGAATTCGGGGTCTTATTTTGTTGGTCAATAAAAGTTATGACATTTTTCAGACTTATTTCTGTTCCTCTTGCAGCTTTCCATAATTGCCTTTTCTTGTATTTCAGGTTTTGGCAAGTCAAAAACGAATGGAAAATAAGTACAAAGCTGCACAGCAAGCTTCTGAAGATTGGTAACACACAATTAGAGTATTGCCTTAAAACTGAAAGGAGTTTGAGTAGATTTGATTGACAATAGCTTATTGAGATGAATTGCCTTACTCATTGTAGGTACCGGAAGGCACAACTTGCTCTTCAGAAGGGAGAGGAAGATCTTGCACGCGAAGCTCTCAAGAGGCGAAAATCTTATGGTGTATGTTCACTTCTTTCTATGAACTGTTCATCTTTCACCATGTCTCTGCGGGGCTTAAGTTCAGTTATGATAAACAATCCCATGGGATCAGGAGTAACTTCGCGAGTAGTCTTACTGTGTCAACCCTTTGTTTGTTTGGCAGCTTGTATCTTGGAGATGTTAGGATAACAGTCATTATTTCTCTTGGTAGTGATCTTCTACCCTACATTCCTAATAGTGTTTATGGATGCAGAAGAGACTAAAATAGCAAAAATCTAAGGACAACATTACTCATTAGCTGAGCTGATTACTTGTGGTATTCAGTGCTCAAGTCTTCAGAAAGAATGGTTCCTGAAAATAAAATTATACGAAAAGTAGATACAACAGATGCGGGATTAATAATTTAATGTTGCGGCCCTTCTTAGATGAAAATATTTGCATTCTCAGCCAATTCGTGTATTTCAATTCTTGCAGGACAATGCTAGTTCTCTAAAAGCTCAACTTGATCAACAGAAAACTGTGGTGGACAATCTTATAGCTAACACTCGGGTATGTTATTTCTACAAATTCATCAGATAATCCATCGAGGCCAATTGTTTGTGCTCCGATATTTTTCATTTGGTTCAACTGGAAAGAGGTCAGACAGTGCTGGAAATTTGTCGTATTTTTATGTTTTTGTGGTTTCTGTCGAAGGTAATTTCGAGGTGTCATCCATAAAGAAGCAACACAACAATTCTTTGTTTCCAAACTCTATGCAGTTTCTATTTTCCCAAGCTTCCTTTTGTTCAGTGTCAACACATTTATGCTCACATTTCTTGCTGCTTATAGCATCCACTTTTGTGGTTTTCAAAATGTAAATGGTTTGTAGTGATTGATCAATTGTTATCTTAGAACTTCCAACTTTGTGCAGCTCTTGGAGAGCAAGATACAAGAGGCCAAGTCCAAGAAGGATACTCTAAAAGCACGTGCTCAGAGTGCAAGGTTTTTCTCTGACATAATTTTCCGCACTTGTGTTTCCCTTTATTTTTTTACTACACATATATGTCAAAGGATAGTATTTCTGAATTTCCTTTCTTGCTTTTAGGACGGCAACCAAAGTGAATGAGATGGTAGGAAATGTTAATACCAGTAGTGCTCTTTCCGCTTTCGAAAAGATGGAGGAGAAAGGTATATCATTAAGCATAACTTTCATGTCATTCATGGAACTATCTGTTGACAGATTGCTTGGTAATCGATTAATCACAATCAATTTGACTTTATAATCACAATCAATTTGACTTTGATATCGATGTTGGCTATCCATTGAGGTCCTGAAAGAACAACATTAACAAATTGGCCTCAAACACTGTGTCCCATGTTATCTACAAGTTCATGTATTCTTTGCAGTAAAAAGAATAGGTAAATATATTCCAATTGGATTTATAGACTCATGCAATCAAGTGCTATAATTCTCTTGCAGATTTGTGTTAGTTTGCTTCTGGAAAGCATAGTCCTGTATCTAGGTATTAGGCTTCCATGTCTATTAGATGAATGTTATGCCTTCTCTGAAGTAAATATCACTACATTGATAGTCCTTTCTTAGAAGTTTTTGTGGATTCTCATTTCGCCAAAAGACTGGACTTTGAACTCCTATTTACTTTTTCTGTTTTCAATCATGATAGTGATGGCAATGGAATCAGAGGCAGAAGCACTTGGCCAATTGACTACCGATGAGTTGGACGGGAAGGTATTGAAACCATTCCTTACCATTTACCATTAAGTTTGCAACTTCCGATGACGCGGTATGCATCTCAGCAAACCTCAAACATTATGACATAAATTTTGGAGTTTAGGAGCCATCCGTTCCTTTCCTTTATCATCCACACTGGCAGTAGAATTTAGCTGGTTTTCAGCATCATTTTGTTTAGTGTTACGAATGACACTTGATAGTATAGGCACAGATATCTAACATGGCTGGACTTTTGGTATCTCCCCTTTTTTCTTGCCACTTGATCAAAATTATCATTAGGAGCAATTGCTGCAACAGCCATTCACATTCGTATGTTCATGTGCAATACCAGGATGAAAAGTTCATCTAAGCTCATAGCTGTCAAGCAAAATGTAGCTCATCAGTTATGATACTTGATTATAGTACTAAGCCCTCTGTTGCTAAAGCATTATGATAGTGTGTCTCTTATTTACCATGACTTTTTCCTTAATCAACGGTGCAGTTCTTGGCACTTGAGACCACGTCAGTGGATGATGATCTCGATAGCTTGAAGAAGGAGCTAGCCGGTAGCACAATGAAGGTAAAACGTTTCACATAATATTGTTGTGTTTCCTTACATCAGTCAGAGTTGGAGCAGCGAATTCAAATTGCGTAAACGCTACCGTGTGTTTCAATCTCTCCCTGTTCATTTGTAACCCTGTAAAATCTCTTTATCAGAAGGAGCTGCCTCCGGGACAAAACATTTTCACCAGAACAAGAGACCCGGACATCGAGATGGAGCTCAACGAGTTGCGGCAGAAGAGGAAGGAATTCTAGGAGGTGTTGGGGCAAGGCCAGAGTCAACTATGATTGTTATAGTTGTGCTTCATTTGATTGAGAGGCATTGGTTTGCTTTAGTTTCTATATGTTATCTTGTGAGTATAATTTTTCTATGCGACCCACTTGAGACTTCATGGCTGAATATGGCGTCCAATGTAAAACTTTGGAGAACTGGGGTCTGGTTTGAAGGGATGGGAAAATTGTACATAGGAAGCTTGTTTGATCTGTTTCTTATATTTGCTAATCTAGACATTAATATTGTGGATTTGTGGTAGAGTTTATAGTGCTATCTATGGCCACTGAAGTTGAGACTGGATATTCGGAGAGTATTTCAGTAGATCTTCAATGGATATGGCAGGAGGACAATTAACAAAACTCTTCACAAAGAGTTAAATTTGAAGACTATCTACAGCAATCACAATCATGCCAAAAGGCAAAAGTCTTAATGCAACAATAGTTTCATTTTCAATTTTGTCGTTTTATTATGACCGAAATCGAATCCAGTAAGCTCTTAACGATTCCTGTTTGGGCAATTGGCTGTTTCAGAATTCGATTTTTAATACTTTTGATTCGGTTAACAAAATCAAAGTGCCACCCCTAGAAGCTATACTTTCATGTGTTATTTACCCATTTAAGCTATGACTTAATGCACTAGCTCGATTCACTTTCGGATTTCAACACAACACCTATGAATCGAATTTCGGTAGGGGGTAAATGGGTCTTAGTCTACCATGAACGCCATGATGCATAATGGATACCTGAGATCATACAAATTGGTATTGTTGTTGTCCAACGATGCTTATCGCCAAATTCAAACTCATGACCATATGGTTATAAATTGAGCCTTATCATCTCAAATATCAAGTGAAAATTGGTATTGAAGTTATGCCTTTTGTGTGGTATGGTATTCAAGAGTGCATTCAACTCCATATTCAAGTAATTGCCTAGTGTCTTAGAATGATATCTTCAAAAAAAAAAAAAAAAGCAATAATAATATCATATATTAACGGACGGTCAGATTTCTATGACACACATCACTAAAGATAAACACGCGTGCATCTGAATAATTTCCTAGTTTGCCAATGGCGCAATACCCTGCTTAACCCCTTCCCCACTCACAGTGATTTCTTCCTTTGGACCCTATTTTTCCGCGCGAGTCCAGTCTAAGGGAAAGGGAGAACCTGTAAATTGTAATTACTCGATACCGCCTGGTTTCTCAGGTAAGCCACAAACCTTCCCTTCCCTTCCCTTCCCTTCCCTTCCCTCGTCGCCATTTCGCTCCCGTGTTTTCATTCTGATCGCCAATGGCGTTGTCGTCGTGTTCATCGCGACCTTGACCGTCTTGTCGTTTGATCGGAGCTCTTTTCTTCCACGGTTTGTTTTGCCATTCCCCTAGCGGTGGCGTCGAAATTTCTCTTCCGTTGTCTTTGGCTTTGTTTGTTCGGGAACAAAGCCCGCTGGATAGAGGAGAGGGTCCTAACGTTTTGATGAGATCCCTTCCCTCTTTTAGTTTCTTTTGCGGTTAGGAATTGGTGTGTACGAACTGTAGCAAAGTGCTCGATTGTTTGTCTGTGAGCAGTTTTTTTTTTTTGTTGTTGTTGAAGAATTCTGATGTTTGTTAGGAGTAGGCTAAAGGATCCTATTGAAGAACGTAGCTCTTGCCGCTTTTGTCTGCTATTCTTTGACATATTCTGTTTTGGTTTTTGTTTTGTCAGCTTAACGAAGCAGCTCAATACTAGGGCATGTGAATGCTGCTCCTCGGGTAGACTGAAGCTTATGTAAAATGGCTTCCAGAGCAATTGTGAGGAGGAACAAGGTTGTTTTTGATTGCTTCAGTTCGTCTGTTCGTTCAGTTTACAGTCTCCATGGTCTGCAGCATGAAAACCAACAGTTGGATGGCTCTGATGCCAAGTGTCATCGGCCTCCAGAGGTATCCGACAGAAAGGAACTCAATGGCACTGCAGGGAGAAGAGCAGAATTGCTTGGTCTTTTGGGGGCAGGGCACTTCAGGCGTAGATTCTACAGTAGTGCAGTTATGGGCCCCATATATGTGAGAACAGAGTTCTTTAGCCCACTGAGGTACATGTCCATCTCTTCGGGTAATGCATCTACAGCCGCAGCTAAGCAGCCAGAGCTTGGCAGTGATGAGGACGGTAATGAAGATTCTGTTTCTAAAAAGAGAAAGGAAGTGTCTCCAGAAGACTGCGATGAAGCTGTTGAAGGCCTAAGTACTGCCAAAGCCAAGGCAAAAGCTAAAAAGTTACAGGAGTCTAAGAATTTTGCGAAATCCATTTTGCAGAAGACATGGGCCATTCTTCTCGGAATTGGTCCTGCCTTAAGAGCTATAGCTTCAATGAGCAGGTTCAAACAATTACTTCTATATACATTTAGTTTGTGATACACCAGTTTGAAGATCTTTGAAGTGTTTTCTGATTTGTGATTCATTGCTTGACTCGCTGTTCTCATTGCAGGGAAGATTGGGCCAAAAAACTTACTCACTGGAAACATGAAATTGTCTCGACGTTGCAGCATTACTGGTTAGGCTTGAAGCTATTGGGGACTGATGTCAGGATCAGCATAAGATTGCTATTGAAACTTACTGGAGGGAAGAGTCTGTCCCGAAGGGAGAGACAGCAACTAACACGAACAACTGCGGACATATTCCGTTTGGTTCCTTTCGCAGTGTTCATCATCGTCCCCTTCATGGAATTTCTGCTACCAGTATTTCTGAAACTTTTCCCCAACATGCTGCCATCAACGTTCCAAGATAAAATGAAAGAGCAGGTGGGATTAACATATGCTTGTGATAAACCATTACAGTTCTTTGCTTTCCTTTCTACTGAAAACTTGCTCTTTGGTTTCGATTTATTACAGGAAGCATTAAAGAGGAGGCTCAATGCAAGGATAGAATATGCGAAGTTTCTTCAAGAAACAGTAAAGGAAATGGCAAAGGAAGTTCAAAATTCACGAAGTGGCGAGACTAAAAAGACTGCTGAGGACCTTGATGAATTTTTGACCAAAGTAAGTACTACATAAATCTGTCTCTTCTCTTTTAAGGTGACCTATTTATTTGTCTTTTACATAGTTTCTCACATTGACCAGGTTAGAAAAGGTTCTTCTGTCTCTAATGATGAAATTCTAAGCTTTGCCATGCTATTCAATGATGAGCTGACTTTGGATAATATTAGCAGGTATGATCTTGTTATGATTGCTTCTGTTCATTGCTTCCTTGTACATTTCCTTCTTGCTTTCTTGACACATCACTTTTCCAAACAGGCCACGACTAGTCAGTATGTGCAAGTATATGGGAATCAGTCCTTTTGGAACTGATTCGTATCTGCGGTTTATGCTTCGGAAAAGACTTCAAAGGTAATACTCACCTTCCCTCACATTCCCATTCTACATTTGTAAGTTAGATGCTGTGTTCTTTTGGTTCAACTTGGTTGCATCCACATGTTTGAGAACGTAATTGTCATTGTTTATCTCATTGCATTTGACTATCATTTCATTTATATTAAAATTCAGGTCATCTTTTATATGGTTTCGTACTAGTCTAAAAGACTTATAATGGTCTCTGGAGAAGATTTACCTTCCAATTGGAACTCAACATTTTTGAATTATAAATAGTTGTTCAAGCAACCATTTTGTGAAATTTGTAAATGAGTGAGTCTGAGAACTTTGGTTATCTTTTGTGAATTGAAGACTAATATGTATCAATACGATGAACTGTTCAATATATATGTCTTTCCTAACCATTAATTTCCACTCGAGTAGATTAGAGAGCAATTCCTGTATGTTTATCTGTGCTCCTTCTCCATGTTTATGATAAAGTGGAAATGCTCGTACAATTAACATGTTGATTTTTCCCTTTCCAGCATTAAAAAGGATGACAGGATGATCCAAGAAGAAGGCATTGATACACTTACTGAGGACGAACTTCGTGCGGAATGTAGAGAACGTGGGATGCTTGGGCTACGTTCGGTCGAGGAAATGAGGCAACAGGTTCCATGTGTCTTTATGCATATGATATTCCCTGGGCTTTTACCTTTGGTGAATTTGGACAGACTTCTCTCTAATATGCTCTTTTGTAATACTTACACTGTTATTTGTATGCTGTAATTCCGTGCAGCTCCGTGATTGGTTGGATCTGTCTCTCAATCATGCTGTGCCATCTTCCCTCTTAATTCTCTCCAGGTGGCTTGAAGATCTATTGATCAACTTGTATTTAGTTTCTTTTGATTCCTTTTAAGTTCAATGTTCACGTTTTGTCCCTCACTTTCTGACTGATCTATTTTTCACCACTATTTGCAGGGCTTTCATAGTGTCTGCAAGAGTTAAACCTGAAGACGCTATTCAGCAAACACTTTCATCTCTTCCTGATGAGGTTGTGAATACTCTTGCCAGTACTGGTTTGCCATCTGAAGATTCTGTTTCAGAAAGGAGAAGGAAGCTGGAGTTCCTTGAGGAGGAGGATAAACGTATCAAGGTATGCATTGAGTGAGCCCCAGTTTCGTCAGTCAAGATTTAAGGTCTTTCTAGAGTTCAACAAATTAAGAAAGATTACCCTTTGAAATTTCGAATGGACTCAGTTAGATATTCTGACATTTGTTTAAAGTTGTGCTTAAATCATTGTGTGGGGAAAACCCTGCTAAAAGCCCTAGCTACAGTTCTCTTCTGTCGGAAATTGCTTGCAAATCTGGGCAGCTTTGGAAAATTTTATTGGTCTTGTCGTATCAATTTAACTGCGATACTCATTTGGAACTCATATACTACAGGAAGAGGAAGAGAAAGAGGAGGAAGAGCTTGCTAGGATGAAAGAACATAAAGTCCGTGAAGATGAAGATGTGGCATTGAAAGAGATAACTACACCAACTGCTAGGGAAGCTCAACAACTAGCAAGAGAAAGAACTTTGGAGAAACAGGAGGAGCTGTGTGAGCTCAGTCGTGCACTGTCCGTTCTAGCTGCGGCATCAGTAAGAATTTGCAACTTCTTTCTCATGTTTATTGGACTTCTCAATCATTCTTGTTTTCTAGTTTTACTTTGTGTATTATTTCCCTTGCTAATTTGGTTATCATCATTTTGCAGTCAGTTAGTAGGGAGCGTGAAGAATTCCTGCGAATGGTCAATAAGGAGGTCCGAATTGATATTCTTGTTCAACGTCATTGTTAACATAGGAGGATTGAGTCTCTAAAGTTTGTATTGGAACTTTTTTTTTGGGTGTTCAGATTGATCTTTATAACAGCATGAGAGATAGCGAAGGCATAGATGACGAGAAGGCAGCAATGAAGGCTTATAGAGCTGCTAAAGATGAAAGCGAGCAGCGTGCAGCTGAAGTGGAAGAAGAAGCTGATGAAGTTTCTTCAGCGCTTATTGACCGGGTACTCCACTGCCATCACATTCATATAACCCATGCCACTGAACTGTTGTAGCCACGAATCTCTCTGTTTGAAACTAATGAAGATTTTATGTATTGTGCTCAAGGTTGACGCCATGCTCCAAAAGCTCGAGAAAGAAATTGACGATGTGGATGCTGAAATTGGGGATGGTTTCCGACTACTTGACAGGTGCGCACTTCTCTCTTGCTGACTGTGTCAGGTCAGGTGTCTTAGAATGAATTATCTCTCTTAGTGACAGTGTTATGTGTCTTATGAATAGGATCATGCCACAGGCCTAAGGATTTCCTTTGATACTCCAGTTCTTCTAGTGCCCTGTCTTTAGGACTAAGAAACCCTTCTCTGATTGAGCTATCTTGAGGACTTAGAAACCCTTCTCGATCTAACACTTAAAGTTGTGCTTGTTTAGTAATGTATATAATTACTGTCAATAGTGGAACCTCCTAGATAATTCTTTAGAGAAGAATTGTACTCAAATAAATTCCCAAGGGATTGACCAGGTAGTAATTTGTGGATGATAACGTTCATTACACCCTCCTTCCGAACCGTGGGGCTAACTCACCTATCTAAATATGTAGTGCGGAAATAGAGACCAGAAACATATCAATCCTAAATTAGGCATGAACCCGAGTTGTAGACTACAACTGAGTCTCTTATCTTCTTACTCATGCTTACAGTGAAAATGCTTAGGCCACAACCTTTTCATAAGATAGCTCATGTTTGTGATGTTTGGTTCATAATATGACCAGGGATTACGACGGAAAAGTCACTCCTGAAGAAGTGGCAGCAGCAGCAAACTATCTCAAGAACACCCTCGGGAAGGAAGGCATCCAGGAATTCATCAGCAATCTGGCAAAGGACTCTGGTGTGTGTTCCAAGCATTTATCATTCTTAAACTCAATAGCCTTGCTTGTAGACCACTCATTCGTTCTACCTTTCTCGATTTTCGTACTCTCAACAGATGGGAAGATTCGCGTGGAAGACATTGTGAAGTTGGGCAGTCGTTTGGAAGATGAGACTGGCGAGGCTGAAGAGGATGTACGGGCCAAGTGAGGGGGGAGAAAATTTTCTGTGCAGGGAGTAGTATCTTTACCTTTTTGACAAACATCATCAGAACCAAATACTACAAAGACTACTATGAAATTTGTTGGTGACCCCTGATATATGGAAAGCTTAGCCAAAGACCCAAAATATATCTGTTAATACGAAATCGAAGCGAGCCATTAGCAATAGCCTCTCAGTTCTTTCCAGAGTACTATTAATCTGTTCTGATGAGTTATCAGCCAGTTTATCAGGAGGCATACTTTTGGGGCGATTTGTAACTGCTGTTCTCCAGATGTCTTCTTTTGCTGATAGCCTGATACAGTTGGATGTAGTCTCTTAGTGAAGCAAGTCTGCTCTTAAACTTGTATTTTGCCACCAAAGAATAAGGTTGTTAAAGGTGTGGGCTATATGGCTTGGGTGAGTGGTGCGAAATCGGATTCGAATTGGTACAAGAGCGGATTCAAATCATCGTGCCTTGCGCGAACGCAAGTAACCATTCGAGAGCCATTTCGTTGTAATGTGTAACAAGAAGATTAAATTAGAATGACTCTTCGAAGTCGGAATTGAATTGTCAAGTGAGATTGAGGCTCTATCGGGTAATATTAAACCTTGTCATAATTAATAAAGAATTGCAATGTCAAAAAGAGGATGGACTCTACTCATTACAACATTCAAACAAAGAATTTCATCAAATGTCTCAAGCTTTCACTTGTTTATTCTCTAATCTAATAATTTATTAATGAAATTATATAAGTACTATGTAGAGGATATATTCATAACAACAGAACATCCATTGTTATCTAGATCCATACCATTTCCACTGAATGTAGCTACCTAAGTTGACATGGAAATAAGCAAAAATGTCCATAACCTGGTAAGAAAAAGTTGCATGCAGATTTAAAGACCTCTATGCACAACCTACACCACAGTAATCAGTAGCAAAAAGATTTTCAAACCCAAAAGTGACTGAAAAATTTCTCATTCTCGTAATTAACATCATGCAAAAGACACCCACGTAAAGAGATGCAAGTGTGTGTTTGCTGAAAGTTAAAGCAACCAAAAATTGATTGCACAAACAATAGACGTTGATATGGTATAAGTGAAAGATTGACGACATTCCAATTTTCTGCTCAAACCCTCAAAAGTTTACAAATAAGAAAAACAACCTTAGCATAAACATTCATGAAAGACAACTAAAAAAAATAAGAAATACACGTGTAGAGGAGCAAAAGGGATAAGCTAGAGAAAGGGAGAGTTTTCTTCAAATGCCTGCCTATGCATATTTCTGTAATTCAAAAAGGAGCATTTTCGTACCAGTAAACTACATGAATGTCAATCAACTAGATCAATTCCACTTGAATAGTAATCAAGTAATCCAACTATGCATTGTGTCAAATGATATAATATTCATCTTATTTCTAAGCGAAAAAATAGATAACTTTCGGAAAAATAATATATTGAACTCACGGGGAGTTATTATAACCCACTTTTGTATGAACAGTCAGAGGGCGAATCTGTGATGACCTCAGAGCGAGCAACTAAACCAAAGGCTTTGAAGAAGGCAGTAGAACCCTAAATTTAACTAAATCAAACACAAATCAGCAAGATTTTTTATTTGTCTAAGAGTAAACTACATATGAGAACAATTGAAGCATATTTGAAATGCTCCAAGCAAGTTGAAGGCAAACCATAACTTTAGGATTTGGTCATTATAATAGCCTTCAAGTTTTGATGCTTCTGAGAACAATCATCCCCAACCCCCACTTATACAACTATGTAGCCATAGTAGTTAGTTGCATAATGTCAAAATGTTACAAAGAAATTAAAACTACATAAACAACCAATGTAAGTAAATATTAAAATTAACAACTTATAAAACTTAAAAGCTCTATATTGGTTTAAATATACCTCTAAGTAACTACTATGCAATCAAGTATATATGGTTTTTAGGCGCTGAATAAGAAAAATATAGATGACTCACAAATGAAGACCCAACAGCTGAAGGTAGCACACAAAAACCAAAAATAGAAAAAGAGATAAGGAAAAAGGCGAGTAACAGTCAAACAACGGAAAAGCCCACATAGGAATACCTCGCTAGCTCTGGGACTCTCTGTCACAACAAACAACCCTCTAGAAAGTCCAATACCCCGAGACATCAAACAAACCTCCCACAATACTAATGTTTGGCATGCCTATTTTCCAACAGGTTTGTCCAATTTAAACTTCAAACCGAAATTCAAACATTGGATTACTTCTAAATAAATGGACTTTTCACTATTAACCAAAACTTACAATCATTAAAAGTTAATGCAAAGACATACATTTATTAGGTCATTCACAACATTAAAGCACAACTTTTAGTTGAAAAGAACAACTTAGCATTTAACTGAACGATATATTAGAATGGATACAATCTATTTCCTACTAATGATATCAACGTATACCAGTACCATCGTTGCATCCTGACCTGCCATTTGCAATGGGTTACTTTGAAATACAGCTGTATTTTAGAGAATAAACACCCATAAGGGCATTATGAAACCTAGCTTAATCCAAAATCTTCATATTCCACTTCGAATGCTCCATTTTAAAAAATAAGAGATTTTAACATGTCAAATCGCTCATTTGAAAAAGCTCAAACAACTATTAATCAATTCAATATAAATGCACGCTCCAAATTATGTACTTGTTGGAATAATCCCAAATCATTATCAATTAATGCCCCAACTACCTAATGTGCGAAATAGCTTTGGAGTTATTGTTGTTTGTGTTGGTCTACCTTCAAACATAACCGCATCACGAACCAAATAAATTAAGAAAAAATCTTCATATTCCAAGTAGAACAACTCAATTCAATTTGGCCAGCGCTTTATACATATCGGTTACCCTTGGACCTGTTACACTTGCGGGTTGCTGTCTTCAGATCTTCGTGAGCACAATAGAATTGAGGAGAGGACGTTGTCAATAGAGTGGAGAGTGTGTTAATTAAGTGAATTATCAGGATACAACTGAACAAACATGATCTTCTTGATTAGCTAGCAGAATAGTGGGGGTAGCTGCAATCCATCGGTTGCTCCCTCTGCGCATTCCCGTTAGAATCTCTGGCCTAGGTTGTAGAGGTTAGCGTTTAGTGAGAACTTTGGGTACATGAGGAAAGTAGGTTTGCGGGGGAGGAGATGATCCAACGAGTAGAATGAGAAGCTTTGGCGAGGTTGGGATGGGTGCACGATTAGTGGACAAAATCACAGTTTGGGCCCGTTTATTTCACACCCTGTTTTTACTCTCGTGCTCCATAGACCAGACGCACTGGCGCCTTCTAAATTTTACCCCTAAAAATTGCTTTGGATGCAGCAAATTTGAATTGGGATCTCTCATATCTCATTTCACCTTTATATTATGTGTAGATTGTGATGAGTGTAGATGTAGACATGTCATTGTCCTACAAATTCATTAACACGCCAAAAAGTAGTGAAATGAGTCAACTTATTAAATTTAATCTCGTATAATGATCATTGGATCCAATCATGCCATATTAGGAAGAGGTTTAAAATGTAGTGGTTAACCGACTAAAACGTTAAAAGAACCAGTCCCATGTAGTTTGCACAAAGATATGATTGGTTCATAGTAGTTCTGAAAACTAATACTAATTTAAGAATTGGACATTGCTTCTACATATTTAATATTGCAATTCGATATGCAATATTCGAACCAGTGATATTTGGGCTGCAATTTTAGGGTTATCATATATTTATAAGTTAGATAGAAATTTAAATTAAGTATTAAACTACAACTAAAATAATCAAAATATGAAAATCGAAGTATTAAAACACCAAATTAGTACTTCTGGGAGATTCAGTGGCCAGTTAATCATTGAAAAGTCATATAATTTTTAGATTTTAGGTTTGTCTACGTTTTTAATTTAAAAAGATAAAACAAATGTACTTAGTGTGATTGGTTATGGTCCTTACTTTTCTTTAAAGTGACCATGGTTCGAATCTTACTATGTGTCTTTTTTATGAATAAATAAAACAAAAAGAAGTAATTGTGAAGACCAAAATGTCCTTCCTACTTTCACTCTCGTTACAACAAATTTGAAATGGAGCAACAGTTTTTCTTATTGTGCTATTATATTACTAGTTTTTTATCCGCCCGTTGGGCGGTCGAAATTGATTTATTTTTCATTGTATCATTTTATTTTATTTTTAATTCATGTATGTTACATTATTATACATGAAAATTTCAATCTCCTTTACCTTATGAAATAAGAAGATATTCTTTGACCCTTTGTATCTTCCATTTATTAATGAAACACTAATTTTATTAAATTATTTTATGTCAACTATTTTGTGTCTACTATTTTTTATTATTATTTTAGATCCTATAAGTATAATGCGATATAAGTTATCCATGTAATTTTGATAGAGCAAGAAATCTCATTAGTATCCACATAATCAATCTTCTGCTTATCCATTTTAATTTACCTTAGCAATGTTCTAGCATAATCAACCAGAAATCGAACTAACTACTATCATTAATTTATTAAAATAATATTTTCAGCAATTTAACCGCATATAAATATAATTGATGTTTAGTAGAGGGCTAAATATCCTCTGCAAAACGAATGTTTTTTTTTTGTATCTAGTAACAACATAGACGAATAGTGAAAGTTGCAAACTTCAATACAACTCAATTCGTTCCATCTTATGAGTTCCTCAATCATGAACTGGATTGATGCATCAATCCACGCTAAGAAAACAAACAAATGACATTGCACACTTTAAGAAATTGAAAGAACATCGACATAGACAACCCAATGACCACCACTACCACTTTATTTCTTATTTGTGACCTTTATAAAACCCCACATCCATTTTAATTATAACCCCCTACTACTTACTACTTACTGACCATATCATCATTGTAAAGCTAGCTAGTAGCAAGTCACTCATGAACATAATAATTATAAAAACATCCTCTGATGGAACATTGTAAGGTGACAACCCTCACAAGTTTGTTTTCCATTTTAGCATCCGATGAATAATATAGAAGAGAAATGTTAGAAATCTCAAACTTTTGAGCAAATAAGAAAAGAGTTTTGTTTGTTTTTATAGGGCTTGACCCAATCAATTAATTTTATTCTTTTTAATGATGGGTTTTATTTTTAGAGAGTTAATCTAAACGGAAAAAAACGTATAGAAACAAACTAAAAGGTTGCATTCGTTGTTATTAACTTAGATTTATGTGTTATTAATGATAATGGCGATTGAAAGTGTTAACATAAGGTACATCATTTATAATTAGAACTTGCCCACCATGAAAGGATGAGAGCTATTCATGTGCTGATGTGACAGTAATTTAGTTTTGAATAATTCCTAAAGTGAAGATGAAAGACAATGGTAGATCAAGTAGGGCAATTTAAAACCCTGCCACCATAATATGAAAGTACTTAAATATGGAAAGAAGAGTAGAACCCGACCGGTCAATCACAAGCAGCCAAATACCGTTGGAGAAGAGAGGTCAGTCATTAGCTACGGATCACGGGAGAATAGGGAGCTGTCGTCACTACTTGGCTTGGTTTACTTCGTATTCTCAATGATAAGAACTTTTTTTGCCTATAGGAAAAATATCTTACAACTACTCAATTGTTTCTCATC